GGCCCTTCCCAGGGCTGCTGGAGCGTCCTCGTGACAGGAGAGCTGGCTTCCACCACAGCGGAGATTCAGGACAAGGTGGGAGCAACAGTGCCTTCCGGGACCGAGCTTCGGAGGTCATGCCCTGCCACATCTGCCACATCTGCCACATCCTCTGACAGAAGTCACTAGGTCTGACTCCCAGTCCAGGGGACAGGAACCGGGCTTTGCCTTTTGAAGGAACAAGGGCCAAAGGATGTGTGGATACACTTTGAAAGCATCACAATGGGCGAGATGAGAGCCGAGGAGACAAACCGGGGATGATGAGACACCCACAAATGAACAACGGCGGAAAGAGCCTACCTCGCTCAGGACTGGAGGAAGTGGGGTTACCAGAACCCAGGAGCCAGGCCCGGCCCGAGGAAGCTGAAACGTCAGAGGAGCTGGAGCCCTGAAGATGCAGGTCCCGGACTATGCGCCTCCCACAACACAGAGGGAGACTGATGCCCTTCCTCCGCCCTCCAGTCTTCTGTCAGTGCCTGCAACTGGCTGGCCCTGCCAGGAAGCAGAGTGCAAGGACGCCTGGGAAATGTAGTTCCTTGTGAAGCACAGGTGAGCCAAGGGCTGGGATGGGTGTGAGATCACATGGGCAGGGATGCTCCTAACATGGCTGATATGGTAAGGTGGTGTGATAGTGTGGTTAAATCTGTCTTGTATCCTGAGTGTTTTTTTTTTATCCTCACCCGAGGATATTTTTCCATTTTTTGTACAGATAGAGTGGGAGGGAGAGAGAGGAAGAGAGAGAGAGAGAAACATCGATGTGAAAGGGACACATCGAGTGGCTGCCACCGGCACAACCAACCAGGGCCGGGGACAAACTGCAACCGAAGTACGTGCCCTTAGCGGGAACCGAACCCGGGTCTCTCCGGACCGCAGGCCGACGCTCTAACCGCTGAGGGAAACTGGCCAGGGCATGAGTGTTTTTATATGTTAATGTTCTGGATAAAGTGACACTTAAAAAAAAAAAAAAAAGAATAAAAGACAATTCCCCAGTCTCCTTTGACTTTCTCTGATTTTAAAAAAGACCTTTGTGGGCCCCCCTGGTGTGGCTCAGTGGTTGAGCATCAACCCACACACCAAGAGGTCGCCAGATCGATGCCCAGTCAGGGCACATGCCCAGGTTGTGGTCCCAGTCCCCAGTCCCCAGTGCGGGGCATGCAGGAGGCGGCCCATCGATATTTCTGTTTCTCTCTCCCTCTCTCTCTAAAGTCAGTAAAGACAAATACAACAACACAAACCTTTGTGGGACCAGAATGGAAGGGGAGGGAGTGTTAGTGCCCAGACAGCAGAAAGCTGATGTAGCCTTTCTGTGGAAACGGCCTTTGTTATTCTCTTTAAAACTTGCCAGCATCGGAGAACAGACTGATGCAACTGGTACAACCCTCATCAATTTCTAATCTGATTCCTAGTCTCCGCCACAAGCTTCTGATTCCAAGCAGAAATAAATTATTTGGTCCACTCTAGGTATATGCCTGACAGTTAAAACATATGTCCACATAAAAATGTACATACAGTATATGTTTATAGCAGCATTTTTTCATAATTGCCCCTAAATGGAAACAACCCAAATGTCCATCAGTGGATGAGTGGATCAACAAAATGTGGTCCATCCATACAATGGATTCTTTATTTTTTATTTTTTTCTTGGCCGCCTCCTGCATGCCCCCCCACTGGGGATCGGGCTCACATCCTGGGCATGTGCCCTGACTGGGAATCGAACTGTCAACCTCTTGGTGCGTGGGTCAGTGCTCAACCACTAAGCCACACCGGCTGGCCAAACAGATTTTTTGGTATGTGCCCCTAGTGGGAACCAAACCCAGAATTCTCTGGTCTGCAGGCCAATGCTCCAACCGCTGAGCCAAACAGGCCAGGGCTCATACAGTGGATTCTTTATTATCAGTCATCAAGAGGAATGAAATACTGGCAGGTACTGTAACATGAATGAACCTTGAAAACATGATGCCAAGTGAGAGAAACTGGTCACATAAGGTAAGATATTGAAGGAGTGTATTCTAAATCCATAGAGACAGCCCTGGCCGGGTAGCTCAGTTGTTTGGAACATTGTCCACATATGCCAAGATCGCAGGTTCAATCCCCAGTTAGAACACATACAAAAATTATCAAATGAATGCAAACGTAAGTGCAACAACAAATCAGTCTCTCTCTCTCTCTCTCTCTCTCTCTCTCTCTCTCTCTCTCTTCCTCTTTGTACAAAAATCAATCAATAAAAATTTTTAAAAAATCCATAGAGACAGAAAGTAGATTAATGGTTGCTAGGAGGGGGCGGGGGGATGGGGAATGAATGCTAATGGGTACTGGGTTTCTTTTTTGGGGTGATGAAATGTTTTGGAATCAGTGGTGATGGTTGAATAACTCTGTGAATATACTAAAAACCAATGAATCATTTAAAAGGGTGAATTTTATGGTATGTAAATTATATCTCAATAAAGCTGGAAGGAAGGAAGGAAGGAAGGACGGAAGGAAGGAAGGAAGGGCCCATTTTTTGTTGCACCTCACTGACCACCAATCAGCACCTTGTGGGTTCTGGGCCCGACACTGTTTGTTGTATTGGGTGTTCTCATGCACACCATAGTGCACTAGCTCATGCTGATCTGTGTCAAGGACATGAAAGTGCACACTTACTGTGGGTGACCTGGCACGTCTAGAGAGCCTGTGGTTCTGAATTAATTCGTCTTCACCCTGACATAGTGTTGAAGGACACCTAATGAGTAATTATGACAATAATGCTGAAAAAGGAAAACCTATACAAAGAAGGAACTAGACCAAAAAGTGATAGTGCTTATTTTATAGTACTATGATTAGAGTTACTGTGTCTCTTTTCCAATTATGAGATAGTACAATTACTTTTATAACATAAAATATAAATTTACAGATCACATCTGACTGTCTTTGGTTTGGCCACCACTGTGTTTTAAAAAATTGGAGCTGAATATACTTAGGTATAGCACCTAGGGTAGTTTGCCATAGTCCTTCCTACTCCCTATTGCACGAAGCTAGTGCCGTCTTTCATTCATACAAACTGCCTGACCCTGAAGGCATTTGTATTTGGGTCCCCTGATTTATAAAATAAAACCCCTACAGCATACAATTGTCCACATTTAATTCCCTGATATGTGGAGTTAAATATTATTTAATTAGTTCATAAATCAAAATTAACATTTGATTTCTAGATAAAAACAGAATTGCTCTTGGCATTTTCTTTTTCTTTTTTATTGATATTTAGAGAGAAAGGGAGAGGGAGAGAGAGATAGAAACATCAATGAAAGAGAACATCGACTGGCTACCTCCTGCATGCCCGCCCGGGAGATCAGGCCTACAACCTGGGCATGTGCCCTGACCAGGAATTGAACCAGTGACCTCTGGGTGCATGAATCAACGCTCAACCACTGAGCCACACCGGCCAGGCTGCTCTTGGCACTTTTCTATAGAGTTGGGTTGCTTGGGAGGTCAAAAAGTATTGACCATCAGTTTAATTCAATTTAATAGGAAACCTCTGTAGGTATTTTAAGCAGAAAGAGATTTAATACAGGGAAATAGAGCGGTATGAATGTGCTGGTGAACCTGAAGAAGCAGGCTCTATGCTGAGCCTCCTCCAAGGGTGGCTCCCAGAACAACACTACAGAACTGACCAACCAGGAGAAGCCACTGCCACAGCCTGGAAGATGGGGAATCAGGGACCACTATTAGAACTCTTGGGTTCAATCACACATTGTCACATCCAGGAAGTTTCCATCACTGTAGCTGCACCTGTTTCTTGAGGCTGAAAGTGGGAAACTGGGCCACTACTGCCCCCTATTGCCGGATGTCTTTAAGAACAGACCTCTCAAACTTGCATAGCACAGTCATACCTGGTGTCATCTGATCCTTCCCAGATAAACAAGGCATCTGCCTTTCTTCCCCTTTACAGATAAGGACAGAGATGATGTAACATAAGGTCACACAGCTCCGTGCAAAACTGGAGTAACAACAACCCAGGTCTCCATATCTCCTGGCCAGTTCAAAGAACTCAGCTATCTTGTCATGAGTGAGGTCTGCTGTGGGTCTGACAGTGCAGCGGACACGCGGTGCCTCGTGAGTGGGGCAGACTGGTAAGTACAACCCAGGAGGCACAGGTCTGCGTTGTGAGCACAGAGGACGGGGCTAGTATTTGGCAGAAGGATGTTCGGGAACATTTCGGAGAACAGACGAGGCACATATGAGTAGGGTTTTGAGGGATGAGCAGGAGGATGTCAGGAAGGAAAGGGCCTGGGGGAAAAAATAGTCCAAGCAGTTGGCAAGAGCTAAGGGGGTATCGTGTGGCAGCAAGACTTTGGGGGAACCGAGAGGATTCTAATTCTGGAGGATTTGGACAAAGTCAAAACAATTTTTTTTTACAGTAAAATAAAGTGCGTTAGTCGTAAGTTTACATCTTGCTTTAATAGGCAAACACTCATGTACCCTTCATTTAGGTGAAGATGTGAAACATTTCCCGCATCCAGGAGGTCCCCCGGTGTCCCCTCCCCGTCTATACGTACCCGCCTCCATCCTTTCCCGGTCGATGTTGGCGGGGTGCGGGAAGGCCAACATCAATCTCAAAGCCCTTGGCTTCAGCCCCCATCTCTCATTCCGTCCACTCCTGTTGTTGCCTCCAAATCTTTCGCCATCTTTCTGAACAATCCTACGAAGGTACCGCAACCAGGCAGGGGAGGTTTCTTGAGACAGTCGCTTTGTCACGTGGTCCATAAAAACGTCAGGTGGCGCGCGAAAGGCGGTGGCGATGGGGCCGACGTGTTTTGGTCCTTCGGAGCCACCGTCCAGGCTCGGGCCGCGCGCAGCCGCCATGTCCCTCGGCGGCCACCGTGCGGGCGTTACGTGGCAACTACCGGCGCCCGCCAATCCACGGCGCCCGCATCAGCCCCCTCGGCTGGCGCAGCCGGAAGGGGCGGAGCTGAGGCGGTGGCGGCTGAGGAGGCAGCGGTGGCGGCGGCGGCGGCTCTGGAGGCCGCAGTCCGGGTCCTGGCTTCGGCCCCAGCCCTACCATGGTGACGCTCGCTGAGCTGCTGGTGCTCCTGGCCGCCCTCCTGGCCACGGCCTCGGGCTACTTCGTGAGCATCGACGCGCACGCCGAGGAGTGCTTCTTCGAGCGGGTCACCTCGGGCACCAAGATGGGCCTCATCTTCGAGGTGGCCGAGGGCGGCTTCCTGGACATCGACGTGGAGGTGCGGGCGCGCTGCCCGCGACCGAGGCGGGGTCGGGGCGCGCGGCCGCTCGGGGGTTGGCGGCGCCCGGGGCCCGCGGGGCGCGCGGCGTGGAGGCCGCTGTCGGCGTCCTGGGAGCGGCCCGGGCCCCCGCGGCGGCCGCCCCGAAACGGCCTTTCCCCCCGCGGCCGCCCCGGTTCAGGGCTCCGGGCGCCGCGTCGGGCTGCGGAGCGGTCGCTCAGTTGCTTTGGGGTGACGGCTTGGACGGCGGGTCCCCTTGGAACTTCTCGCCCCGCTTTGTCGCCCGGGCGCCGCGTGTCAGCCCCGGGCCCGGAAGGCGCTGGTCCGCCGCGGCCGAGCGGTGGCGGGACTCGGGCCGGTCAGCAGCTGCTCCCTTCGTGGGGCGGATTCGCGCGGGGACGTGGCGCGCGGACTTCGGGAACAGCGTCCTGGGGGTTACTGCGGGGCGCCGGGCCGACGGGGGTTCGTTGGCTCGTCCAGAGCGAGCGAGCGACCCGCCCGCGTTCACGCCAGCCCCCGACGTGTGGCCCGGACGGGGGTCCGGAGCAGGGCTCGCAGCGAACGGCCGGGGGGAAACCGGGAACTAGTCTAAGAAAAGCCAGCAGTTTCTAAACTTCCCACTATGTCTTTTTTTTTTTTTTAATCAAAGGAATGATTCACCTCTAATTTTCAGGGGCGGGGAACACATGGAATTAATATTTAAATTCCCCCGTTGGCATGATTGATTGGTTTTCAGGATTCTTCACTTGGTAGGGGCCATTAGCAGAGGTGGGCACAAGTGATGCAGTACACGTGAAGCGTAGGGATGATGGGGGTACAGGGAGGAGGGGGGGCTGTTAGAATAAGCCAGGCCTTAGAGATCAGCTGTTCCAGGGGCTGTCTAGGGAGCTGAGGTGGGGCAGCTTGGGTCGGAGCTTGGGCCTCCTAACTTCCAGGCGAGACCGACCTTTCCCTTAAGCCTTCGGGCGGCTCAGATGAAGCAGTTCCCTTGGCTGGTCGGCAGTAATCAGGAAAACCTAGAAATGCATCTTGCTGGGAATTCTTAGTTTTAAAGAGGTTTCTTCTTTTGATGTTAAGGGCTGTGTGTGTTTGCGTGCTTGTTGGAGGTATTAGGCCACTTAGAGGCAGCGTGGAAGGTGTGTTTTTTTGTTTCTGAGGGGGTTTATATTTAACTTGAACAAATAAGACAAATGCAGTCAGAGCTGGAAGAGGTGTAGATAGAAAGCCTGGTTTCATAAGTAGGAGCCCAAGGTTACTATCACGGATGTGGAGCTGAGTTCAAATTACATTTTATTGGCAAATATCCTATTGCCAATAGACATCACTTAGAAAGTTTATGATTTGAAATCTTTCGTTGTATCTCATGCATTTCTCTCCTGCCTCCAGATTACAGGACCTGATAATAAAGGAATTTATAAAGGAGACCGGGAATCCAGTGGGAAATACACATTTGCTGCTCACATGGATGGAACATATAAGTTTTGTTTTAGTAACAGGATGTCCACCATGACTCCAAAGATAGTGATGTTCACCATTGATATTGGGGAGGCCCCAAAAGGACAAGACATGGAAACAGAAGGTGAGGTGACCATTCAGAAGATTCATACCACATTCCAAGAGTGAATATTCTCTACATTTTTATGATCTGAATGAAGTATTTATTTTGGTTTCTTATTCTAGGTTCATCCACTGTCTTTGTTTTTGGTGTGTGTGTGTTCACCCACTATCTTTAAAATCTAAAGCCTTTTGTAAAATACACTTTTGATTTATTCAGATCTCATAATTAACCAAAGTTTCTGGAAGTTTATGTTTATATTCTAGTTCTTTACAGTTGCCCCTCTGGCAGCCTTGTAAACATGTAGATTACATGTGTCTTAGGTTCTTTGTTCTGTTAAATTGCCAATCTGGCATAGGCATCTTTATTTGCTCATTTGTACACGTGACTAGTTTAGCTAAACTTGTTCCTTTTATTTTTTGTGTGTTTATATTTGAAACTTTTCTTTAGGTGGTGGAGATACCTGGGATGGTATGTGGATTGCTTTTTGACAGCATCCGGGTTTTTTTGCACATTTTTGTTTGCTATTACCTAATTTCTGCTTTTCTTTCTAACCTTGGTTTGTTGGCATGAGAGTGTTTTATGCCCTAATTTAAAAAAAACAACACACAAAACCCTATGCCTAATTAGAGTGATTGCTTTTTGGGTGGTTTTTATTTGGTTGACAGGAGATACAGATTAGGTCATTTTAAGTTAGTATTACTAGAACACAGCCATTGACATTTTAGTGGTACCATCATGCTGTTTTCTTTTAAATGAATGCTGAAGCCCTTGGCCAGTTTGGCTCAGCGGTTGAGCGTCGGCCTGCGGACCTGAGAGTCCTGGGTTTGGTTCCCGCTAAGGGCATGTACCACAAAAAAAAAAAAAGAATGCTGAAGGGTGGAAATACTCAACTATAACTGAACAAGTAAAAGTCTTAATTAAACATAGCTAATAGCAAATGGTTCTGTTGACTTTGTAGGAAGTATTTTGTAGGCTTGTTTTAATGATTATTAAAGTTTTCTAACTTTAACTTGATTGGATATGAAACACAGTTCTAGGAGCCATGTCTAGACATGATAACAGAAGTTCTTTCAGTTATATATTGCAGTTAGATCAGTTTTTATTCCTCACCTGACCTGTACTGAACCCTGAATTGATTCTTCTGGATAAATTGCTTACCAGGAGCCAGCATTTGGGGTGTGGGGGTGTGTGTGGGGGTTGTTGTCACAGAGCACGTCACAGAGGATTTTGGAAAGTGTAAGTTGAATACATTTTATACTATTACCGTAATAACATTTGTTGTAGGTATTGAGCAGTTAGTAGAGTACACACATTCTAAAGAAGACGAAGTGTTAGTTAGGTTTTGAAATCTATAGAATTTAGAGAATCATACTACTTAGTAATTCCTGTGCTTGCTGTTCAGGGCCATTTACAGTGGTAGGACTTGGCTAATTTTCAAGGAGAATTGGAAGTTTGAAGGACTTTGTGTTTGTTCATTTTCTGGAATTTAGTCCTTTCCAAGTAGTTAGAAATTGATGGCTGATCAATGTGAATAATGACTTATCCTTAAATAATTTGTAACACAATATTTAAAATTCTTGCTTTTGCTTGTTAATGTCAATGAATGGCAGGTATCAAATCAAGCCTTCCTCTAAAGCAGTGGTTCTCACGTCAGGATGATTTTTTACTCCCCAAGGGACATTTGGCAATATCAGGAGACAATTTTGATTCTCATGGCTTGGTGGGTGATCCTACGGTGCGTTGGACAGCTCCCCACAACAAAGAATTGGTCCCAAATGTCAACAGTGCCGCCTCGAGAAACCCTGCTCTAAAGGTTCACGCAGTGCACGCAGCTTCCAGAGCGAAGCCAGCCAGGGAGGTTTGAGATTGCAGCCCAACGCCTCACAGTGGTAGGGCCTTAGCTTCTTTCAAGAAATGGAGGGTTATCTGCAGCAGTGTGGGCTTCTATGAAGCCCAGTCTCAAGCAGTGGTGAAGAGACCCCTCCAGTGCAAATCTTTTTTCATGGTATATGTACTTTTCTCCTGTTTCTTCATTGTCACAATATAGTACAACCTAGAAGTGTTCACTTATTCTCAGAACTGTTAGTTTACCTTGTACTCATTTCTGGCCAAAGAGAAGACCTGGTTTTAAACCTTGTGGAGTTGAAAGCTTTTCACTTCCAGTGCCTGCTACTCCACTGTAGTGAGTTCAGTGCTGTGACTCTCATAGAGGAAGGTTTGAGCTACTGTGGATTTTCCCTAGAATGTCTTCATGTTTTTCTCTGCTCAGCTTCATAGAGATTGAAAGTCTGTTTTGACACTGCTTCTCAATTAACATTAGAATTCTATGAATAGACTTTTATTTTAGTTTAAATATTGATAGGTTATTACTAGGGTATTACAGAGATTTTGTCTGTTCGATCTTTTGTGTTCTCTTTTTTCCCTCCCTCCAGTTGTTTTCCTTTCTGGTGAGCAGTCAGTATAGTGAACTTCAGTAGCAGTTCAGTAGAAGAAATTTCTTAGGGTTGTTTTCCTTTAGTTAGTAAATTCTGGATAGAATGTTTTCTACCCTGAGATTTTTCTATTAGGAATGGACTTCATAAAAAATTTTTTTCTTTATTGATTTTAGAGAGGAAGGGAGAGGGAGAGAGATAGAAACATCGATGAGAAAGAACATCGATCAGCCGCCTCCTGCATGCTCCCCACTGGGGATTTGGCCCACAACATGGGCATGTGGCCCTGACTGGGAATTGAACCGGTGACCTCTTGGTGCGTGGGTCGATGCTCAGCTGTTGAGCCACACCAGCTGGGCCAGGGAAAAGGACTTGAGAAAGAATGCTTTGAGAATTAAGTCGTCATCAGTGATCCAAAATGATGTCGGAGTCATTTCTAAAAATGGCTGTTTTTGTATGTCTTTTCTGAGGAATAGTTTCATTGCTTTATGAGTACTTTTTCAAAAAGAGATTCCAAATATATGCTGATGTGTTTTCAAATCCTTCTGTAGCACACCAGAACAAGCTAGAAGAGATGATTAATGAACTAGCAGTGGCGATGACAGCCGTGAAGCATGAGCAGGAATACATGGAAGTTCGGGAGAGAATACACAGAGCAAGTAAGTGATTGTTAACTTAGCAGCATTGTCTGTGGTGACCACGCAATGCTGACAGTGTCATTCTCCTCATTTGGAAGTTTGCAAACATTATCGTAATAAAGCATTGATTTAAAAAAGCACCTTTGCGCCCTGGCCAGTTTGGCTCAGTGGTTAGAGCGTCCGCCTGCGGTCCGGAGAGACCCGGGTTCGGTTCCTGCTAAGGGCATGTACCTCAGTTGCAGTTTGTCCCCTGGTTGGTCATGCGGGTGGCAGCCACTCGATGTGTCCCTTTCACATCGATGTTTCCCTCTCTCTCTCCCTCTCTCTCCCTCCCACTCTGTCTGTACAAAAAATGGAAATATGTCCTTGGATGAGGATTAAAAATAAATAAATAAAAAAAAAATAAAACACCTTTGCAAAGATATATATTTTTTAATTTAGTTTAATAAATTTATTTGTTATAGATGTTTCTCCTTTTTCCCCCATTGACGCCCTCCTCCCCCTTCCACCCCACCCTCCAGCTTTGTTGTCTATGTCCTTTGGTTATGCATACATGCAAATAAGTTCTGTGGTTTATCTGCCCCTCCCACCCCCTCTTCTGGGGATTGTCAGTCTACCTTGCTTCCACATCTCTGGGACTACCCTGTTCTTCAGACTGTTATGTTCATTATATTTCACAAATAAGTGAAATTATATGATATTTGTCTTTCTCTGCTTAGCTTGTTTCGCTTTGGATAAAACTTTCCATGTCCCTCCATGTCATCTCAAAGGATAAGATATCTTTCTTACAGCTGCATAGTACTCCATTGTGTATATGTACCACATTTTTTTATCCATTCGCTTACTGATGAGCATTTGGGCTGTTTTCCAGATCCTAGCTACTGTAAATAGTGCTGCTATGAACATGGGGGCACATATATTCTTTTTGATTGGTGTTTCAGGCTTCTTAGGGTATGCAAAGATATTTTTTGAGTATACATGTTTGTAGAGCTCTGTACTACACCAGTTTATTATTGGGACATTTATTCTAAAGCAATACTGTGGTGATTCAGCAAGAGCTATTGAGTTTTTTTAAATGTGGTCAGCTAAGGAATAAGCTAGTCGTTTCTCTCTTTTTTTTTTTTGGTATGTGCCCCTAGTGGGAACCGAACCCGGGACTCTCTGGTCCGAAGGCCGATGCTCCAACTACTGAGCCAAACCGGCCAGGGCAACCTAGTCATTTATTAAAGCAAAACGTAAAATTGGTATTGCATTGGTTTTTTTTTTTTTTTTTTTTTTTGGTACGTGCCCCTAGCGGGAACTGAACCTGGGACCCTCTGGTCCGCAGGCCAACCCTTTAACTGCTGAGCCAAACCGGCCAGGGCTGCATTGGTTTTTAATCACACATCTAAAATTTTTGTGCCGGTACGATTATTATTATATGCTGAGATTTAGCTTTTTTCCTTTTTTTAAATTCAGAAATGCTACTTTTGAGGAACATTTTTTTTTGTTGTTAGAGAGAGGAGAGGGGAGAGAGAGAGAAACATTGAAGTGAAAGAGACACATCGACTGGTTGCCTCCTGCATGACCCCATCTGGGGCCGGGGACGAACTGCAACCGAGGTACGTGTTCTTAGCAGGAACCAAACCCGAGTCTCTCTGGTCCTCGGGCTGATGCTCTAGCTGCTGAGCCAAACTGGCCAGGGCTTATATATATATTTTTAACTTCAGTGTTGTAGTACTGTACTGCTTCTAGGTCAGGCTAACACAGAGTGCATGAGCACAGTGGCTTACATATGCACCCTCTCCTAGGTGACTGTTTTCCTATGTCACCCTTCCGGTGCAATTTAATCTTTTGTTTTTTTAAATTGATTTGCGAGAGTGAGGGGAGGAGGAGAGAAACATCAATTTGTGGTTCCACTTATTGATGCATTCATGGGTTGACTCTTGTATGTTCCCTGACTGGTGATCAAACCTGAAACCTTGCCCTGGCCAGTTTGGCTCAGTGGTTGAGCGTCAGCCTGTGGACCAGAGAGTCCCGGGCTCGGTTCCCGCTAGGGGCACGTACCACAAAAAAACCAAAAACTAAAAAACCCCTGAAACCTTGGTGTATCAGGTGGGTGCTCTAATCAATTGAGCTACCATGCCAGGGCTCAATTTAATCTCAAACATGCATATTTCTGTAAGTGAAGTGAAAGGTAAATACGTCTTTTTACATGGTTGCTTTATTTGAATTATTTACCCTTTCAGATACAATATATTTTTTTTAATCCTCATCCGAGGACATTTTTCCATCCTTTGTTCAGATAGAGTGGGAGGGAGAGAGAGAGAAACATCAACATGAAAGGGACATATCGAGTGGCCGCCACCCACACGACCAACCAGGGCCGGGGACAAACCGCAACCAAGGCACATGCCCCCAGTGGGAACCGAACCCGGATCTCTCTGGACCGTAGGCCAATGCTCTAACCACTGAGCCAAACTGGCCAGGGCTCAGATACAATCTTAAAATGCTGGTTATTCACAGTTATGCTAGAAATTGGTTGCCAAGTTTTCACCAGAAGTAAACTTCATGGCATAGAATTAGCATTAAATTTCAATGTTGGTGGTTTTTAGAGTTCTAGTTAACATTCTCAGGCATGTGCCTATTCTTACTCTGGAAAAAAAATTACACTATTTTTTAGTAACTAATTTGTCATTTTGGAAACATTAATTGTTTTTCACTTATTTTTGAGTGATCATTAGTTTATTAGCTGTTACAGTTCTAGTGAATCTTTTAACAAACAGTACATATCTAAAGATATGGAAGTTACTCATATTGTGATTGTTTGTAATATTGACCATTTGAAGGAAAATCAGAAAACTACCTAGTAATTTTTATTATTTACTCATTTTTAAATACATTTTTATTTAATTTTTTAGAAATGAAGGGAGAGGGAGAGAGATAGAAACATCAGTGAGACCCCTGGCCGATTTGGCTCAGCGGTTGGAGCGTCAGCCTGTGGTCCAGAGAGACCCGGGTTCGGTTCCCGCTAAGGGCATGTACCTTGGTTGCAGTTTGTCCCCGGCCCTGGTTGGGTCGTGCTGGTGGCAGCCACTCGATGTGTCCCTTTCAACATTGATGTTTCTCTCTCTCCCCCCCTCCCACTCTATCTGAACAAAATATCGAAAAATGTCCTTCGGTGAGGATTAAAAAAAAAGAAACATCAGTGAGAGAGAAACATGGGTCGGCTGCCTTCTGCACACCCCCTACTGGGGATCAGTCCCACAACCTGGGCATGGGCATCCAGTTAGCCATCTCTTGGTGCATGCGTTGACACTCAGCCACTGAGCCACACTGGCTGGGCTTATTTATTTTCACTTTGAGAGTATGTTTATTAAAGCTGGGGACAGTGGAACAAGGAAGGGCTTAGGATAGAAGAAGCAACAAGAGAGAGCCCAGGCGGGCTGACTTGGCTCTCTGGAAACATTATGGGAAAGAAGTGAGGCCAGGTGGGGCCGCAGTCAGCGCACTGGAAAGTCAAAGGAAAGGGGGCCTTGGAGACAGGTTCAGGAAGTTAGCCCAGGAGGAGTTGCTACTGCCCATTGCTCCCCTGGTAGCAAATCTTGTGAGGACCCTTAGAATTTAGAAAAAAAATTCATTCGAAAAGGAGATTGGAGTGGGTCTGTCTACCTAGTAATTTAAAAAAGTTAAGGGTATAGAATTTGATCAGAAACTTGAAAGAATGTGATGTAAATTGAGCAGAATAAATGAATATAGTTATGACTGTTACTTGAAGGATCATATCCTTAGCTTATGAGTGGGATAACTGGTGAGACTTGTTTCAGTTTTGTTGTAACTGCCAGTATTGGTCCATGAAACAGAAATCTCCCCCACCTGGAACAAATGCCAACTACAGAGTAGGTGCTCAATAAATACTTGTTTAAAAAAAAACCTTAGCCCGGCCAGTGTGGCTCAGTAGCTGAGTGTCGTCCCACGGACAGGGGGCCTGGTCTGATTCCTGGTCAGGGCACACGCCTGGGTCGTCAGCTCGGTCCCCAGTGGGGGGCATGCAAGAGGCAGCTGATGTTTCTCTCTCTAAAAAAATCAATAAAGAAAATTTTTTTAAAATGATTTTATTAAAAAAATTAGAACATACTTTATAAAAAAAGATACTTAGGTTGACATATTTTGATTTGGTACGTAGTGCTTTTTGGGAAACTCTATGATCTTGAAATAATCTCTTAATTTTCAATTTTTAAAAAAATCCTCGCCCGAATCCTGGCTGGTTTGGCTCAGCGGGTGGAGCGTCAGCCTGTGGACCAGAGAGTTCTGGTCGGTTCCCACTAGGGACACATACCAAAAAAAAAAATCCTCACCTGAGGGTATTTTTCCATATATGTTCAGATAGAGTGTGTGTGTGTGTGGGGGGGGGGGTAGAGGTATCAATGTGAGAGAGATGCATTGATTGGTTGCCTCCTGTACAACTCTGAGCAGGGTCAGGGACTGAACCACAACCGAGGTTCCTGCCCTTGACAAGAATCGAACCCAAGACTCTTTGGTTTGTGGGCCACACTTTAACCACTGAGCCAAACTGGGCAGGGTATAATTTCTTAATTTTTTAATAGTTGGTTTTCTGATTCAGCCAAAAAATAAAAAGATGATAATGTAGGGATGTTTCAGTGGGAGGGAGAAAGAATATTGGGTTTAACCTTGGGCAAGTCATGTTTCCTGTTATCTGTACATAAGCAGAGTAGGCTTGACTATACTCTGAATCTTTAAGGTCCCATTTAAACCTAAAATTCTTTCCTTCTAAGTATGTTGAGTTACTTGAGAACAAAAGTATTTAGAGTACTATGAATAGTGTGTAAATACTACTTTCACAGTGTAGGAGTAGGGGATAATTTTGATGCCTCTGTGGGGTTTTGTTGTTGTTGTTTTAAATTTTGTTTGTTTGTTTTTCCTCAACAGTCAACGACAACACAAACAGCAGAGTGGTCCTTTGGTCCTTCTTTGAAGCTCTTGTTCTAGTTGCCATGACATTGGGACAGATCTACTACCTGAAGAGATTTTTTGAAGTCCGGAGGGTTGTTTAAAAAGCCTTTTTCTGATGATCCGAAACTCATAATTCACTGTTTACCAAACATCTTGGTCATAATAATGTCGTTTAGTTTGTATTTTTTATTTTTGAAATTGTACATTCACAGCCTATGTTTCTTTGTGATTAATAGATATTGGGGGAAAACCTTTTTAGGAGAGCGATAGTGAAAATTTGACATTTGATTGGCACAATTTCTATTTGAATTCTGCCTCCATTATACAGGCCCTTCCAGAGCTTTAACCCTGTAAATGAAATGTAGGCATATAGTCCTTATTATATCTTCTTTTGTTTTCATAATAAAATGCAGTTTGTTCAGGATAGTACCTTACAAAAATGACTGCATTCTCTTGACCCCCTCATCCTACAGTTCAAATTATTAGAGATTCACTTTGTTTAGTTCTTAGGAGAAACAGGTCTGAGTCTGGACGTGTCCTCCCCACCTAATGGCAGAGCTCTGACCTCAGAGTGTGCCGTCAGGTTGTTCTTTTATACTCTGTCTTGTTTTTGCTTTAAAGATAAGACAACCCAACATTTCCCCCCAAAATTTTTACTTTGAACTTTAGGATTTCACCTTTACTAAATTGATGACACAGCAGCTAATAAGCCTTTTTTGATTTCTGCCTAACCTCATAGGAAGTCTCTATTAAAGCCAATTAATTCTCTGGTGTTTCAGCTAACGGTAGCTTTTTCTTTCTGTGCTGGCTCACACTTGCTCCACTCTTGGCCCGTAGGAGGTCTGCATTCACGTAACTGGGAAAATCTGGGTTTCCAATGGCGAAGGGCTAAGCCTCTTGGACTTCTTTGCAGTCAGTGATAGACAGCCACTATTTTGTTTTTGGTCAGTGGCATTTGACCACTCATTAATTAGGGTACTGACAACACTGTCAGTACTAGGGTTTTTGTTTTTGTTTTTCTTGGGTCTTTTTTGGCACATGTGAATTTTGTTTTGTATAAAACGAAATGAGACTCTAGGTTTCTGATGATGTGTTTTAAATTGAAGGAGCATCTGGTTTGGTGTGGGGATGGTCCAGGATTATGTTGTGACTGATGTATATTAGTTACTTGTACATTTTTTTTGGATCTTTGCAAAGGTAAAACTACAAGTAACGAGTTTTATATAATTAATTTAAATTTGTTACAGGTTTTCATGTTCAGAATAAACAATTTTTCAACTTTGGGTGAAAATACTTGCAGCAGTTGAAGGGGTGATATGTTTTACCTAAGGACAACTGTTGCATGCCAGTTTTGTTTGTTTTTATTTGCGTGAGAAAACACTTCAAAATTGACTTAAAATATGTAAATTTAAAATTGGTTGTGTATCAATCAGCCCCAGGCTCAGTAAATAAACAATTCTTTTTAAAAACAGTCTTAGTATTCTGTGTTTTATATATTAATGATTGATTCATGTCATATACCAATTTCCTATTCATATTTAAAATGAGACATGTCCATATTTTGTGAGTAAGAAAGCCTGTTTTGTGATTTTAGTTTTTTTGTTTTGTTTTTTTATCCTCACCCGAGGATATTTTTCCATTTTTTGTACAGATAGAATGGGAGGGAGAGAGAGGAAGGGAGAGAGAGAGAGAAACATCGATGTGAAAGGGACACATCAAGTGGCTGCCACCCGCACGACCAACCAGGGCTGGGGACAAACTGCAACCGAAGTACGTGCCCTTAGCGGGAACCGAACCCGGGTCTCTCCAGACCGCAGGCCGACGCTCTAACCGCTGAGCCAAACTGGCCAGGGCTGAAAGCCTGTTTTAAGTGTCTGTTACTTTTTATGTCTATAAACTTGATAGTGAATAGGGCCCCAATTTTAGGTTTTAGAAATACAATTTCTCTTCCTCCACTATACTAAGTGCCTGCTAGCAGTACAAAAGACTACCCTTTTTGAGCACTGTAATGTCCTGGGAAGACGATAAACGCTTTACACAGTCTGTTACTTTATTTCTGAAAACCACCATTATGTTCGGCATTATAATCATTTTGCAAATAAACAGGCTTAGAGAGGGTCGCAAGTTCAGAAAGTATAGGTAGAGCCCCAAATGCAGACGCAGCTCTGCTCGTTTCTCTGCCTCTGCTTTCAGAGCTGTCCGGAAGTCCCACTATATCAAAGTTGTCTTTGGTGCTTTGAGGATGTGATCAACATTTCAGGAAACGTGTTGCTTTGGGCTTTTATTTTCCCTTCTTTAGGTTGAGATAGTGGAGTCTGCCTGAGTACTATTTCTATGGATTCATCCCCCAATACTGTGTACAGCTAGAGTAGCCCCTCGGATAAGGAGAATCCCCTGTCGTGGGATTTCCCTTCTAGTGGGGGGGGATGAAGCGAGTATGTAAATTATATTGATAGTATGCGGTTCAGTAATTCGGAGAGAAGGCATCACTGAGATCTCCGAAAAGCCATGCGCATGGCTGGCGAGGGTGTGCGCTCGGGGCCCAGCACCAGCTTGCCGGAGGAACGCGTGCGACAAACGAATGGCCCACGCCCGTGGCGAACAGAACGAGGACGCTGTTCTTCAGGACTGGCTGTAACTTTCTCGGAAGTAAACCAGCTTTATTATGTGCCAGGCATCGGATCCCCGCCATCAACCCTATTTTGCATTATTGTTCATCTGGGGCTCCGGGGCTGGGGGCCCTTTCGGTCCACTCCGGCCCGCCCGTCCTTCGGCCAGCACGTGGCGTTGTGCTGCCAGGTGCCTCCCATTGGCGGCAGAAGTGAGAGGGCCGGGCACAATCCGGCCGGCCGAACGGCCTCTCGGCGTGGAGCGGCCCGGAGCCACGGCGGCTGCGCAGGGCGCGGGGCACGAGTCCCGCCAGGCCCCCGCCGCCTGCTCTCACCCTCCCGCCGTCCGCTTCCCACTCACCTGCCGCGGGGGCACCTTCCCCGCCCCCGGAACTCAGCGCGAGGGGCACGGTTCCCGGACGGCCCTCGGCGGCCGGAAGCGGAAGTGCTCGCTGGAGGCGCTCTGAGTCGCCCAGGCGGCGGCGGCGGCGCGCGCTATGGAGCACGTAACGGAGGGGTCGTGGGAGTCGCTGCCGGTGCCGCTGCACCCCCGGGTGCTGGGCGCGCTGCGGGAGCTGGGTTTCCCGTCCATGACGCCGGTGCAGGTAGCGGCGCGGCCGGGCGGAGGGGCAAGCGGGCGCCGGGCCGGTCGGGGCGGCGTTAGGACGCACAGCCTGGGGTCTTCAGGCCGCGGCTTCAGGCCGCCCAGGCTGGGTGACGCCACAGCCCTGCCTACCCCCGCTTGGGGGTGCCGGGACCTGCGTGCCCCTCGAGCTGTCAGACGTGGGGCAAACGGCTCCCCTGCCTGTGCCTCAGCCCCCTTCTCTGTGCGATGACGCCGGCGACATTGCCTGCTTCCCAGGGTTGCGGGAGCTGCTCGGGAAATGCTGCCTGCTGGTGTCGTCGTTACTGTGTGGGCTAAGGGAAGTGTCCTGGCCCAGTGCCTTTCTCTAACAAACTTCTTTTTTTTTTTTTTTATCCTCACCCGAGGACATTTTTCCATTTTTTGTTCAGGTAGAGTGGGAGGGAGAGAGAGGAAGGGAGAGAGAGAGAGAAACATCGATGTGAAGGGACACATCGAGTGGCTGCCACCCGCACGACCAACCAGGGCCGGGGACAAACTGCAACCGAGGTACGCGCCCTTAGCGGGAACCGAACCCGGGTCTCTCAGGACCGCAGGCCGACGCTCTAACCGCTGAGCCAAACCGGCCAGGGCTCTAACAAACTTATCGAGGACATAATCAGGGACTCCTTTTCCAAGCTCTGGGGATTTGGCCCTGTTGGTCCCCACGCACGGGTTTTATGTTCTAATGCAGGAGTAAAGGAACACGATAGTTTTGACTGCTAATAGGTATTACGGAGGAACTAAGACAGTCTCATGCGATGGGTAGCAAGGAGAAAGGGACCAGGATAGGGTGTTAGGCCGCTCTGAGGACGTGTCACGGAGCTGACACCTGAACGGCGGAGAAGGAGCTGGCTGTGGGATGACTGGGGGGTGGGTGTGGATTCCAGCACAGAGAAGAGCCAGTGCAAATGCCCTGGGGCAGGAAACGGGCTTGGAGGAACAGAAAGGAGGCCTTTGTGGCTGGAGCCGCAGGAGCCTGGACAGATGGTGGTACCATTTACCGAGACGAAGGCTGGTAGGGTAACACCCTTCAGGGGGAAATACCAGACAGTTCTGTTTTTGCAGTGTTGGGGTGTCCATCTGATCCTCAGGAAAGATGTGGAGGAAACAGGGCTGGAGATAAAGCTTGGGGGTGTTGTTATCCACGCCTGGGAATGTAGAGACAACAAGATCCCATCTCGCTATCAGAGCTGATAGTCTAGGTCTGTCATCCACTAGGGCTGTCACTAGACACGTGGTTGTGTCTGGAAATGACCTGGAGCTCTGGTGAGCTCCAGCTGAGATGTGCCCTGAGTGCAAAATGCACAGTGGATTTCAAACGGTTCGTATGGTAAAGAGAATAGAAACTGTCTCGTTAGTTTTTTTGTTTTTAATTTTTTTTTTTATTGATCTTAGAGAGAGAGAGAAACATCGATGAGAGAGAACATCTACTGGCCGCCTCCTGCATGCCCCCTCTAGGGATCGGGCCCACAACCTGGGCATGTGCCCTGACCAGGAATCAAACTGGGGACCTCCTGGGGCATGGGTCGACACAACCAGTGCGCCACACTGGCCGGGCAGGGCTTTTGACGACCGAAGTGTCTCTGGGCATTTCCAGATGTTCCTGGGGGACAGAAATCACCCAGTTCAGAACCATTTGTTCAGAGACAGTTAGAAAAGTCTAATGTGCTGTGCTGGAGTGAGCTCAGGCTTTGGGGAGCAAGGGATGGGGTCCTGGAGGGGAAACCTTGAAGCCAGGAACAGAGTCGGCTTCAGGCTTAGCCACTGAAGTTCATTTCCAGACCCAGGTTTCAGGTGGGTAGAACGAAAGGGCCGGACTTGTTGTAACCGCTGGGGGCCTTGTGCAGTGTTTAAAATGAGAGGGTTTATTGGCATCGTTGTGCTCTGATATGAGAGTTGCACTCAGTGTCCAACTTCAAACCCTTCCTGGTTCCCATAGGAAAAGTAGGTGACGCAGGACGAGAATTCTGGATTCTCGAATCTCAGCTCAGCTCGCTGTCCCCTGCCCACCTCTGTGCAGACACAGTTGCCATGGTACCTTTGAGCCACAGCCCCTGCAGGTGCCTTGTGGGGACTCAGCTCAGAGTCCGCTTTGGGGCGGGGCCACCAGTACTTTGCTAGGGCTTTGGCCCATGGTGGAGGCTTGGCACTCCCTAACCAGTGCTTTGCCATCTCTCTCTAGTCCGCAACCATCCCTCTGTTCCTGCGAAACAAGGATGTCGCTGCCGAAGCGGTGAGTCCCGTGTGCCCATGCAGCCTGTCCGTTCTCCCTCGGGAATGAGCCGAGAGGAAGAGCAACCAAAGCCTCTCGCCCCGCAGGTGACAGGTAGTGGGAAAACGCTTGCTTTTGTCATCCCCATCCTGGAGATCCTTCTGAGAAGGGAAGAGAAGCTGAAAAAGAGACAGGTGAGGAGAGAACAGTGCTTCATCTTCGCCGAGTCGTCGGAGAGTTCTCGGTTCACTGGGAAGCTGGGCAGAAGTTCAAAAAACAAATAAAAATCAAGTCTAGTCTCATTAGTCGCCGACTCTGCACCTGTGATTGGACTGTTAGGGAAATGTATTCGTAGCTCCCCAAACCAGCACCCACCGTGCTCATGCTTCTCCCTGGGCTTGTGCAGAACGGCCTGTGTCTGTCCCCCGAGGGGTTTGACAAGGTGACATTTGTACTTTTTTTGATGACTTCACTGTTAAAATGGCCCCAGGCCTAGTGCCAAAGCGCTGTCCAGTGTCGCTGAGTGCAGAAAGGCTGTGACGTGCCTTACGGAGAAAATGTGTTCCATAAGCTTCGTTCAGGTGTGAGCGATGGTGCTGTTGGCCAAGCTCAATGTCAACAAATTAATAATACACATTAAATAGATGTCTTTAAACAGAAACGTAAATCAAGCTTCTACATTGATTGGTTGATGAAAATGGGACCAGAGACTTGCAGGAACCTCACCGCTAAGAGCACTGGTTCCGTATGGGCTAATTCAGGGTTTGTGGCACTCGAGGAACGGAGCCGCCGTGAATGAGGAGAACTGACTGAGTCAAAGTAGTTGATGTGTACAGTGACTGGAGGCTGCCGAGCAAGCCCAGGAGGGGAGGGGAGTGGAGGGCCCGGGGCACATGTGATCTGCTTGCAGGCCCCATGCATGCTCATCATGTCCCTTCCCCCCACCTGGGCAGGTTGGAGCCATAATCATCACACCCACCCGAGAGCTGGCTGTTCAGATAGAGGAGGTCCTGTCGCATTTCACGAAGCCCTTCCCGCAGTTCAGGTAAATGGGACGCAGTGGCCCTGTTAACTACGGGCTGTGATGTTGCCTGGCCTGCTCAAGGACAGTTCCTTGTTTTAGCCAGATTCTCTGGATCGGAGGCAGGAACCCTGGAGATGATGTCGCGAGGTTTAAGGAACACGGGTGAGTTTGCTCCCCATTCAGCAACTGCCCCATCCCTAAAAGGTTTTTTTTCTAGGCCAATCTGCCACTTTGCTCTCTGGCTTCTTCCCTTCAGCCCCCATGAACGCTCCCCTCCTGGGGCCTTACCCCTGCAGGAGAAGGGGGGCTTGGGGTGTGGTCCCCCAACTGTCCCCAGGTGACTGTATGGGGCTCAGGCCTGCTCTTGTCCCTCTGGGCTCTCTTCCAGTGGCCTCACCCCTCCTTTCTCCCCACGGGATCTCGGTGAACTTTCTGGGGGATGGTTACAAACTTGGTATTTGGAGTCACAAGTACCCTCAAGATCAGAGCGTGCGGTAAACATCCACTTTGTCTTCCAAGTGGGAACATCATCGTGGCGACCCCTGGCCGCCTGGAGGACATGTTCCAGAGGAAGGCCGAGGGCCTGGACCTGGCCAGCTGTGTGAGGTCCCTCGATGTTCTGGTGCTGGACGAAGCAGACAGACTTCTGGACATGGGGTTTGAGGCCAGGTACTGGGACTTGGACTCGACTGGCTCTGAGTGATACTGGACGTGAAAAAGGGAGCACAGTGGAATTGTCACCTCGTGGCTCACTCTTCTGCAGCCACACGTGGATTCACTTCATCAGGCTGTTAGCCTTCACAGCCTACCTCACAATTTAAATTCCACTGCTGCTTGCCCAGCCGGTGGGGCGCAGTGGATGGAGCATTGTCCCGTGGACTGAGAGATCTGGGTTCGATTCCCCATCAGGGCACATGCGCAGGTTGCAGGCTCAATCCCCAGTGGGGGGCACGTAGGAGGCAGCCAGTCGCTGTGTCTTTCTCATGTCGATGCTTCTCTCTCTCTCTTCCTCTCTTTCTAAAAAAAGATCAATAACATGTTAAAAATAAATAAATTCCTCTTCTTAAGATGCATTTTCCTTCATGGTTTCTGTTTTTTTTTTTTCATCCTCACCCAAGGACACTCCTCCATTTTTTGTTCAGATAGAGCGGGAGGGAGACAGAGGAAGAGAGAGAGAGAGAAACATCGACGTGAAAGGGGCACATCAAGTGGCTGCCACCCGCACGACCCAACCAGGGCCAGGGACAAACTGCAACCGAGGTACGTGCCCTTAGCTGGAACCGAACCCGGGTCTCTCTGGACAGCAGGCTGACGCTTTAACCACTGAGCCAAACCTGCCAGGGCTTCATGGTTTCTTTTAAAATGTGTGTGTATGTGTGTGTGTGTGTGTGTTTTAGTAAACAGCTTTATTGGGATTTAATTCATATATTGTGCAATTCACCCATTTAAAGTGTACAGTTTGCCTGGCTGCTGTGGCTCAGTAGTTGAGCATTGACCCCTGCACCAAGAGGTCGCCAGTTTGTTTTTTGTTTTTTTTTATCCTCACCCGAGGACATTTTTCCATTTTTTTTGTTCAGGTAGAGTGGGAGAGAGAGAGGAACAGAGAGAGAGAGAGAAACATCGATGTGAAAGGAACACATCGAGTGGCTGCCACCCGCGCGACCAACCAGGGCCGGGGACAAACTGCAACCGAGGTACGTGCCCTTAGCGGGAACCGAACTTGGGTCTCTCCAGACCGCAGGCCGACGCTCTAACCGCTGAGCCAAACTGGCCAGGGTGAGGTCGCCAGTTTGATTCCTGGTCAGGGCACGTGCCCAGGTTGTGCCCCAATCCCCAGTGTGGGGCATGCAGGAGGCGGCCATTTGATGTTCTGTCTCATCAATGTTTCTATCTCTCTCTCCCTCTTCCTTCCTCTCTCTCAAATCAATAAAGAAAAAAAAATAAAGTGGACAGTTCAGTGGTTTTTAGTCTCAAAAAGTCATATACTGTATTCACTCTCTTCTTTGAATTGTCTCACATCATGAAAGTATAATTTTGTGCTGATATTGGAGAAACTGTGGGAAAATGAGAATGTAGAAAAGAAATAAAAGTCACCCATAATCTCACCTCTCAGTAACATCTACCTTAAATATTTCGTCTTTTTCAAGACCTGTTTAGTATCATAATGCAATATTTGTTGATTATGCTGATAAATTATGGGTTCAGTTTATACTTTTTTTTTTTCAGCATAAACACCATCCTGGAGTTTTTGCCCAAGCAGAGGAGAACGGGCCTTTTCTCCGCCACTCAGACGCAGGAGGTGGAGAACCTGGTGCGGGCAGGCCTCCGGAACCCCGTGCGCATCTCGGTGAAGGAGAAGGGCGTGGCCGCCAGCAGCACCCAGAAGACCCCCTCGCGCCTGGAGAACCACTACATGGTGAGCGCTTGCCTGATGCTCTTGCTTGTTCCTGCACGTCAGTGCAGCGATGACAGGGCTGTACTGTGGCCCTGACATTTGCTAAGTGGGTAGAAGGTAACCATGTGACATGATAGGTGTCTTAGTTACCGTGATTGTAGCATTGTTTCACGTTCATCCTGAACATGTATCAGATTATCAAGTTGTACACCTTAGATATGTGCAACTTTTATCTGCCAGTTCCATCTCAGGAAAGCAGCAAGAAATAAAACGTGTTCCAGGCTAAAGCAATGGACTGAAGAGATGTAACTTTTTTTACTTGAACTGCTTTAGGTAAGCTTAGTTCTATTTTTCCTTTTTTGTTTTGTTTTGTTTAATGAGGTCACTGTGTGAGAAGTTACTGGATTTTTTTCCCCCTTTATAGATTTTAGAGAGAGAGGAAGAAGGGAGAGGGAGAGAGAGATAGAACATCGACTGGCCGCCTCCTGCATGCCCCCCACTGGGGATCGGGCCCACATACTGGGCATGTGTCCTGACCACGAATCGAACTGTGCATGGGTCGACGCCCAGCCACTGAGCCACACTGGCTGGACAAGTTACTGGGTTTTTCAGTCAACTTCGTCTCTTTCACCTTAGAGAGGAGTTGAAGGGCAGTGGGAAAACCAGGGACAGGCTGACCCGGAGAGAGCACTGGATCGGCCTCTTATTCCCTTAGCTTTTACTTGTTTATCTGTTTTATTCATAGTCTTCATCTTGTTCTTGAAGAATTCTGGGCGGTTCTTTTAGAAGACTAAATTATGGAATAGAATGGAAACTACTAAAAATGTTACGGTGCAGAAAAGGGGAAGTCTGTCTTCCCTTTCAAATGGTCGACTGTAATGTCTTAGCAATTTAGTAGGTTTTTTTGTTTTTACCTACTTGAAAAATGATTTCTTAAATTTTTTTTTAACCTTCCTATTTGTATATTTTATCAGTATGGTACAGGTTCTCACGAATGCATGTTAGCTGAGAATTTGACCAAACAAGCAAACATTAATAATTAACGTTCTTGGAATTAACTTGCATTTTTTAGGAAAGTAAGTCTATAAAATGATACCCTTGGTATATTTCAAAATGCATTCGAAACAGAGCAAGACAAGTGATGAAGGGGCTACACCTGTTGAATGAGGGGCCAGGTTAACGTGGGCATACATGTATGTTAACCATAGTCTCCAAGGACAGTGTGTATGCACCTCCTGCCCCCAAGTGGTCACATGTTTTATTACACGTGGTGGGGTGTGCTGGGTGCCAGCCTAGCAATCAAGTGGTAGACTGGCTCTGAAGGAGACCACTGGGTGACTGCTCTGCTGCTTTGCAACCTAAATGTTTTATAGTTTTGATCTGCAGCTGGGAGAAGTTGGACTTGCAGCAGTAAATCCTAGGTGCGGGATCCTATAGTTTCCTCCCCAGGCAGCGGGAGGGCTTTTGGGAATGAGCCCACCCTTCCATTCTCTCCCATCGCTGGGCCATCCAGGTGACAGCTGGGAGCACCCACGAGCCAGTGCCACTGCGTGCTAAGGTGTGTCTAAATCAGCCAGGGACAGGCCCCTCTTTCAGCCAAGAGGGCTCCTCAGCTTGTGAACGAGGCTCGTGTTCACAGGGGTGTGGGCTGTTTCCAGTTCGGGGTCCCTGCTGCTGTGGACTGTGAGGGCGACCACAGTCCTTTGAGTCAGCTCATGGCAGGACTGGAGGTAGAACGAGTTTGCAAATCAGACACCACCTCCAGGGCAGCTGCATGGAGAATGTGGTCGAGACCACACAGGCTCAGGCTAGGTGGGAGCTGGGCTTGGCATCGACGCCTCTGCCCGGGGCGGGGCTGGCAGTCAGGAGGCCGGCTTTTCCTGGGCCGGGAGAGGCTCCGTGTGCAGCTTAGCACAGAGTGTGGTGCGCGTCTTGCCGCTGTCCCTTTCTAATGGGACCAGACGCCCTCACCTGTCAAACGGGCTCAGGCAGGGCCCACTCGTGGAGTTGTTGCGAGGATGAGGGTGTTAGTACGGTGAGGGTCCAGGCCGTGCTCAGTGCACAGGGCACTAGCAGACACTCTCTTGGAATGTCGCCGTGGCTGCTGGGGTGCCTTCATGTAAGGACTGCGCCTGGGGGTCCGAGCGCCTGAGAAGAAATTCCAACCTGGGAGTTTGGGTTTGGTAAAGACGGGGCAGTGCACTCATGTGGCTGTACATTTCCCCAGGTCGGGGGCCTGCATAGAGCAGTCGGCTGCGTTATGGAGTGAGACCGGCATCTGTCTGTCTCCATGGAGGTCTCTCAGATGACAGGCATCCCTTCTGGGAACCTGTGTTGCCCTTGGAACAGTGGCTCTGCACTTGGCCATGCACCTGTCTGCTGGGAGCTCTTATGTCACCTGGACCCTGGGGTCCAGTCCTAGGCCCAGTAGATTTTGTGAATTATTATTGTCTGTACATTTGTTTTTATTTTATTTTATTTTATTTATCTTCCTTTCCATGTAGGTGTGTAAGGCAGATGAGAAGTTTAATCAGCTGGTACATTTTCTTCGCAATCATAAGCAGGAGAAGCACCTGGTCTTCTTCAGGTAAGGCTCCTGGGCTTTGGTGGGCTGGGGTTCCGCCGCACCCAGACATGCAGGTGCACGTGGGCCTCAGGTTTGGAGTCCTCTCAGTTGGGATGTTCTCAGTTAGGAACGTGTTTGGGTGCAGATAACTGAAAACCCAACTCCTGTAAAAAGAAGTCCCGACGTAGGCAGGTCCCGACACTGCCCCGTGTCTCAGCAACGTCGGGTCGGGTGGTGATGGCCTCTCCTTTCTGTGTGTTACCGTGTAGCTTCACGGTGATTGCTGTCATGCCCGTCCCGTCTGCACTGACAGCCGAGAGAGGAGGAAAGTCACGGAGGGGAAGGGCAGTGAGCTCCCTCCGTCCCTTCAGTCAGGAGACAGGAAGCTCTCTCAACATCCTCTCCTCCCTGACGGCTTCCCAGCTGTGGGCCAGGGGTGGGCCATCCACAGCCCTCCTGCAGAGAGGGGAGAGGGTGACTGCCGCCATCTGTCCCAGCGTCTGTAGCGAGGGAGGTGGAGGAGGCTGTCAGCATGGCGCTGGGCCAGCTAGCCCAGTGTCTGCAACGTGGGGTCCGTGCTGCCGTCAGAACGCAGACAGGAAGGAACAGCTCTGCGTTCTCTGGGCGTTTCTCCTCCAAATTGAACTGTGGAAGTGGTTTTTCTGGCAATACCCACAGATTTTTCTTTTCCACCTGTCATTCCACCAATAAAATGCATTAGCTATATCGACCCACAGTTAAGAAATAGAACCTGGTACACAGACATACATGCATGAATCAAAGATTTCACCAAACTGCTTGCCTGGGTGGGAGGTGTTCTGATGTTTCCCCTTCCGGTCCAAACTCACTGAATTGACTCCAGGAGGCACCTGATTGCTTCAGGGTCTCACTGCTTTCTCCCGTGCTCATGTGACTCGTGGTGGAAACGGTGAGGCAGTCGTGTATCAGGTGTGTGAGACGCAGGTACTAAGTGACAAGAGAGCCCCGCTGGGAATCCGCAGCCCAGTGCGGTGCGGGGAGCCCTGGAGCGGGACCAGACCTTGGCTCTGGCCCATGTTTAAGGGAGTCTGTGGGCAGAGAGTTCGGGATGAAGAGCTTAGCTGTGTACTCAGCCCCTGCCTTCTCCCGGGGCTGGCTCATCACTGGTCTGGTGCTGGGGCTCCCTCCCCCGCTGCAGGCCTGAGCCCGTCCCTCTCGCAGCACCTGCGCCTGCGTGGAGTACTACGGGAAGGCCCTGGAGGCGCTGGTGAAGGGCGTGGAGATCCTGTGCATCCACGGCAAGATGAAGTACAAGCGCAACAAGATCTTCACGGGCTTCCGGCGGCTGCAGAGGTGGGCCCCCAGCTGCCGCGCACCTGCGCGCCCCCGCCTCTCACGCTTTGCGGGCTTCTCTTCCTGCGGGAGCCCCTCCTCTTCTCCCCCAGTTACCACGCCCTCTGTGCAGATGCCCAGCCTGTCCCTCTGTCCTGGCCCTATTCATTCCATTTCCCTTGGCGCCTGTGGACTTCCCCGCAAGGTTTTGAGCTCCGTGAGTGAGAACAGTAACCCGTGTGCCCTGTTCACTCCCGGATTCCCCGGTGTCTGGCCAGGCCTGGCCAGGGGGGTTGGGGTAACGGCGAGTGGGTGTGTGGAGTGGTTAGGAGCTGCCCATTACATGCAGCTTGCAGGTGTCAGCAGGTGACTACACAGAGGGCACTGGTGCCTCGGTGACCGTGACTTCGTGCTGTTTGTGCATATAAATGAGACTTTCCTGTTTTTCTTTCATTTTTTCTTTCTTCTTTAGAAAGTTTTTGTAAGAGTTTATTTGAGCCAAACTGATGACATGCCAGGAACACAATCTCAAATGCTTCCCTTTTTTGTTTTTCTTAATCATGGAGCATCCTGGCCACGTTAAAAACACACATTTGGTCCAAGTGATGAAACTGATGGTTACACCTCAGTCAGCCACAGAAAGTTGCTCTTGCTTTTTTTTTTTTTTTTAAATGGCTGTAAAGGCTTAGCCCCTCTGTAGTTTCTTTTCTCAAGTGGAAATGGACCAATTCCAATGACCCTTTCACTGTCTCCACCCACCTCCTGTGGTCACAGGGAGTTTCCAAGTCCTCGACTCTTAGCAGGGAGAGCCAGCAAAAACGTTCTCACTAACGGTTTGCCCCGGAGGGACTCGAGCCTGTCGCTGTTGCCGGCGGAGATAGGCCCAGGCTGTGACGCAATGCAGCCGCAGCCGCCGCTCACTGTGCTGTGCTCTGCTTTGTAGCGGGATTCTCGTGTGCACCGACGTGATGGCCCGCGGCATTGACATCCCCGAAGTGAACTGGGTTTTGCAGTACGATCCCCCCAGCAACGCAAGGTACCGCGTGAAAGAGCGCTGCCCGCTGTCTGGGCGTCCGGCCTAGACGTCGGAGTCTCTAGGGAGATGAACAAGATGATGTGGCAGGCGTTTAGATGGCAGCCGCAGGCGAGGGGCTGAATCACTGCTTTGGTGGTAGTGCTACCATGTTACACAGCATTTTCAGTCCTTTTCAAATGCTTTTTCTTAATCACTCAGGGGTTCTTTTTTCCCCCATTTTATCTTCAGATTGGGGGAGAGAGAGAGAGAGAGAAACATTGATGTGAGCCCTGGTTGGTTTGGCTCAGCGGTTAGAGCCTTGGCTTGCGGACTAGAGTCCCGGGTTCGATTCCTATTAGGGGCTTGTACCTCGGTTGAGGTTTGTCCCCAGCCCTGGTTGGGGCCGTGCAGGTGGCAACCGATTGATGTGTCTCTCTCACATCGATGTTTCTCTGTCTCTCTTTCTCCCACTCTGTCTGAAAATAAATGTAAAAATATCTTCAGGTGAGGATTGAAAAAAAAAAAAGAAGTTTAGAAAAGAAAAACAGTGTGCGTAACCCCATATAGGAAATTTCAGTTTTCTCCCAGAACAAGTATATATTAGCAGTAAATGCTCCCAAACATCAGAAGATGACTATAAATATAAGCTGAGCAATAGTAGTGTTACTTCTGGGAGGGAGGCTTCCAGGTCATCTCTCCCTTCTTTTGTGTGTTGTTCGTTTGCCAGATTTCCTTCTAGGACTACGTCCAGCCTGTGCCAACTATTTACACACTATAGTTCACGTTAAGTGTCTTACGGAATCCTGCCTGGCTTGCAATGTGTACTTAATCGCTAACTCTTCCGTTTCCACACTAGGCAGGTGCAGAGCAGGGCCCGAGTGGCAGTCAGGCAGCCCCAGGCCTGTGCTGTGCTCGGCCGCTGTCACGCGGTCTCACGTCCCCGTCCCGTGTTCACAGTGCCTTCGTGCATCGCTGTGGCCGCACAGCCCGCATCGGCCGTGAGGGCAGCGCGCTGGTGTTCCTCCTTCCCATGGAAGAGTCCTACGTCAATTTCCTTGCCATCAACCAGAAAGTAAGCTGTCTTCTCTCACACAGAATGCCTGAGGCCGGGGTAGTTGCAGAAGTTTCCAGCAAGTGGTGGGGAACTTAGATTGGGGGTTGCAGACTCACAGGGTCAGGCTGGTGATGTAGTGCAGGAACCTGGTGTGGAGACACCAGCCTCGAGGGTGGCAGCCACGGCCCAGCCCCCGCCTCGTGTCACTGGTGGGAATGTGGGCCTGGTATTACTATATGTTTCAACCAAAAGTCAGGATTATTATGTAAAATCTAATTTAAAAATTTCCTTTCAAAACTTTAAAATACTTTTGGACCAAGAAAACACTTGGTTTGGATTTGGGCTTCACGGCCTCTCGTCTGAGATTCAGATGAGTTGTTTTGCCTTTGGTTGTACTGGCCCTGACTGGGGGGGAGCCTCGGGGACAGAGAGTGAGGACGGTCTGTGCAGTGCCCCCTGCAGGAGATGAGGCCCCAGAGGAACACGGCGGACCTCCTTCCGAAGCTCAGGGCCATGGCGCTGGCCGACAGGGCCGTGTTCGAGAAGGGCATGCGGGCCTTCGTGTCGCACGTGCAGGCCTACGCGAAGCACGAGTGCAGCCTCATCTTCAGACTGAAGGGTGAGTGGGCTTCGTCTCCGCCTGGAGAGCGTCCGCTGCCACAGGTGCTGCAGGGTGGAGCTTTGTCTCATGGGCGTGTCGGGCGTGTCGGGTGCCATTCTCTGAACATTTGACAGGCAGCCTTCTCCCTAGGGTTTAGTAGACACAGCAAACTGGCAGCTGAGAATTCCTTTTTATCGACTGTAGCCATTTTATCGACTGCAATGGCTCCACTAGGTCACTGGGTTAGAAACGATCTTGCTGGGAATCCTCCACGGGCCGTTGGAACCCTCTTCTGGACGAGCTCACTCTGGCGTTTTGGTCTGGCCAGATCTGGATTTCGCCGCGCTGGCTCGCGGCTTCGCCCTGCTGAAGATGCCCAGGATGCCGGAACTGAGGGGAAGGCAGTTCCCGGACTTTGTGCCCGTGGACGTCGACACAGACACCATCCCATTCAGAGATAAAGTCAGAGAGAAGCAGAGGCAGAAACTGCTGGAGCAACAGAGAAATGAGAAAACAGAAAATGAAGGGAGGAGAAAATTCATAAAAAATAAAGCTTGGTCGAAGCAGAAGGCCAAAAAGGAAAAGAAGAAAAAGAATAAAAAGAGAAAAAAGGAAGAGGTAAAGCTTGCTGTTTCATTGTTTCCGTATCCACCTTAGGATTCTGAACCAGTGCCGTTGAAATAGCATCTTCTAGTAGGAATTGCATGGGGTGCCCACGCTTCTGTTATGTTGGTGACGGGGAGTAGGGGGCTCACTGTTTGTGGAGCTGATCTGAGAGCATGTTGTTCCTTATTAAAGGTTGCTGGTTTCACCCGGAACTCTGTTGCTGAGAAATTCAGGGGTTTGTGGTCTCTTCTGCATTCAGGGTTCCGACATTGACGACGAGGACATGGAGGAACTTCTTAATGACACGAGGCTCTTGAAGAAGCTTAAAAAAGGCAAAATCACGGAAGACGAGTTTGAGAAGGGGTTGTTGACGAGTGCCAAGAGGTTGCTCAAGACAGCAGACCCTGGGGCCTTGGATCTGGGAGCGGACTGCTGATTCCGGAGCCCCAGGAGCGCACCTGCACGTGGCCAGCGGTGCACGTGGCTGGCAGCGCGAGTCGGCGACCAGAGCCTCCGCAGACGTGCTGCCCGTCCAGACTGGGGAGAGGGAGGGGCTTGTACTAATGGATTTTTTAAAAATAGGTTTTTATTGATTTTTTTTTTAGGGAGAGATAGAAACATTGATGTGAGAGAGAAACATCGATGGGCTGCCTCCTGCACGCTCCCCACTGGGGATCGAGCCTGCAACCCAGGCATGTGCCCTGACTGGGAATCACACCGGGACCTCTCCGTCCATGGGATGACACTCAGTCCACTGAGCCACACCGGCTGGGCACACTCATGAATATTTTATTAAAAAACATACCGACCTTGAAGTCCCACAGTAGATGTAAAATTATTTTAATGTAAATAATGGATGTCAATATTTATTTTGACAGGTCACCTATTAACTAAAGAACTCATTTTTCTGGGCCTATTTTATACTTATTTTTAATATACAGATACTGAAGCATATTTGATTTGAGGCTTTTTAAAGTTCCTCAGTGTTCCAGGCCTGAGCTCCCTGTGTCCTCACCCTTGGACTTCGTTATCTCTGGTGCAGTGCGCAGGACACCAGCTTAGGGACCAGTTTTCTAGGGTTTTTCTTAGAACAGTCCCTGTTCTCGGGGAGTATCTGAAAAACTGAGGAAATAAGCCATATTCTGGGCAAGAAAACTATTATACCTTCTGTTGAATAAACTGCCTTTCTAATTGACTGTCTTCAGAGTGTGAATGTGGCCACACCGTCTTTGCCAAGATGGCCAACGGCCTGGGTCAGCTCTTAGTATTGATGCAAAACCATATCAAAGTCTTTCATGTCATTTATTTGAAAAGATGCTGAATTTGTTCTCAAGTACAAATCTGAAAAGTTGTTCAGGTCCCAAACCTGTTAAGATTCACATGTACAAATGTTCTGTAAGGCGTCTTCGAAAGTGGGGAGTCTGCAGGAAACTCCTGCTAAACGCCATTTCCACCTTCCTTGGGATCTCGCAGTTTCCATTCCGTTTGGCTCGATGCTGTCCAGGGGAGGGCGGCGCCTGGCTCGTGTTCGCCACGGGACGCCCGGTGCCAGCCGAGCAGGTGTTTGCTGCTGCTTGTAAGGCGCCACAGTATCACGTGTCGGGCAGCTGTTCATCATCGAAGCGATGCCTGCGCAGCGAGGAACACCCGCTCTTTGGGGCTGTGTGTCTTCAATGGGTGCTTTTGGCAAATCAGTGTCGTGCAGAGGGGTGAAGGGAGGGGTCTGGGGAGTAAGGACCCAATAACCTAACGTGTATTTTTCTAAACGAGTGAGTGAAAGTATCTGGAAACCGTCAGTACCTTTAGGCTGCGTTTTAGGGGAAGCAGGAACATGTTTAAATGGGGCTGAAAAGAGTAAAAACTTCGCCAGGACTTAGGATTTTAGGTCCTTAGTCCATAAATCTCTATTAAAAACCGAAGGCGCCAGGCCTGGCGCACGGAGGGCAGAGGCTCCTGACACCGCGAGGCAGCTGTGCAGGGGGGGTCCTGTCACAGGTACAGCTTGATGAGCTCGTCGCTGACCGCCGAGGGTGTCAGCACCCCCAGGTCTGTGAACAGCAGTGTTATTAAGGACGGGGAGGTGTAGTCCACCCATGGGTGCTCCTCTCTGAGATCTCGCCCCGTCTGCACAGACTTCAGAGTGTGCGCCTTGTACTGAGGAGACAAGAGGCTCGCGTTAGTCGGCCCCCACGTACTCCGGCTCTGCACTGAGGCCCTGGCCTGAGTGATCTGCGTGTGACCGCTGAACCTGCCCTCCGCACACGAGAGGAGCCAGTGACGAGCACATCGGCAGGAGGGCGGTGCTATGGGATGGCCTGGCCCAGAAGGCTACACCGCGTGTCCTCGCAGTGTGCTGGCCAGACTCCTCCAGACCCTCAAGGTAACAGCGTTTAGCATGAGCTTACCATGTGCCAGGCACTGTGCTCCACTCTGCCCACGGACTGTCTCAGAGTCTCAGTGACTGCTGAACTGTTTTATCATGGAGACAACGGAAGTTTGGAGCTCCAGCTGCAAGGTCGGTCAGCGGTAGAAAAGGGAGCCAAGTCCAGACAGCTGACTCCGAAGCTCGCAGTCCACTCCCGGCCCTTCCTGCCTCCCAGCCCGCACCCGAGGTTTCAGTTTAGACTCGGATACCCCTTCAAAGACGTAAAACTTGCCTTGAACTTCTCTGGGACGTCTTGCTGGTTTAGTGGGAAGAGCCGTACAAACTTGAAACTCTCTGCAACCACGTAAAAAGGCTTGTTCTGGGCCTTGGCGCACACAGCCATCTGGTTGGTTCCAATCTGGGAAGTCGGAGAAAGGAGACAGGCGTGATCTTAGCGCAGCTCAAGGGGAAGCAACAGAGACTATGAGTGAACGGAATACATGCAGTTCTGACTTGGGAACTGAAGAGGATCTTTTTAAAAAGAAAACAAAAGAGATTTTCCCAAAGATAAAGTGGCAGTGAACTCATGAAAAGATGCTCCAGGTCCTTAGCCACTAGGGAAATGCAGGTCAAAGCCATAATAAACTATTACTGCATACCTACTAGGATGCTATGGTTGGTTTTTTTTTTTTAAGTGTTGGCAAGGAGGAGAGAAATGAATCCTTGTACATTGCTGGTGGACAACTGGTGATTCCTCAAAGCCAAACACAGAATTGCCATGTGACCTAGCAGATCCACTCTTAGGTATGCCCACAAGAACGGAGACCAGGGACTCAACCAGGCAGCTGTGCACCCATGTTCACAGCAGCGTCACAATAGCCAAACAGGGCCCCGGCCGGTATGGCTTAGCGGTTAGAGCATTGGCCTGCGGGCCAGAGAGGCCCAGGTTCGGTTCCCGCTAAGGGCCCGTACCTCTGTAGCAGTTTGTTCCCGGCCCTGGCTGGGGTCGTGCGGGTGGCAACCAGTTGTGCCTCTCTCAAAAAAAAAAAACAAAACCCAGAAAGTAGACACTATGCCCATCCGTGGATGAATAGATGGACTAGATGTGGTCCTTCCCACAGTGGAACATGATCAGCCACAAGGGGGAACGAAATGCTGGCACACACATGCCACGCCCTCAGTGACCTTGGGAAACAGCATCTAAGTGAAAGAAGCCATGAGTCTACTCCTGTGCGGTCCCTGGAATAGGCAGAAATCCTGGAGACAGAAAGACTACGGGATGCGGGGAGCAGGAGTGGTGAATTTTGCTTCATGGTGACAGTTTCTGTTTGGGGTGATGGGAAAGTTGTGAAAACTGGTGATGGTACCACAACAGTGTGAATGTGTTTAATGTCATTGAACTGCACACTCAAGAATTGTTAAAATGGCTATTCTGTGTTATACATATTTTCACACACACAGAAAACAAACTATCATGAAATCTTCCCAGGTTAAGCATTGGATAGAGAAATTTTAACATATTCTATTGATGTCAAATACATTCAAAGGAAAAACCAACCAAAAAACTCAATTTCAGTTAAAACATGTTTTGCAGAAATATAAATCACATTCCCCTAACTTACACAGGATCAGTCTCCAAAGCAGAAGGGAACTTGGCCCAAACTGGACCGACCACTGCAATGGCCTCTGGGAGCTGGGAACCGAGTCACTGCGCCAAGCAGGACCAGGTGACTGAGCCACAACTTGGCTCGCACCGCTGCGGCGACCCGGGCCTGAGGCACATCCCGTGCCTGAACTCGGGACTGCGGAGAACAAGGCTCCTACCTTGTTGATAATGCCTCCGTTTTCAACAACTCCTTCAGCACCAACTATGACAATATCCACTTTCTCCATGATGTAGCTAAGGAATTAACAAAAAAATGTTTATGCTCGTTTCTTGGCTCCTGTTAGCAGCATCACCACCTGCAAAGATTAACATGCGTTTTCTCATGGTAAGTTCCCCTTGTAACTAATTTGCTCTCAAAGACCCTCCACACCTGACGCAGCCCCTGGCACCTCTGTCAGCTCTGCTGCCAGGGCAGTGAGACCTGTTTTGGCCACGACCCATTCACTCTGCCACCAAGGATGCGCACAGGCGTGCGTCCCTGGAGCAAGACCAGAAGAGCCGGCACTGACCGTGGTACGCGGGGTGCCCTGTTCTCTGCGCTGCTTCAGTCCGCACAGAACCGGCATTCACAGCCCTGACGCGGGCTTTCAGGGAGGGCGAAGGCCAATTCACCTTTCAAAGTGAGCCTCTAGTAGACTTCTTCCAAATGCTCACTCTTGAACACATTCCTAATGTCCTCACTCATCTGCCTTATGTGTTTTCTCTGTAAGATTGTTACTCCTGTTCTCTCCTGTGAGGTGCACCGACGGGTGACCTTGGTTTGAGTGGCATGGGTGAGACGAAGGACACCCACGTCTTCAGATGAAGGGGGAGCACTAATCACATGTGCTGACCTTAACCCGACCTTTGCACCTTTCTCTTCAAATGCACCATAATGCTACATAAACAACCCCCTCCCCAGCATCCTCCAGCCTGTCTTCTGTGTGCACCATCAAGACCCTGTAACAAGCTTGCTGGTCTAGGGCAGCTGTCAATCAAGAGGCAGGATGCTCCCCAGTGCAGGTTTATGAGTGGGGCTCAGACCTGCAATCTGCAAACCCTGGTCCAGGACAACCCTGGGACAGGCTGGGGACAAGTAATTACGACCAGGGACACAGGGTGCTTACCCCACAGCAGCATCCAGGACCACAGTGACAGGGACGTTGAGGTGGCACAGGGCTTTGGCCATTCTCTTACTGCAACGACATTTTGAAAACATCAGAGAAAGTCCCAGGAGTCCCAGACTGCTGTATGATGAGTCACTCAACTGACAACGCTCAGTCACGTCAGCTGTTCCTCGGACGTGACTACTAAATAAACCCCTCGGTCCCGCACTGTGACCCACTGTAACTTCACGGCCTCTCCGGGGGCAGGAGCAGGCGCAGTCGGGCAGTGCTGACTGGCACATCGGGGCATGTTCTGGCTCCTCTGACAATGGCCTCTAATCCTCAGTTTGCTCTTTAAAATGACGTCTGGACACACAGCCTAGTGCAGAGATACTTGCCCGGATAAGTCAGGCTGCGACTCGGTGATGTACACACTGAAGCGCTTCTTGGCCGCCACGGCTGCTTCCAGGACCTTCAGGACCACTCGGGAGTAGGCGTGAGTTAGTATTCTCTGTGGGCCGAGAAAGCTCCGTCAGGGGCAAGCCTCGGACGACCACCCACACCCTGGGCCGCCCTGATGCGTCCCTGGCACCCCGGCTCTCCTGTACGCTTCCTCCCAAACCAGCTGTGATCGGAAGGTCCTGGGTAGCGCCCCAAGTTTGAAGCCCACAACTAGCTGAAAAAGGTTTCTGCCAGAGGAATCTGTTGTGGGCCTCCTCCTCCCACAGCGGGTATGGAAGTGGGATCCCCACCCGTGGACAAAAGCCTTCATGTTTGAAGGCTCCGTTAGAGCCCTCTGGGTTGCTTTCCCATCTCTCAGCTGTGGGGTGCACACTCGGGCCAGGTGGTCCCACTGCAGCCGCATCCTGATTTTTCTCAAGGAGCCAAAATGCTAGTATCTAAATGTTGGTCAACTAATTATTTTACTTTTATGGACACCGTTTGGGGTGAACAACCCATTTGTGGGCAGACACCCAATGTGCAGACCACACCCCTCTCCTGAGGAACGGAGTACAGAGGACAGTGCAAGATGGACGGACATGGCTCCCCAGCCCCTTTCCGGCCCGAGTGCTGGTTAGAAATGCGGGTTCTCAGGCCCCGCCCTAGACCTACTGAATCAGAATCTGCATTTAATAAGCTCCCCGGGCTCCGCTCTACGTGTATTTTCCGTCGCGCTGCTGCAGGCTGGTGGTCCACGTTAAGGTGCACGGGAGCAGGCGAGACCCACAGAACACCGGCAGCTCACCGAGCTCACGCGGCCAGAAAGGGCTTTGTTTGCAATTGGCTTTTGTACAAGTCCTGCTCGCATCCGTGACGTCATTTATTTAATAACACACTTCAAAGTTTGGGGAGAGGGTGATAAAACATGATTTCAGAGTCGAAATGCGTGTCAGTGATTTTATGGTCTCTGGTGGTTTGCTGGCAGAAAGGAGGCACGCCGGTGGCAGACGTCATAAAAGTCTCACTGGCCTTGTGCTGGGAGACCGACCTAACCTGCAGCTCCGGTCTCGCCTCCCCCGCAGCACCCAGCCGCTTTGCATCCCTGTGACAGCGTTTGACATGAAGCTAAAAAATCTCAATCCAGTGCTGACCTTCACCAGGAAGACAGACAGCATTAACCAGTGACAAGAACTGTTCTGTGTTGATTTAACTCATATTAATGGAGTACATATCCAATAATACAAATATTTCCTTAGTAAGGCATCTTATTAACTCGAGAATCCCCCATGCTGTCCCACTGTGTTTCTCTGCCTGCTTAAAACAACATCTGTGACAATAATAGCCACGTTTACCTAGTGCTTACTGTGTGCCTGGTGCAATGCAGAGTCCTCCCAAAAACCCTGTGAGGTAGGTGCTGTTATTCTCTTATTTAGCCATGAGTAGACAGCAGAGAGGTTAAGCGACTTGTCCAAGGTCACACAGCAAATAAGTGGCAGAGGCAGGATTTTCCCCAGGAGCTGAACTCCAAAGGCCTTGTTCCCAGTTACCATATACGATATTGACTCACCGCCCCGTCTTTGATGAAAGTATGGCACAGATCTGCAATTTTACTTCTCGACAGCGATATTCTCCTGAGAAAAAGCTCCCCCCGCTCAATCATGATCTTTTTACACTTGGAGTAATCCTAGGAAAGGAAGGGCAAAATGAGGGCAAGGGGGAAGGCCAGGCAAAGCCGAGAATATTCGCAGCCAAACAGAGGAGTGGACAAGGAGCGCGAGGGAGGGCAGGGCTTACAGAGTACTCCAGGGAGGTGAGGCTGATGAAGCGCAGGAAGAGCTCCCCGCCCGAGGACACGGCCACGGAGGAGTCCACGCCACACAGGGTCTCTATGGCTCTGGTGAGATTCGCTCTCAGGCCCTGGATTGTCTCCCCTGGATTGATCACATGAAAAATGTGATGTTCATCATAGTATCACAGCCCCTTGGCGGGTCTGCAACTCCTTCATTTATTCATTCGACTAATATTTCCTGGGTGCATTCTGTGTGCCGGGCACTAGTCTAGATGCCAGAGATATATCCATGAACGAGACAGTCAGGGTCCCTGCTCTGATGGAACTCCCTTTCTAGTGGAAGAGGCAGAAAATGAACAAATACACGGAGAAATAAGGAAGTTAATGAGATTGTCACGAGGACAGAAAAGAGCACAGTGATGCAAAAGGCGAAGCTATGGTGGAGTGACTAGAGATGGCTTCCTGGAGTGGAGGCCATTCGAACTGAGACCTGAGGAGGAAAGGATCCAGCCACACAGAGATCCAGTGGGAACATTCCGGGAGCAGGCTATGATGATGCAAAGGCCCCGAGGTGGGAACAAACTCAGTGAGAAAGAAAGAGAGGCCAGCATGGCTGAAGCACAGGTCAGAGGGCGCACATAGAAGGAAATGAAGGAGCAGCAGCAGATGAGGTCTGTGAGGTGGTGCCGGTGAGGATCAGGTGTCTGGATGCTATTGTAAGTTGGAAAGCTGAACTGCTATAATTTAAGCTTCCAGGTCAAATTGATATAAAATGGTCACTCTTGATTCAAAGTATATTTCACTTATGAAAGGGAATCCATTTAGTGGTAACTTGGGGGCTCACTCCAGTTTAAAAGAAAGACTGAAATGAAAGAAGATGCTGAACTTGGGGAGACATTACCTTATATAGGCACACACACATCTCTCACTGTCTATACTTCTAGCAGTTACTAGAGACTTTCCCAAGTCCCAGTGTGTTCGAGGACGACCCTCACCTTTATCTCGCTTCAAGAACTCCAGCAAAGTCCGTATGGCAGCCACTGCTGAGGCCGTGTCAGGATCTTTTTTCATCTGAGACTTAAAGTATTCGATTAACTCTAGGAAGAGAGAAAAAAGTGATCCATCCAATCCATTTAGCAGGATGGAAGGCCAGAGAGCTTGTCAATAACTGTTGACCTTAAGAAGCAACATAAGCCCTGGCTAGTTTGGCTCAGGGGTTGGAGCATTGGCCTGTGGACCAAAGGGTGGCAGGTTTGATTCTAGTCAAAGGCATGTACCTGGGTTGCAGGTTAAATCCCCGGCCCTGCTCAGGGTCGTGTGGGAGACAACCAATCGATGTGACATCGATGTTTCTCTCTTTCTTGCTCTGTCTCTTTCCTTCCCTCCCTTCCATTCTATCTAAAAATCAACGGAAAAATGTCCTCGGGTGAGAATTAACAACAACAAAAAAGTTCATCATGTATTTAAAAGGACATGTCTAGGTTAAGTTACGATGCTAACTAGATATTCCAACCACTGTGTGCTGATATGGGTCCAAAAACAAGATGCATTCAAAAACTTTCTTTTCAGGGTGTCCGGCTTTAGGGGAATGACAATGGTGAACGGGGCTAGCGATGACATCTACTAAATGATACTGAAAGACCATTCTCCCTCTTGTCCGAGGCCCCAAGATGCAACCACCTTATGAATTTCTCCAGCACCCCTGCGACAGTCCATCTATGCTAAGTCCAGCCTGTTCACACACAGACTATTTACGTGCACGCAGAGGGCCAGCCCCCTTCATTTTTAACATGAAAGCTACAACAGCCCCTGTATTTCACTTCCTACAGCATTTTGGTCACCACACCGGACAAACACATCAAACACGCCTTATTCCCTTGACTCTCGTAGCAGAGTCAACAGGGCAGGGAGTCTTATTCTTTCCTCCTCCACCTGCGGGGACCTCAAGGCTCCTAAGACTCGCACGCTCCGTTCGCAGTCCCACTTTTTGGGACGAGGGCACTGGAAGGAAGCGCGGGGAGAGAAGGTGTCTGCGGATCCACGCGGGGTCCCTCCCCTGGATAAAGGACCACGAGGAGGATCAGAGGACCCACGTCCAGCCGAGCTCGGAAAGTGACCTCTCCCGGAGCCCAGGCTGGAGGGACGCCCGCGCGGCTCCGCTTGAGACCCAGCAGGCCCGTTCCGTCCCGATTTACCCTTGTCGTCCATGGCGTCCTCCGGACCGCGGAGCCCGGGGGGCCCGGAGCCGCCCGTGCCGCCTGGATTAAGCGCCGCGACCGCGCCGGCTCGGGGCCGCAGAGACTGACAGCGCGCGGCGCCGCTCGGAACTCCACTTCCGGCGCCTTGGGGGCGGGGCCGAGGGCGGGCGCCGGTCTGGGCCGCACCGCGCCTGCGTCACTCGGAGGCGCCGGAAGTCGAGGTGCGCGGCTTCCGGGATGCCCTCCGGACTCCCAGGGCTCTGAGCTGAGGGACTCCGCTCGCCATGGTGTCGGACGGTGAGGCCCGCGCCGGGCGGGACCCGGTCCCCGGCGCTGCAGGGACCAGGCGCGGCCAGGACCGGCCAGAGGGCTATATGCCTTGGGCTGGGCGGGACCTGTTTGGTTTTTAGGGCAGCAGCAGCGTGTTCACTCGGTCAGCAGTGTTGGGTCACCTCCCGTCTGCCAGGCGTTGTTTGCCCAACGCGCGGGGGGAGAACGCGACAGGCCCTCGTGGGGGTGACAGGCCGGTGGGTGAGACCGACCGTAGCCGAGTACACAGAAGTAATGTCGAAGGGGAACGAGAGCTATGCAAACAATATAAGGGGGTGATGTGATAAAGGGGGGGATGGGGGACATCGTAATACTGTCAGCAATAAAAAAATAAAAGATAAAAAAAAAAGAAGAGTTGATGGAGGAGGAGCTGCTTTAAATAGGAGTCCAGGGAACAGCAGCGATATTGAGACAGACGAATGCCGGGTCGCTGTGGCTCCCTGGTCGAGCGTCGACCCTGCACCAAGAGGGTTCGATTCCCGGGGGGGGCACCTGCCCAGGTTGTGGGCCCGATCCCCAGGGCGGGGCGTGCAGGAGGCGGCCAGTCCTGTTCTCTCTCATCGATGTTTCTCTCTCTCCCTCCAAAAATCAATAAAGAAATAATAAAATAAAATACAAACACCTTTGGTTCGTTTAAGACATATTTATTAAGCGTCCTCTATGACTGGGCAGCGAGCGAGGAGCGGCCGGTAAGCAGAAACGAAGCAGGCCAATCCCCGCCTGGTGGAGCTCACGTTCTGGTGTAAGCTGCCGTGGCAGAGAAAGACCCGAGAGCTCGCTCCGGGCCCGCAGAGCTCTCTCCACGTGTTTAAAAGAACTTGGCCTTCTGTTAATCTCATGATTGTCAGATCATAGTCATGGGAAGGCAGGTAGAATGTGAGCTCGGATTCACATTCCCGGGGCTAATGTTTTTTTGTTTTTGTCTAATAATTTTCAGAAGATGAATTGAATCTTCTAGTCATCATAGTTGATACCAACCCGATTTGGTGGGGAAAACAAGCATTAAAGGAATCCCAGGTAAGATTACTTGAGGAGGCCTTTGGGTAATTCTGGTTTAACCAAGTATATGTTTATGTTGCTTTGCCAAAAAAACAAAAACAAAAACACACAGCTTTAGTAAGGTATAATTTGTATATTATACAATTCATCCATTTTAATGTACAGTTCAACGATTCTCAGTAGAACCCACAATAAAGTTATGTAACCATGACCACAATTCTGTTTTAGAGCATTTCTATCACCCCAGAAAGATCCCTCATGCCTGTTTACAGTCAGTCACAGCTTCTACCCCTGATTACAGGCAACCGCTGATCTGCTTTCTGTCTCTATAGTGGACATTTCACATGTTGATTTTTTGAAATATGTGGTCTTTAAATAAAAAACTTTCTATTTTGATAGTAATTATAGACTCACAGGAGATTATAAGAAATGGCACAGAGAGGTCCCTGTGTGCCCTTGCCCAGCTTCCCCCAGTGGAAACATCTCCTATAACTGGTGCAATAGCAAAACCTGGACATTGACATCAGTCCACCCTCAGATCTCATTCACATCACAGCAGTCTTACATCCCTAGGTTGTGCGTGTGGTTCTTCTCTGCAGTTTTATTACCTGCACAGTTTTGTGTCATCTTCACAATCAAGAGACAAGTGCTCCATCACACAGGCGTGACTTTGTGCTCCCTTTGGGGTTGCTACACTTTTATAGTCCCTGGTCCCACTTTTTTTTTTTTTTTTATCCTCACCCGAGGACATTTTTCCATTTTTTCATTTTTTGTTCAGATAGAGTGGGAGGGAGGGAGAGAAAGAGAAAGAGAGAGAGAGAGAGAAACATTGACGTGAAAGGGACACATCGAGTGGTTATCACCCGCACAACCCAACCAGGGCCGGGGACAAACTGCAACCAAGGTACATGCCCTTAGTGGGAACCGAACCCGGGTCTCTCTGGACCGCAGGCTGACACTCTAACCACTGAGCCAAACCAGCCAGGGTGCCATGTTTGTTTATGATGTCTAAAATTTAAATGAAATCTTAATTATAGCAAAAGCTAGTGTAGGTATATGTGTAGCTAGTTTACTTTAAAATAGAGTGAAATTTATCAGTCTTTTATTTTCTGCCTGAAGTATTTTTTTCTTTAAGAGAAACATGCCTCATTCCAGGATTATAAAAATATCCACCCATGTTTTTAGTAATGTGAACATTTGTGAGAATGTAACTTCTGTGAAAGAAGGGCTGTAACTATAACAGGTGTTCAGCATACTTGCTGATTGAATGAACTGGAAACTTCTATAAGTCACCAATTTAATCAGCGTATCAGTATTCACTCCATGTGTAGCAATAGTTGGCTCTTCATTTCGTCACAGGAGATAATGATGTTTGCTATTCCCTACGTGTTACACAGAAAATGTTTGTGCAGTATTGTATGGATGTAGAAATGATCTCATAAGTAAAATTAGACAGCTGTAGTCTTCAAGTTTTTTAGGGGCAAATTTTCAGCAGTGAATACTTGTCTGAAATTTAAATGAAATCTTAATTGTTTCTAAAGCTGATGCAGGTATTTTACCTTTCTGATATCTTCTTTTTTCAATAGTTTACTTTGTCAAAATGCATAGATGCAGTAATGGTGCTGGGAAATTCTCACTTATTCATGAATCGCTCCAACAAACTTGCTGTGATCGCAAGTCACATTCAAGAGAGGTATGACCTTCATGATTACCTACTCAGTGCTTAACATCCGTGAGATTTGTATGCCATTTAGCATGTACTGTTCCTGCAGTATGTCACAGGATTTTTTTCTGTACCAGTGAGCCATACGTACAACATAAAGAATCAGTACATGTACACCTTGATGGGTGTGAGTATTGAAGGCCTCATCAGCTGATGTATAGTAGAGTAGCATCAGGTGTACATTTGACTTATACAGCTTCAACTGTATACTCTGGGCAACAAGGAGGGCTATCAAAGTGGGCTGGCAGCTCCCATTGCTGCTCCACTCATGGGACTGCCCCAGGGCACAGGTGAGAGAGAGAGGGTTCTGCTTTCCCTTCAGCCAGCCTGGGCTCCTGTGTACCTCTCGTGGTGTGAGAATTCATTGCTGTGTGTGATTCCGGTGTCTGTAAGTAAGGATTTCTCTTATAAATTGGCTTCTTAATCCAAGCCACCTATTTCGTCTGCTGCCTGGCTGGAGAAACTGACCTTTTCTAAAAAACAGGCTATGTTAGGGTCATGGCAAGGTGATGAATAGATCTGAAGCTGATGTGCCAATATGGCCACGTGTACAGCAAAGATTTGCATGAGTACTTTTGACTATATTTACTCATCACATGCATGGACTGTAGAATCTAATCTCCATGTAAGATACAGCTCTTTGTCTTTTTTTTAATCCTCACCGGTGGAAGAAGTAAGAGGAAGGGGGAGACAGAGAGAGAGAGAAAGAAACATTGATGTCAGAAATATTGACTGGTTGCCTCCTAGATGCACCCCAACCAGGGAATCAAACCTGCAACCTGGGTGTGTGCCCTGACTGGGCATTGAACCCGAGCCCTTTCCATGTGAAGGATGATGCTCAAACCAACTGAGCCACCCTGCCAGGGCTTTTCTCTGTCTTAATTAAATGTCCATCACAGTAGAAGTGACTTTTGTTTATCAACACATTTGGTGTAAGATTAGTGGATAGTCGGCAGATGTCTCGGTTCTCGGAGTGCCTTCCTTTGGTGTTTGGACAGAGCCCACGGGCCACCATGCAGCTGCTCCCGCTCCGACATCGTCATACATTCTTCTCAGAATAGAGAAAGATGATGCTGATCTGATTAAGATGTCACTAAAAGCTATGACAGGCTGTTTTCCCTTTTTTAGAAAAATCAAACATGTCTTACTATAAAAGTCATGAACAGCTAGAAGAATCTTTTAGGGACGCTTGGGACCAGATTTTCATTACTGGGGGAGATAACTATACCTCACATAATAAGCTAATAGTAGTTAGAATTCGGTCTGAATCTCCAGGTGTCCTCTGAGAAAGTAGAGGGAGAGCCCCCCTCAAGCGTTTCCAGAGGTGCAGCCTGTTTGTTTCCTCCGCGTTCAGAGACGGTCTGTGTGACTGACTCGTTCTCACTTTGCCTATTTTATGCATTTTTTATTTTTTTATTTTTTTCTTATCCTCACCCGAGGACATTTTTCCATTTTTTGTTCAGATAGAGCAGGAGGGAAAGAGAGGAAGAGAGAGAGAGAGAAACATCGATGTGAAGGGACACATTGAGTGGCTGCCACCCGCACGACCAACCAGGGCCGGGGACAAACTGCAACCGAGGTACGTGCCCTTAGCGGGAACCGAACCCGGGTCTCTCTGTACCGCAGGCCGACGCTCCAACCGCTGAGCCAAACCGGCCGGGACATTTTTTAAAATGAAATTATAGAGTCTTTGAGTCCAGGGTTAATGTGGTTTTTGTTTGTTTTCTCTGCTGACTTTCCTCTTGCTGTCTGGTGAGGGTGTAACTGGGTTTCTTCCTGCTGTTTCAGCCGATTCTTGTATCCTGGAAAGAATGGCAGACTTGGAGACTTCTTCGGGGACCCTGGCAACCCGGCTTCTGAATTCAATCCCTCGGGGAGTAAAGACGGAAAGTATGAGTTGTTGACAGCAGCAAATGAAGTGATTGTGGAAGAGATCAAAGATCTAATGACTAAGAGTAAGAGCCCCTCCCCCCATTATTGTTATTTTGCAAATGGAGTTGAAAGTGGGGGCCTTTAAGTCCAAGGATTTGAGGTTCTTCATACTACCTACTTGATTTTCTCTTCCTTTTTTTTTTTTCTTAATCCTCACCTGTGGCTATTTTTTCCACTGATTTTTAGAAGAGATAGTGGAAAAGAGGGAGGGAGAAAGAGAGACACACAGAGAGAAACATCGATGTGATAGAGACACATCTATTGGTTACCTCCTGCATGACCCTGACCTGGGCCGGGGATCCAACTTGCAACCCAGGTACATGCCCTTAACTAAGGATTGAACCCAAGACCCTTGATTTCGTGGGCAGTGCTTTAACTACTGGGCATACTGGCCAGGGCACTTTTATTTTTTTAAGTTGTCATCAGAGTCTGTGCATCGTTTATCTGACCGCGGCCGTGTTTGACACTGCTGCCCAGCCTCTTGTTTTTTTTGTTTTTTTTTTTATCCTCACCCGAGGACATTTTCCCATCTTTTTGTTCAGGCAGAGTGGGAGGGAGAAGGAGGAACAGAGAGAGAGAAACATCGATGTGAAAGGAACACATCGAGTGGCCGCCACCCGCACAGCCGACCAGGGCCGGGTACAAACTGCAACCGAGGTACGTGCCCCTAGCGGGAACCGAACCCGGGTCCCTCAGGACCGCAGGTCGACGCTCCAACCGCTGAGCCAAACCGGCCAGGGCCAGCCTCTCGTTCTTGACACACACTCTGGCTCTGAGCCTGCCCTATAGATCTGGTTTTCCTCTTTTTTGGACCATTCATCTATTTTTGACTTTTCCTTCATCTTGTCCCTTCAAATACATATTTTTATTCTGCATGGCATTTTTTTCTTTCTCTGTGTGTCCTCTTCCACTCTTATGTTTCTTGTTTATATGTGAATCCGTCCCAATCTTTGCCTCTAATCTAGTCTTTCTTTCAAGTGCAGATGTCTCCACTAAGTCCCACAGGGTCCCCAGATTAGTTTCATTTTCTTGTTCCCTCAGTTACACCAGTTCCATTCCCTGTTTTGCTCACCCACCTCCCCTCACTTTTCCAAATTCTAATTAGCTGTGGAACCCTATTAGTTTAGCCTCAGAATTACCTTCAGAGTCTGACCCCTTATTACCATCTGTCCTGTAGCTCAGCCTCAGTACTGCTGACATTTGGGGCTGGGTCATTCTTTGTAGTGGGGCTGTCCTGTGCTTCACTGCATCCCTGGCCTTGTCCACTAGATGGCACAAAGTTCCCCAGGTGTGACAACCTAGTATGTCTGCAGACACTGCCAAATGTCCCATGTAGGGCACAGTTGCCCCAGTTGAGAGCCGCTGCTGGAGGGCTCGGTAACAGCTTCTTAACCGACACCGGACTGTTCCCTTTCAGTCTTTCCACCTAGCCTCCAGAGCTCCCAAAACCAGAGCTGCTATGCTCTGGCTTAAAGGCCTTCTCTGGTTCTCTGCTCCAGTTCCTTGTTGTCTGCAGACTGTGTTTCAAACCAGCCTGTATCCGAATCACCTGGCAGGAAGGCGATTCTGTGAAGACAGAAAGTAGCTTCATGGTTTCCGGGGGCCTTCAAGGAGCAGGGAGTGACTGGGAATGGGCTCATGTGATCTTTTGGAGGGAGGGAAATGTTCTGAAGTTACATTATACATAATATTATCGAATCACATACTTAAAGGGAGTGAATTTTATGATCTGTAAGTTATAACCCAATAACACTGCTAAAAATCACCTGGAAGGCTTATTAAAATAAAGTGCTGGGCCCCCATCTGCAGGTTCTGATTTATTGGGTCTGGGGTGGTCCCAAGAACTTGTATTTCTATTAAGGTCCCACATGATGCTCAGAATCACACTCAGAACCTCTGGCCTCTAGGGCAGAGTCCTAGCTTCTCAGCATAGCGTTCGAGACCTTTCCTGGTCTAACCTCAGGGGGCGAGGGTGGAGGGGCTCGGTGCTCCTGGATCACTGCAGGTCCCGTTCTACAGCTGTCAGTTTGGGCTCCCCACCCTCTTGAGCTCCAGCTTAAAATTTTTGATATTGCTTAAGAGTGACATTTTTCGCCCAAGGCTACAAGCAAGTTGCAGACTTCTTCCCTGCTTGCCAGAGGAGTCCCTCCAGTCCTGTGCCTGGCCAGCCGCTCTCTTGGAGAATGGTGAGGGGGAGGTGGGGAAAGCAGGGCAGGGAGGCCAGAGCCTGGTCCAGGGCCACCGTCCAGGCCTCCTGAATTACACATGACCTTCTGTATTATGTAGGCCATGGGTGAACCTGAACTTTTTCAAATAACACCAGGGTTTCTTTATTGCAGTGAAATACATGTAACATGAACTGCACCACTTGGACCGTGTTAAAGTGAGCATTTCAGAGGCAGCACAGGCACACTCACCACGCTCACCACACCCCTCCCAGAACTCCTTCGTCTTCCCACCAGAACTCTGCCCTACCCAGTCCCGGTTTCCCCTCAGGATATTTTAAATTCAGAAAATGCTTTAAAAATTGCTCACTCAACCCAGGCCAGTGTGGCTCAGTGGTTGAGCATAGACCCATGCACCAGGAGGTCGCCGGTTTGATTCCTGGTCAGGACACATGCCCACGTTGTGAGCCCGATTCTCAGTGCGGGGCGTGCAGGAGGCGGCCAGTCAGTGTCACATCGATGTTTCTTTCTCTTCCTTCCTCTCTCTCTAAAAACCAATAAAGGAAAAAAAAATTGCTTACTTAGAACAAATTGCTGTTTTTACACCCAATTTGAAAGTGTTATGTCATTCTTGAAGAATGCTTTGGTTTGAAAATGATTTTAGTTCAAGAAATTCCCTTTTTATTGTTTTTTATTATTGCTTATAGGTGACATAAAGGGCCAACACACAGAAGCTCTGCTAGCAGGATCCCTCGCCAAAGCTCTTTGCTGTATCCTTGGCGTTGCACTCGTTTGGAGGCTGTCTCCTGGGCAGTGCCTCAGCTGTGCATCTCCTGGCCTGTGTCCGCACGGATGGAGGGCGAGTGTCAGAAGCTGTCTCCTGGGCAGTGCCTCAGCCGTGCATCTCCTGGCCTGTGTCCGCACGGATGGAGGGCGAGTGTCAGAAGCTGTCTCCTGGGCAGTGCCTCAGCCGTGCATCTCCTGGCCTGTGTCCGCACTGATGGAGGGCGAGTGTCAGAGGCTGTCTCCTGGGCAGTGCCTCAGCCTGTGCATCTCCTGGCTGTGTCTGCACGGATGGAGGGCGAGTGTCAGAGGCTGTCTCCTGGCTAGTGCCTCAGCCTGTGCATCTCCTGGCCTGTGTCCGCACGGATGGAGGGCGAGTGTCAGAGGCTGTCTCCTGGGCAGTGCCTCAGCCTGTACATCTCCTGGCTGTGTCCGCACGGATGGAGGGCGAGTGTCAGAGGCTGTCTCCTGGCTAGGGCCTCAGCCTGTGCATCTCCTGGCCTGTGTCCGCACGGATGGAGGGCGAGTGTCAGAGGCTGTCTCCTGGGCAGTGCCTCAGCCGTGCATCTCCTGGCTGTGTCTGCACGGATGGAGGGCGAGTGTCAGAGGCTGTCTCCTGGCTAGGGCCTCTGCCTGTGCATCTCCTGGCCTGTGTCCACACGGATGGAGGGCGAGTGTCCCAAAGCGGTGCTGCGCAGTGTATGTGGACGAGCTGTAAAAACTTGGGAAGAATGGGAAACTCGTTTCTTCAGCACGTTCTGCTCACAATTTTTTATTTTTTAAATAGAGAAAGAGAGAGAGAAACATCGACTTGTTGTTCCACATAGTGATGCATTCATTGGTTGAGGCTTGTCTAGTGATAGTTTCAGTTTTCTGGGACACAGGTACTTAGGTCGGGTTATAAGGCCCAGCTGGTTGCACTTGGTTGTTGGAAACCCCACTCCCCCTTGTTTTGTGTGTTTTTCATGGTATATAGAACGTTTCTTTTTTTCAGCTATGTGGATGCATACTGGGTTTATTTGCCTAAAATTTGAGGTTGTTTTCTGTTTACTATGAAAATTTATGAAATTCAATAATATTTTTAAGTTCCTTAACGCTGCGAAAATAAGACATCCACAGAATGAACAAGGAGGTTAAAGGTAGGAGCCTACGTTTTTCTATGATTTTGATCCGTATTTTACTACTGTAACATGGGACTGTAAAATTGGTTAGAAAACCTTATAATATGTTTAATAAGGTTCAGTTACATTGTAATCTGTTTTTATCTCTTTGTAGATAATCAGGAAATGAAGGCAAGGATATTGGTAAGATTTTTAAGAAGTCAATACTATATGTCAATTATAACCAGTTAGAATAAGACCCATTTACAATAGAAGCAGTAATATTAAATGTCCGAATTAGTTAACAAGCAATCTGCCAAACTGGTTATGACGGAAAACTAAAATTCTGAGAGGTGTAAAAGAATTGAATAACTGGAGAGCCATATTTTATTCTTGGATTTAAATCTTTCCAAAATTAAACTAAATTCATTGCAAACTCAGAATATTAATGATACCTTTTTTCTGACAGAGTGGGGGGATTGAACAAATTCAACAAATTGCCTGGCCCGTGTTGCTCAGTAGTTGAGTGTCAACCCCTGCACCAAGAGGTCGCCAGTTCGATTCCCGGTCAGGGCACATGCCCAGGTTATGGGCCAAATCCCCAGTTGGGGGCGTGCAGGAGGCGGCAAATCGATGTTCTCTCTCATTGCTGTTTCTGTCTCTCTCTCCCTCTCCCTTCCTCTCTTTCTAAAATTAATAAAGAAAAAAAAAAGTTAAAAAGAAAAAAAATCAACAAATTATCTGGAATAATAAATCGGTAGAATAGCCAGAAACTTTCTGGAAGAGAGTAAGTAGGAGCTGACCCCTTTAGGTGTTAAAACACAGTATGAAACTAGATAACTATGGTTTCGGTCTAGTGTGAGGCAAACAGAACGTGGACAAGACAAGTCCAGAGGTAAACTGAGGCACGTGTGGGAGCTTGGCAATAAAGGAAGCACTTTATTGTGAAAGCGATGATTCAGTAAAAAGTGCTGGGCCGATGGGTAGGCCACTGGGGAAAAGAAAGCTAAATGCCTACCTCGCTGCTTACACCTAAATACATTCTAGAAAAGATCAAGTATTCCAGTGTAAAAATTCAGGTCACACAAGTGCTGGAAGAAAACATCTTTATAAACGTGGGTTGGTGAGAGCCTTGATGTGAACCTTTAAGAGGAAGTTTAAGGCCTTAAAATAAAGAAATAAAACGCCCAAAACAAGGACAAAACAAAACTATTAGGAAAAGGTACATTTAGCAGAGCTGCTTGGCAGAGGATTACTGTAATATTTCTAAAGTAAAAACTGTCATAAGTTAACTTTTTTTTTTTAATCCTCACCCGAAGACACTTTTGCCGAGGACAGTTTTGCATTTATCTTCAGATAGAGGAGGAGGGAGAGACGGGGGAAGAGAGAGAGAGAAACATTGACTGGTTGCTACCCACATGACCCCAGCTGGGGCCGGGGACAAACTGCAACTGAGGTACATGCCCTTAGCGGGAACTGAACCCCCTGGGTCTCTCTGCACCGCAGGCCGATGCTCTAACTGCTGAGCCAAACCAGCCAGGGCTAAGTTAATTTTTTAAAGTCAGGGTTAGCCCAGCCAATGTGGCTCAGTAGTTGAGCGTCGACCCTGCACCAAGAGGTCACCGATTCAATTCCCAGTTAGGGCACACGCCCAGGTTGTGGGCCTGATCCCCAGTGTGGGATGTGCAGTAGGCAGCCGATTACTGTTTCTCTCCCATTGATATTCTTTCTCTAAAATCAATAAAGAAAAATATTTAAAGAATAATAATAAATAATAAATAAATAATAATAAAGTCATGGTTACTTTAAAGAAACAGGTAGCAAATGTAAGCAGTCTGCAAATGAGATGTGAATGTCAGTTAACCTTTGAGAACACATTCATTTCATTGTTTGCTTGCTCAGAACAGATGCAAGAAACCTGACAGTTTCCAGGATTGGGGGCGACGTTGGGGGTTATTCTTCCACGTCACTGATGGGAGGATAAAGTAGCACAACTCTGCTGGAGGGCAGCTTGATAGGTGGTCTGTTGTGCCAGGGTGAAATGTGCAGCTTTGCTAATCCTTGAGTCGTGCAAGGGGCATGTGAGTGTGTTCATCGGAGCGCTGTCTAAAACAGGATTGCACACTACTTAAGGTCCCCTACAGGTAACTGGGTACATAGCAGAGATTTGTGAAGTCAGCACAAAGGATGATGTCCCTCCAAACAAGCAGGTTGCAGGACACTAGGTGGAGCACTGTCCTTTCAGTGCGAGTTGGGGGTGTGAGTGTATATCCATTCCCATGCAGCTGCTCTCTAGTGAACCACCAACAAGGGTTATCTCTCGATAGGGGGGACGGGGGGACGTTTCCCCAGTCATCTTTACCCTTATAGGTACTACTTAGTGATGACAACTAAGTAGACAAATTAGACAAATTAGAAAAATAATGTCGGTTGTAGTTTGCAGTATGTCGTGATGTGGTGGGAGGGAGCCCTGGGATGTGTCTGCAGGGTGCTCACGTGGATGTGGTTTTCAGGTGATCAAGGCTGCGGAAGACAGTGCGCTGCAGTATATGAACTTCATGAATGTCATCTTCGCGGCACAGAAGCAGGTGGGTGGACACCCTCTGGTTCAGTAATGCTTGTTTCATAATGAAGGAACTAATTCCATTGTTTTGAATGACTACTTAGGGATGTTTTCTGACTAAATAGACTTATTCATGGACTAGGAATCTGGAGTCCATATTTTGTACAGTGATTTGAGTCTTAGACCCCTTGAGAACCTGATGCGTCCCTAGAAGAATGGGCATTCAAACAGGTTTTAATATGGATGCAGGCTATTCATGCAACTGTTTAGACAGTTCTTGGACCCCAGGCTAAGAATCCCTGGTTTTGCAGTTTGCAGTATAACTTGACGAATAGTCACTAATATAATTCTTCTTTGGTATGTTAAGAAACAAAAGAAAATTTAAAACTTGAGTTGTAACCTAAAATGCTATCGCTTTATAATCTCCATCTTGAAGTGCCCACATGATGTAGTGAGAAGATCATGGGCCTTGGGGACAGGCAAACAGGTTGACAGCACTGCCTCCCCCCGGCTTTGTGACCACATCCTGGCCAGGGCCTGGGCTGCAAAATGCTAATCAAATACCTACCTTGTACAGTTACTACGCATGTTAAGCCATTTTAGAGCAGAGCCTGGCACATAGTAGATGCTCAGTGTAAGATAGTCATTGTTGTCATCATTCCCATAATATTTTCGGAATATTCATTTCAGAATATTTTGATCGATGCCTGTGTTTTAGACTCCGATTCAGGACTCCTCCAACAGGTACGTTTTAAACCAGTGCTTGGTGTTCGTGGTTATGAAGCGTGGGGTGTTCTGTTACCTATTGTTAAACACCTTTCACCCATCTTCACCCATTTTTAGGGATTAGCTTTTATGATGCTATAGATTAGAGAACTAACATCTCTCTGGTCCCTTCAAACTTTTTATTTATATTTTACATAATGACTTGATTGACTTTGTAAAAGTGACTCATACATTAAAACAAATTCAAGCAATACAGAAACGTACTTATTTATATTTTGTTAATCCTCACTCGAGGATATTTTTCTATTAATTTTTAGAGAGAGAGAGAGAGAAAAGAAACATCAGTGTGAGAGAGATACATCAATTGGTTGCCTCCTGCACAACCCCAGCTGGGGCCAGGGATCAAACCTGCAACCCAGGTATGTGCCCTTCATTTGGAATCGAACCTGAGACCCTTGGGTCCAAGGGCTGACGTTCTAACCATTGAGCAAATCTGGCCAGGGCCAGAAAAGTATTTTTAAAAGAGTTTAAAAAAAAAAATTCCCTTCAAATCCTATCATCCAAAAATTGCCATTGTTAATATTAGGAAACCAGAATGACAGATCTCTTTGTATATAGATGTAGACTTTTAGAGAGAGGGAGAAACATCAATAAGAGAGCATACTATCCATCGGCTGCCTCCTGCATGCCCTCACTGGAGAGTGAGCCCAGAACCTGGTGTGTGCCTGACCGTGAATCAAACTGGCAACCTTTCAGTTCATGGAGTGACACCCAACCAACTGAGCCACACTGGCCAGGGTGGACCACAGTTTTAAAGAGTTAATTTTATAGCATGAATTCTATATCAAAGTTGTTATTTAAAAAATACAATGAGATTCTCCCTATTTTTTGGGGGGAGGCAAAATAATAATAATAATAATAATGAGGCCTGGCCAGTGTGGCTCAGTGGATTGAGAGTTGTCCCATGGACTGAGAGGTCCGAGTTCGATTTCTGGTTGGGGCACATGCCCAGGTTTGGGTTCGATCCCCAGTGGGGGGCATGCAGGAGGCGGACGGTTGATGTTTCTCACATCGATGTTTCTCTCTCTCTCTCTCTCCCTTCCTTTCTCTAAAAAATCAATAAAAACATAAAAAAATAAAATATAATGAGCTTTGGCTGGTTTGTTTCAGCGGTTAGAGTGTGTACCTGAGAACAGAAGAGTTGAGAGTTCGATTCCCAGTCAAGGGCACGTACCTCAGCCGCAGGTTTGCTCCCCAGCCCCAGTCAGGGTCATGTGGGAGGCAACCAATCAAAGTTTCTCTTTCGCATCCATGTTTCTTTCCTCGCTCTCTCCCTCTCGCCCTCCCACTCTGTCTAAAAGTCAATGAAAAAAATATCCTCAGGTGAGGATAAAAAAAAAAGATAATAAAAATTACAGAGAAAATGAATAAACGTGGTAAGAATAAAAATGTATCAGTAGCAGACAGAAGAAGGGACACACACTGTGGTCCTACGCTGTGGTCCTACGCTGTGGTCTCTGAAGAGTGGAAGGCTGCGAGCCAAGGGCAAAAGTAAGATGTGTGAACATCCTGAACGGTAGCTGGAAGTTCCTGGTCCTCACTCCGGGAAGGGTTCCTTTGGATTTGCTGGGTCATATGCTCTTTTGGAGACCGAAAGAATTACTGGTGGGAATTACGTCCCCTGGAAAAGCTAAGCAAGTCCTAGTGTGCTTGAGTCCTCTGTGTGTCTTGCAGGCTTGTGACATCACGGGGGGCCTGTACCTGAAGGTGCCTCAGATGCCATCCCTTCTTCAGTATTTACTGGTAAGACTCATGACAGTGAACCTGACACCTTGAGTTAGTGAGACTCGTTTCCTGGGGAAGGAGGGGAGCAGGATGGCTAGTGCTAGTCACTGGAAGGAAGGATTGAAGCGGTGACCTAGGGGTCTGGAAGCCGAGAAGGGTGGACTTCGGGGAGTCTTTGATCCCTGTAAGCTGTGTGCAGAATGCTGTACGCTGTGCCCGTGTGTGGAGGTGCTCAGCAATTGCTGAATGTGTGACAATGCTTTTTTTTTTCCCACAGTGGGTTTTTCTTCCTGATCAGGATCAGAGATCTCAGCTCATCCTCCCACCCCCGATTCACGTTGACTACCGGGCTGCATGCTTCTGTCACCGAAACCTTATTGAAATCGGCTATGTCTGTTCTGTGTGCTTGTCAAGTAAGTTCATGGACAATGTTTTTCCGTTTTTGCACGTTGGAGGGGGCTCAGACAATATTTCGACTGTATGGTTCTAAACCGTCCTGTTTTTTTTTTTTGTTTTTTTTTTTAATTTACAGTATTCTGCAACTTCAGCCCCATCTGCACCACCTGCGAGTAAGTATCGTTGAGGTTGTGTGTCTGTCTGTGCATTAGAGTTGGAGCATTAAAGGGTGTTCTCCCCTGTGTCATTCCAGGACTGCCTTTAAGATTTCTCTACCTCCTGTACTGAAGGCCAAGAAAAAGAAACTGAAAGTGTCTTCTTGATGATAAAACTTTTCCCCATCTTGTAGGCCTCTTTGTAGAAATTATGTGTGTGTGGTGGGGGGAGTCTTTGTAGGAAGGCTCTGAAAAAAACACAGGTATGTATAAGAATTTTTCATGAAGTTTCTTACAGGATATAGTTCTAAAAAGTCACCCTCATTCTGTACTTCGGGGGACGGATTTACATGAACGAGTCATTCTTTTTAGTATACATACCCTAAAGTGTTTCCAGACTGGTTTCTGTCCAGAAAGGGGGAAGAAAGCACACAGTTGTGACTTTTTAAAATATGGACGATCATCTGTCAAATCAGCTGTCCTGACTGATGATAGGCCTTAGAACTCTTACTGTAGCATGTTACCTGTGAAATTTGAAAACGGTTGCAGAAAAAGTGGAGTAATGGTGTTAATGAGTATGGAACCTTCTTACTTGAATCAACTGATAAGTTCGACAGCGGTCACGTAAATCAAATCCTTATTGCTTAAATTAAGGTTTAGCTTCAGAGATTAGCAGTTATTTATTCTTTTGTGTGACATCAGTAGATGTTTGGACAAAGATATCCAAATAATAATAGTTTGTCATGGAGTCACTACAAAATGTGATGTTAAATGAGTAAGGGAGTGAGTGCAGGAGGCTGGGAGCAACTTCTTCCTCAGAGACTGCTGTGTGCAGAGCGCTGTGAACCTGATGTCTGGGCGTGCCGGCTCTGCCGGGCGGGGGGTCATCCTTTCTGGTTAAGTGTCGCCCGCAGACTGAATTATTTCCTTTCTCAATGGGGAAGAGGATGAAAAGCTTTAATATCGGCGAATTGTTTTCTAGAAGCTTTGGACATAATACTGAAAACTTCTGTTGGTTCAAAAGAAAAATTATTTGTAATTTCAACAATAAAAAACTTATTTTTTTATGTAACCATGAGGTTATCAAAAGTTTTTACATTCCAACATAGTGTAGGAAGGGTTTTCAGGAACGGTGGCTGGTTTGTTTTGTTTTTAAAAGTATGTTGACAAAGTGTGTATCCAATGTTGTATATGAATAAGATTTAAAATTTTCTCTTTATACCATCCCAGAAACTGAGTCTCATTTAAGTAACTTGGTGGTGTTTGGTTAGATTATTTCAGGTAGATTTTTATTCTGGACTTAAGATTTAATTAACTACAGATTTTGGTGGTAACTTTGCAAGTATTTGTTAATCCTTGAGTTTGAGAATATGTTTGTCTTTTTAAAAATAATATTTAAAATTTGTAGCCTAACTAAGTGTAATGGAAATCACTATTTTTAAGTCTAGGAAAGAAAGTGTTAGATATCTAAAACACGAATAATTTCAAGCAATTTGATAAGGTTTTTGTTATTTTTCATTGGAAATGTTTTATATGCTGTCTTAGTTCTGTTTGTTTTATTTTTAACGGTTGTGTTTATGGTTTATTTTACATACATTTTTGTAATAAAATAATTTAAACTTTTATATTTGCTTGAATTTATTTCATACTCATTCAACTCTTCAACTGTGTACTTTTTAACTGGATTTGGTCAAATATCAGACAACTTTTTATTCAGGTCTGAAAAAGTTTAATTTCAAATCTTGCTAAAATTATTCATGAAAATGTTGCAAATATTATGGAATAATAGATTAATATGAAATATTTAATATAAGACTTCTTAATATGAATGGATTAGTAGAAAGATTTGGTATTTGCTTGTAATTTTATGTTGGGAGCAAGATTAGCAAAATTTCAATTATTTGGTATTCTCATTGGATAAAGCAGGCTGGTTATAAGATACAATGTTTTTATGCCAGAAAAGTGTGGTACTTTATTATCTCACAATAAGTAATTTTAAAACCATGAAATCTGGCCTGGCCAGTGTGGCTCAGTTGGTTGAGCAGAATCCTGTGCTGCCAAAGGTCACCTTGGATCCCGGGTCAGGGCACATGCCCATGTTTACAGGCTGGATGCCCAGTCGGGGTGTGTTTGGGGGGCAGCCAATCGATGGTTCTCTCTCACATCGATATTTCTCTCTGTCTCTTTCCCGCCAGCTCCAAAAATCAATGGAAAAATATATCCTCTGGTGAGGATTAACAACAATAAAAGCAAAACTGGTTCAGCAACACAATTATGGTACTGCAGCCTCACCCCTTTTTTGTCCCTCCCCTAACAAACCCGTGAAAGTCGTTTATTCAGGCGCTTGTTTAGAAGCCTGTGGGCTCCTGGTGAAGTTAACGCGGGGGCAGGAAGCTAGATTTTAATCTCCAAGGGGACCCCTGTATTCACGATCCTTTGGGTAGGCTCAAGGCTTGTGGGCGGGGCCAGGGTGGTGGTGGGGGCGGGCTCTCTGCCGCTGGTCCAATCACGGCGCGTCGCTCCGCAGGCCGGCGGCCGATTGGTGGTTGCCATAGCTCCCGACGTTCGCTTGACAAGATGGCGGCGGAGAGGCGCCGGGGCCCTCTGTGCGGGGTCTGGGCGCATCCCCGCTTCTAAGGCGGGCGCGATTCTGTCGCGCGGGCCGGGCGGGGTCCCGGACATGGGCTTGCCGCCGCCGACCCCTCTGCTCTTGGGGCTCTTCTTTCTGCTGGGCGTCCTGAGGCCGCTGTGGGGGGACCTGGGTGTGTACGGCACGCAGGGAGGGCCTGCAGGGCCGGGCTGAGGGCCGAGGCGTTTAAGGGGCCAGACTCGGACTCCCCGGGGACCACGCCGCGTGGGCAGGGACTCTGCAGCCACTAACTCGTTCCTTGTCGCCTTCCTTCCCGCCCAGTCTTCATCCCTTCGTTCATCCGCACGTCCGGCCCTGTGGCCAGCGCAGCCCTGGTCGGAGGCGCCGAGGATGTATCGGCCGTGTCCCTGTCCCTGTCCCTGCTGCAGGACCAGGCGGGTAAGGAGTCCACCCCTTCCGGTGGGGAGGGTGGGTGATGGCACCCCGGGGCTCCCGGCCTGTGCGCTGCGAGGCCCAGGCCCGATGGGGAGGAGGGACGAGGGCCGCTGTGGACCAGAGACCACCGGACAGATTCGACCAAAGAAAGCTCGCAGTCAGACTGGCTGGCGTTCACCTCCTTATCTTTTCATCCCAGTAGACAAATGAAGATACTGAAGTTCAGAGGGGTTGTCACTTGCCCAAAGTCACACGGCTGGTAAAAGTGCTCAATCCTGGGCTTGGAAAAGGATTCCATCCCAGGGAGTGCACCCCCTTAGCTGCCCGGCAGTACCCCTTGCATTCTCATCTCCTTTAGGGTTATTGCCAGTTCCTGCTTGTGGTGTGCTGCGCAATGACACAGGAAACTGGAGTTTGACTGTGACCCCCAACGTGGTAAGGCCAGGGGTAAAACCTTCCTGGTAGAATCTTTGGAGACCCACATTTAGTGCTTTCTTAATTGGACAGGGTGCAGCTGTCTCAGTGCTGGGAATAGTCCAGAGGTGGGCTGTCAGCTCTAGTAGACACCCATCCAGCCCAGAGGTCCTTACCCTGGAGTTAGGGGTCCTTGGACAAGTCCTTGCAAGGACCCTCTGAAATTGTGTGTAAAATCATGCGTGAACGTGCATTTTTCTTACAAGAGAGTTGCCAGCTTTCATGAGATTATCAGATGATTCTGTGACTCACATAAGCTTCCTACACCACTGACCTTATCCAACTCTGTGCATATGTTTAAGGACACTCAGGCCTGGAGAGACGAAATAGCTTCCATTTACTAAATGTTTTCTTGAGTGCCTAGTATGTGCAAGGCATCAACGTCAGGGTTTATGGAAGGTGAGAAAGACACGCTTTGCTTGCACCCCAGGCCCTGGGGACTGTTTTCAGAAGCTCTTTTTGCATTTGAATCTTCTGCTTGTAGGATGATAAACTAAAAAAGGGTGTGGAGAAACTGAGTTAGTTTTCAAACGTGTGTTTCACTTTCTCTGAGCATGCAGAAATTTGCTTTTACATTAAACTGAGGACCATCTTTGTTTATAGGTCTCCTTTTGTTAAAACGAACTGAGGCCATTATGTGATTTTATTGCATTTTCCATTATGTGTTCTTATAATTGTAGATGCTAAAAAGTTCAGCAATATTTTCCTTTCAGAATGCGTTGGACGTGACAGTGAGGTTGACGAGGGGTCTGCAGTCGTGTTCCTCTAACAAGACAGGCCCCTTCTCAGAGTCCCCATGCATTGTCCAGACCCTCCTGGTTTCAGCCTCTAACAGTTCATCCTGTTTGGCACATCTGCTTATTCAAGTGGAAATTTATGCCAACTCGTCTCTGGCCCATAATGCATCAGGCAAGTAGAGTCTTCTGACTATCAACATATTCATGTCAAACATGATCTGTTTGATTATAAGTGTCTGCCATGTCATTTGTCTACTTAACTTCACTTTTGAGTCCATTTTGCCTTCGTCAACTTCTTATCCTTTTGCCTAATTTTCTTATTTTATTTTATTTATTTATTTATTTTTTATCCTCACCCAAGGACATTTTTTCCATTTTTTGTTCAGATAGAGCGGGAGGGAGAGAGAGGAAGAGAGAGAGAGAGAGAAACATCGATGTGAAGGGACACATCGAGTGGCTGCCACCCACACGACCAACCAGGGCCGGGGACAAACTGCAACCGAGGTACGTGCCTTTAGCGGGAACCGAACCCAGGTCTCTCTGTACCACAGGCCGACGCTCCAACCGCTGAGCCAAACCGGCCAGGGCATAATTTTCTTATTTTAAAAGTTTTCGCTTTGTACTATTTTACTTAAGATTTATTCTAGCTTACTGTATTGTTTGATGTCAGATAGCCCTTTCCAGTCAGTGGAAACGTTGTGCGTTTCCCCCACACGCGAACCAAAATTAGGGTGTGAAGATCGGGATTTATGGGATGATAGGACTTGAGGTTGAGCAGGTAGCATAATTAAATATGACCTCGTGGTTAGCTGGGTTCCAGGTGAGCTGTCTGAAATGTCACCATAGCTTCAGTCTTCTCTGCCGAAGGAGGTGATGACTTGGAAGGAGTAACTGTTAACGAATAAGTCTGTGTTATGGAAAGGACTGTTCAGCGTATTGACAAATAAAACCGGTGCATTGCATTTACCCTAACTTGTCAATTTCAGCCACTTCATTACCTTCGAGACCAGCTGTGACTTCTTTGGTTTGTTATATCCAGCATATTTTCTGGTATTTGGGGTTCCGTTGGAGTAGTACCTACAGGCCTCAGTTGTGTTTTTTTTTGTTTGTTTTTTTATCCTCACCCGAGGACATTTTTCCATTTTTGTTCAGATAGTGTGGGAGGTAGAGAGAGAGAGAAACATTAATGTGAAAGGGACACATCAAGTGGTTGCCACCCGAACGACCAACCAGGGCCGGGGACAAACTGCAACCGAGGTACATGCCCTTAGCGGGAACCGAACCCGGGTCTCTCTGGACCGCAGGCCGACGCTCTAACCGCTGAACCAAATCGGCCAGGGCCTCAGTTGTGTTTTATGCATAGCTCACTTCAGGGGTTCCATACTGGGGGATACTGGGGAATGAATGGTGATCTGTACAATGGTGATTCAGCTCTTTTCAATGTCAAATCGTGGCGATGCTTTGTCAGGGGATGTCATAGCTGAACTTCTCTGTTGCCGTACTTTTCAGAGAACAGGACTGTCATCCCTAACCAGGTGTATCAGCCTCTTGGTCCATGTCCTTGTAATTTAACAGCCGGGGCCTGTGACGTTCGCTGCTGCTGTGACCAGGTACGCGCTTTCTGATGACTGGGCACAAGAGTCACGGTACCTGATAGCATGTCAATACCCACAGCTCCCCGTCAACAGCTTTCTAACCGCATTTCATGTCCCAGGAATGCTCATCGAATGCAATAGAACTCTTCCGAGAGTCCTGTTTCACCGGCGTCTTTGGAGGGGACGTTAATCCGCTCTTCGATCAGCTCTGCTCCGCTCAGAGAGCACACGGGGGCCCGGGCTGGTTTCCGTTCCTGTGTGTGCAGTCCTCCCTTGCCAACTCACCCTTCCTAGGTCACTTCTACCATGGGTCTGTGTGAGTGTCCCAGCAGCCACCTGGGGGGTTGCTGACGCGGGCCAGGGAGGCCAGCGCCACGTTAGCTCCGAGACGGGTCAGTTTCCCTTGAGACCTCTCCAGAGGTGCTGTGCTTAAGTGACTCAGTTCTCAGTTCCGCTCCAGATGTCAGTTCGTAAGTCGGCTCTGTGTTAGAAAGAATGGGGCCTCCCTGAAAAGACGGACTGATACGGCACCCCGATAATCGTGACGATCTGGGTCAGGGGCTAGGGTGGCACTTGGACTTCTGTCTTTCACCTTTCTGCAGTATTGAAACTTTACAACATTATTATTATTATTATTATTGAAGTGTAATTCATGTAACATACAATTAACCATTACCCACTTTACTGTGTATAGTTCCGTGGCGTTGAGTGTGAATATTGTTTTGGTAATTAAGAAAGTAAAGAATAAAATGTCCATGGGCACTCGTTTTGGGCAGATAATAGCTAAAAGTACTAGCGATCATCTTATTGATTGACAGCTCCTCAGGCCCTCGCGCTGCCTTTGAAGGGTATCTGCACACTGATCCGAGAGACTCCTCCGACTTCGGGTACAAGCAAGGAGACCCGCTTATGACTGCGGAGAAGGCGTACTTCACTCTGCCTCAGGTGATGGCTCCAGCTAGCGCGCCAGGGCCTGCCCTCTCTCTCCATCCTGGCCTGCCTTCTCTCTCCATCCTGGCCTGCCTTCTCTCTCCATCCTGGCCTGCCTTCTCTCTCCATCCTGGCCTGCCTTCTCTCTCCATCCTGGCCTGCCTTCTCTCTCCATCCTGGCCTGCCTTCTCTCTCCATCCTGGCCTGCCTTCTCTCTCCATCCTGGTCTGCCTTCTCTCTCCGTCCTGGTCTAGCGCGACGCACCGTGCTCCGGGAAATATCACTCTGCGTTCCCTTTTGTCCCCTATGGATTTTCCACTCGCTCGGCGATTTACAGTGTCAGGATTTATTCTTCATAGTCACTCTTTTTCTTTTAACTTTTTATTCCCATTATTTATTAAGAAATTTGGGCCCTGGCCAGTTTGGCTCAGCGGTTAGAGCGTCGGCCTGCGGTCCGGAGAGACCTGGGTTCGGTTCCCGCTAAGGGCACGTACTTCGGTTGCAGTTTGTCCCTGGCCCTGGTTGGTCGTGTGGGTGGCAGCCACTCGATGTGTCCCTTCACGTTGATGTTTCTCTCTCTCTTTCTCCTTCCCACTCTATCTGTACAAAAAATGGAAAAATATCCTCGGGTGAGGATAAAAAAAAAAAAAGAAATTTGGTCTCTCTCTTTTTTTAAAAAAACTTATCTTTATTGTTGAACGTACATACTAACTCTTAAATTAATCACTGTCTTTGCTAAATCTCAGAGTGAACTTAGTAAAACTAAAAGACATTCTATAAATTTCCATTGAAGTAACTCATTCTTCACTTCTGTTAGTTTAGTAGCCAATTTCTAGTAAGCTATAAATACATAATTATAATATTCCAGAATGTTGAAAAATATTTTAAGGCTATAGTTTTTTGTGATTTTTTTTTTAAGTTCAAAATTCTGAGGACAAATTTTTGTGGGAACAAAACATGGGAGTCTAAAAACCATTTCTCTTCACTGTTCAGATGAATCCATTTTTACGGTGTTAACAAAACCTGGTTGTAACGAGGGAGAGAACTGCTGTTGACTATAATCATGTTTCCATAAACTAAACGGGAGAGGGCAGGGAATTCTCTTGGTTTTCATGGACTAACTTATTGTGACTTCCCAACCAGCAGCTTCCAGACTTGATTAGCAAATTGACTCGGTACTTTACTGAAGTTGGTCAGCTAGTCAGTGAGCTAACCGCTGCGGAGGCTAACCCAGCAATTTGAGCAGGCTGCGGGAAGGGAAGAGCCCTTCCACAGATGGCGGCCGATGGTTTATGACGGGAACGGAGCTCAGCCATCTGTTGCGATTTCCCCTTTCCCTCAGGTGTCCCTGGCTGGGCAGTGTGTGCAGAACGCCCCGGTGGGCTTCCTTCAGAATTTTGACGTGCGGTGCATCACTGATTTGGAAGTCAGCCAAGAGCAAGGTGGCATCACCAACACCAAGATAAAGAATGGTGCTATAGGAGGTGCGTCCCTTGGTGTGCAAAAGAGCAGACCTGAGTGTTTCGATCAACTGGGATCTCACGAGAACAAAAGTCACTTCTACTGGGTCAACTGGAAATAATCCTTGAGCGGATTGGCTGAGGAAGGTGTTTTCTTTGGAAGAAGTTCAGTTCTGTAAGCCAGCGTGTTGCGTATTAGTTCTTTTTTTTTTTAATCCTCAACGGAGGACATTTTTGCATTTATCTTCAGATAGAGTGGGAGGGAAAGAGGGAAGAAGAGAGAGAGAGAAACATTGATGCGAGAGAGACACATCAACTGGCTGCCACCCACACGACCCCGACCGGAGCCAGGCACAAACTGCAACCGAAGTACATGCCCTTAGCGGGAACCGAACCTGGGATTCTCTGGTCCGTGGGCCGACGCTCTAACCTCTGAGCAAAACTGGCCAGGGCATTGTGTATTAGTTCTTTTTTAAGGACTGAGATAAGCCCTGGCCGGTTTGGCTCAGCAGGTAGAGTGTCCAGCACATGGGCCAATGAGTCTCGGGTTCGATTCTGGTCAAGGGCACGTACCTTGGTTGCGGTTCATCCCTGGCCCTGGTTGGCCTCGTGTGGGAGGCACTTACTCGATATGTCCCTCTTACATTGATGTTTCTCTCTCTCCCCTCTAGCTGAAGATAAATAGAAAAAAATATCCTTGGATAAGGATTTGAAAAATAAAAGAACTGAGATAAAATTCACATGACCTAAAATGAACCATTTTATTTATTTATTAAAACATTTTTTTTCCATTGATTTATTTATTTATTTTCTTAGAGTGAGCCCTTTGTGTCTGGCATCTCTCATTCAGCCTTGTGTTTTTGAGATTCATTCATCATGTGAATAGACCACATTTATTTTGTTATCCATTCATTCTTTGATGGACATTTGGGTTATTTCCAGCCGTTGGCTGTTGTGATAATGTGACTGTGCTCATATATGTTCTCATTTCTTTGGGGTATATACCAAGTAGTGGGATTGCGGAGTCATGTGGACATTTAACTTTTTTTTTTCCTTTATTGATTTTGGAGAGAGAGGAAGTGAGAGGGGGAGAGAGAAACATCAGTGAGAGAACATTGATTGGCCGCCTCCTGCATGCCCCTCACTGGAGATTGGGCCCACAACCTGGGCATGTGTCCTGACCGAAAATCGAACCAGCAACTTTTTGGTACATGGGTCGATGCTCAACCACTGAGCCACACCGGCCGGCCTCATTTAACTTTTTAAGGACCCACCAAACTGTTTTCTAAAGGGGCTGCACCATTTTACACCCCCACCCACAGTGAACGGTGTGTGTGTTCTTCTGTGACAGTGACTTTCCAGGTTGTCATTCCTGACACCTGGATTCTGCTCCTCAGTTGTAGTTAGATGCCACCAGCAGTGGGGTTCCCGCGTGGTGGTGTCTGGAGGTGGCAGACATCTCCGTAGTTGGCACACAGGACAGGCAGTTGCCCTATTTGCTTGGTGAGCTTTCATTTGCGTAAGTAAAGATCATGTTAGGCCATGCCCTGCTGTGGAAGGTTAACTCATGTATCTTTTTAGGCATTGTTACACCAAAAATAATCTACGAGGAAGCAACTGACCTAGACAGACTCATCACCAGTACAGGTATTTTAATGTTACATGTTTACATCGTTTCTACAGAAATACGTGTGTCATTTCTTTCAAATAATGTGTAGTCCTGGATTAAATACATTTTTATGAAGAGTTTAAGGAGGTTCACAACAATTAGGAAGCTACCCACTAGTGTTTTGTTTGTCCGTTGTTCCGTCATCCCTTGCCTCAGAGTGACCTTGCTTCTAAGTAACGGTCATGGATGATGTGGGCTCCAGGGCCCCTCCTGCTCCTCAGGGTCTGTGAACCTTTTATTAAATGTTTTTCAGAGAGTTGAAGGATTTTTTAGGACCAGCACCTTCACTTCCTACTGCATGAAAGCTTAGTGGAGTGGCCACAGGACAGCAGCGCACTGGGCAGCGGGCCCCGCCCCGCAGGAGCTGACATTCTCCAGTCTGTCCTGTGACCAGCATTCTACCGAGCATGTGCCCTGCGCTGGGAGCCGGGTGGTGGGGATACAGGAGTAAAAGCAAGGGGTAGCCCCCACTCAGGACCCTGCCATGGGAGAGCGGGCCCTGATGCTGACCTGGTAGGACCAACAATACGTGTGCGCCCAAAGAGGGTCTTTTTTTATCCTCATCCGAGGACATTTTTCCATTTTTTGTTCAGATAGAGTAGGAGGGAGATGGGGGGGGGGGCGGAGAGAGAGAGAGAGAGAAACATCGACGTGAAAGGGACACATCGAGTAGCTGCCTCCCGCACCACCCAACCAGGCCGGGGACAGACTGCAACTGAGGTACGTGCCCTTAGCGAGAACCGAACCCGGGTCTCTCCGGACCGCAGGCTGATGCTCTAACCGCTGAGCCAAACCGGCCAGGGCTCAAAGAGGGTCTTTAACTTCGGAAAGTATTCTTTTATTTGCAGAAACACTTTTACAGTCTGGATCAGCCCCCAGAAACGTGAATGTGGAAGAACATTATGTTTTCAGATGGAATAATAACACAATCAGCGAGATACATGTCAAAATTATTAGAGCCGAAATCAATGCCCACCAGAAAGGTGACGTGGTTGAGGGTGGCAAGATTGCTGTCATTTTAAAATGTGTCGGTTTTTTTCTTTCTTCAAGATTCTCATAATTATACTAAAACTACGTCAGACTTGTTTCTTATTTGTACTTGTGATTTAATAAAAAAGACTAATTTTTTGCATGTCAAAATGCAATTATAAGGTAAAGAAAACAACACTGTGGGGGACGACTTCTTTTCCTAGTGAAATTGTGCACATTACGTTTTTATTTTGTTTTATTTCTAGGAACCATGACACAGAGATTTACAGTAAAATTTGTGAGCTATAACAGTGGTGATGAAAAGGAAACATCTGGAAACCCAGGTAAGATAATACATGTCCGTCACTGATCTTACACACATTGTAGTTCAACACTCCTATGGGACAGTGATGATTGTGAGTAACTTCAGTTCTAGTTTGTGACTCTGATCTTTCTCTTTCTCTTCGGTGACATTGTATTTCTTTTTCTCATAACAGCTTGTTTTGTTTTGTTTTTGTATCAAGTGTGTAGATAGTAGCAAGTTGCTATAAATGTAAGACATTGTTTCTCTTTAGCTCCTGGTCTTTTGAAAGAAGAGGTAATCCGCCCAGCCAGTGTGGCTCAGTGGTTGAGTGTTGATGCAGCACCAAGAAGTCACCAGTTTGATTCCCTGTCAGGGCACATGCCCAGCTTTCCTGCTTGATCCCCAGTAGGGGGTATGTGGGAGGCAGCCGATCGATGTTTCTCTCTCACACATGATGTTTCTATCTCTATCTCCCTTTCTCTCTAAGAAAAAAAAATCAATAAAAACAGTTAAAAAATGGTTGAAGCAAATCAAAAAAGTAATACTTCATGACATGATAATTATAAAAAATATAAAAATAAACACTGGCTTTATAATTACTCAAAGTCGTGTATACATTTTTGGGGGACTATATCTATATATCTATATCTGTATATCAATATATAGAGGTATGTGCTTATATAATATAGATGAGACCAACATGGCTAAGTATGAACAGTTGTTTGTTTTAGAGGGTGGCTGTATTGGTCTTCGAGGTATTACTTTCAGGTTCTCTGTCCATGTGAACACTTTCATAATAAAAGCTGGCCACAAGAGGTAGGATGACTAGGACGTGGATGGGAATAGGACCTAAACCAGACCTTGGGGTGGAGCTGACTTTCCAGAGAATGGTCCCGTTGGAAGGTTCCTTTGGTTTGCGTTTCCCGTACAAGGTCCTCAGACGGACCCGATGCCAGTCACTCAGCAAGTAGTCATTAAGTGGCCTGCTCAGCGGAACGACCCAAGGCAGACGCCGGCCCGCTTTTCACGTCTCAGATTCTATTTTTTTAATTTATTTTAAAAGTCACACGAATATCTTTGTTAAAACAAACGGGGTCACTTTCAAGGGGATTTGGCCAAAGCGTGGCCTGTGTGTTTCCTCCCATTGTGTGTTCCCGCTGATGCTGTTTGATGAGCGGTGCTTGCTACGCTGGGGCAACATTGGAAGGGAAGTTGCTGCCTCTCATTTGTTTTGCTGTCTAGGTTACCAGCTTGGCAGGCCTGTCCGAGCTCTGGACAGCAACAGGGTGAACCCCGTCTCGGCCTTACACCTTTGGCAGCCAGGTAACCTGCTCGGATAATGGGATTAGCCCTTTGGTAAACCAGGGATGGAAATACTGCCATATTTTGAATCTAACAAGTAATCAGTTACTTTAAAGTTGGATTATTTAGCTGCAGGGGTGGTGGTTTTTCATGCTGTTGTAGTGGAAAATGGTAACATTGTTTGCACCTGAGGCACCGGTTGTTGGGAAGAGAGATTTCAATATGGGATTGGCTTGAGAGTCCCTTGTCGCTGTTGCCTGTGGCCCGAGGTGGTGCTGGCTGGGGACAGAGTAGCTTTGTTCCAGACTGTGGAAGCCTTTGTACCCATGGTAATACCCACTGCTGCCAGAGGCACCACGTTTCACCTTGGGGATCAACCCGGGGTTCCAGGGATTTCCATTCTGAAAGGCGCCTTTGTTCAGCCTGGAAGGGATCAGAGGAACAATGGCCTCAGTTCTTCACACTGGAAACCTGGTTTCTGCTTATGGTCTTCTCTGTTTTTCAAGAACAACTTTGAAGTCAATCTTTACTTTTATTCAGCACAACAGACTCCCCTTTATTTTACAGCCGGAAGGGGTCTGTGCACATCGACAGCTTTCAGACCCGCCTCATTCGGAGAAGATGCGCTCTCCGGGTGCCTCTTAGAAGTCGCCCTTCACGAGAACTGTTCTCGGCTCAGGTGCGTGCTCCGCGCGTGGACTTGTCCGCACTGCGAGTGGTCTGCTTGAAATCAATTCACCACTTGAATACTGACGAGAGCGTGAGTGTGAAAAGTCAGGGTCTGAATAAAATGAATGTAAAAGCAATAGTGAGTCATGAATACATGCAAACTTCCAATACAGTTGAGAGTTGATTCAAACAATATAAGGAAACTGAAGCTTCTTTCTTGGCACTAAAGCCATTTCATCCATGTTTACGCAGATTTCTCTGCCGCAGTTTGTGCAGATCACTGGAACCCAGTGCTCTTATAAATAGGGTCCAGTCAGGTGTGATTGGTGGAGGTAACATTGAAAGGACACTTAAACCCTGTTATATGGTGTATAAAGGAATTTCCACTAATTTGGGTGTCTTGGGAGGTACATTTATAGATATGCATATACTTTCTTTTAAAAAAATTGGGGTGGCCCTGGCCAGTTTGGCTCAGCAGTTGGAGTGTCGGCCTGCGGACCAGAGAGTCCAGGGTTTGGTTCCTGCTAGGGGCATGTACAAAAAAAAAAAAAATTGGGGTGAAATTTACATAAGATAATTAATCATTTAAAAGTGAACAGGGCCCTGGCCGGTTTGGCTCAGCGGTTAGAGCGTCGGTCTGTGGACCAGAGAGACCCAGGTTCAGTTCCCGCTAAGGGCATGTACTTCGGTTGCAGTTTGTCCCCGGCCCTAGTTGGTCGTGCGGGTGGCAGCCACTCGATGTGTCCCTTCATGTCGATGTTTCTCTCTCTCTCTCTCCCTCCCACTCTATCTGTACAAAAAATGGAAAAATGTCCTCGGGTGAGGATTAAAAAAAAAAAAAGTGAACAGGTCATAGGTACTTAGTACATTCAGGATGTTGCGCAGCCATCACTTCTATTTGGTTCCAAAGCATTTTCATCTGCAAAGGGAAACCCATACCCTTTAGCAGCCACTTCTCATCCCTGTTCCCAACCCCCCTTCCCCCAACCTCTGGCAACCACCAATCTGTGTTCTGTCTCTATGGATTTACCTATTCTAGACATTTCATATGAATGGAATCTTACAACAGGTGACTTTTTGTGTCTGGCTTCTTTCACTCAGCATCATGTTCTCGAGGTTCATCCACGTTGTAGCAGGTGTCAGTGCTTCATTCCTGTTCATGGCTGAATAGTATTCCACTGTCTGGGCATACTGTATCTTGTTTCTCCATTCATCTATTGATGGGCATTTGAGTGGCTTCCACCTTTTGGCTGTTGTGAATAGTGCTGCTATGAACATTCATGTACCAGTTTTTGTTTGAACATCTATTTTCAGTTCTTTGGGGCATATACTCAGAATTGCTGGATCATGTAATAATTCTGTTTAACTTTTTTTTTTTTATCCTTACCCGAGGACATTTTTACATTCATCTTCAGATAGAGAGGGAGAGAGGGGGGAAGAGAGAGAGAGAAACATTGATGTGAGAGAGACACATCAACTGTCTGCCACCCACATGACCCCAACTGGGGCAGGGGACAAGCTGTAACCGAGGTACATGCCCTTAGTGGGAACAGAACCCAGGACTCTATGGACCGCGGGTCGATGTTCTAACCGGCCAGGGCTCTATGTTTAACTTTTTAAGGAACCTCCTTATTGTTTTCCACAGTGGTTGCACCATTTTATTCCCACCAGCCCTGTAAGAGAGTTCCAGTCCCTCCATATCCTTTTTGGTGATAGCCATCCTAGCAGGTGTGAAGTGGTCTCTCACGGTGCTTTTTGTTGCATGAATTGTTGTACTCATTTCCTCTGTAGCATATTCTGCGTGGTGTAGTTTACTGGGGAGCAAGGACAAGACGGGGGAGACATTGAGAAGGGAAGAAAACTGTGGGTATACGTTACCCATGGCGGCTCCTGATCGCGGGTGCAAGACCCAAGGCTACAGTCGGAGTCTGGCTCGTGCGGTTCGTGGGATGTGTACCTCCCATGACATTACTGGAAAGGAGGAATGCTTAGTTACAGTTCTGCATCTTCCCTTAATTTTATGGCTCAAAAGCCTAGCTAACTTTTAGGTTCCTTTTACTCTTGGATCACCCTGGCCCATGATTTATCCAGGAAACTTGCTACGTGCTCCACCCACACCCAGGTTCCATGGCACTCAGAGGAGTCTGTAGACACGTGATGCCACAGTCACTGCATTCTAAGTTCAGAGTGAAAGATTGCTCCTGCGTGTCCTCCCCTGGCTGCTGAGGCCCACCCCGCGAAGGCCACTGCAGAGGAGACTCGGGCGGTTTTCAGTGCCAGTCCCCCGGCAGCTTTGTGTCTAGGCCCCCAGCAAGCACATCCTGGAGACCCCCTGCAAATCAGGGTGTTGGATGAGACCTACTGGCTGGCCGTGCACTGAGAAGTGTCTTCCTCTCTTGCAGGGAGAAAGCTGTGGACATGCTCGATTCGTTAATACAAGCAACTCATGTCGCAGCGAGAGGCAACTCCGACTACAACAATGTTAGCGATGGCTGGCTGGAAATAATACGTAAGTCAAAGCTGCATGTGTGGAGTGTGTGACTTGGCTGCTGGGGCTTAGCTGGCACAACAGGTCTGATTTCACCTTCGAATCCAAAGTGTCCATCTGGTCCCTGGGCGGAGAAGGCTAAGGTCACAGTTTGTTGTGGCAGAGCGCGGACTGCACCCAGGGTCCAGCCTCTTCCCCCTCCTTTCAGCTGGCAAGTCGGGCTGGTCCCTCCGATTCCCGGGGAGACTGGAGCGTGTCAGTGCCCTTCTGTTGCTCCTGTGAATGGGACTGCCTGGTGGAGCCAGAACGAGCTGAGCGGCTGTGCAGGATCTGCTCTCCCCAGTCCCCTCCTGGGCCCGCGGCTGCTCCTGTGCCCCTGCCGTGCCTGGCTGCTGGGGAGCAGCTCTGGGTTCTGCCCTCACACCTGCCACACCCTCTGAGGTCTCGTCCGCTCAGCAGGCTGGAATGTGCTCGCCCAGCCCTGTGATCAGGGTCTAGATCATTGCGACCCCCTCCCTCTTCCCTGTACTCTTGGGTGGCCAGGGGTCACTCTCTGACTTGGGTAGGGGTCCTGGTGGCCACCTGTTCACTAGGCCCAGAGTTAGATCCTCATTTGGGAACAGAATCCAGAGGTTGGGGCTTGTCAGGCCCTGGGCTTTGCCATCTAGGCCAGCTGGATGGGCTGTGGAATGGCCAAGGGAGAGCGGGAAGGGGTGAATAAAACGCCTCGAAGTGAAAGGTGTGGGCAATCCAAGGCAGAGAACCGAAGCTGGGCCGGTAAGAATCCGGCGTGATGGCATTTTGTTGCCTGTAAGGTAGAAGCAGTTAGCTTCTTTATAATATAGAAGCCCAAATCACCCTAGATCCTGGTTAACAAACACAAGGGTGACGTTGAACACATGTATCAGGAGGAGGAATTGAATGTTATAAACAGCATCACGGACCTTCAAAATCCCCGAAGGAACAAAGCACGCCCCCCAGGGCTGCCTTAGACCTTGCCACTCACCCCCAGGAGCCAGCTTTCAAGGGGAATGAAAATTAATTTCTTGTTCAGCTGCATCCTCTCCCTTCTCTGGCAACACACCAGGAAACTGCCTTTTAACTGTGTGCACCAAGAACTAAGTTGTTCGTATGAATGGTAACTGTCCTCTCCAACTTCTGCAGCACCGTGGCTGCGTGGAACAACGCTCGGGGCATTCCGCTGCAAACAGATAGTATCCCTGTGAAAACTCTGGGCAGATTCAGGACCTTGGGAACTGAGTCCTGATGTGTGGTTTTATTATGTGGGCCAAGGGTTTTAAAGTTCCCATGACTGCCCTGGCTCGTTTGGCTCAGCAGTTGGAGAGTTGGCCTGTGGACCAGAGAGTCCCCGGTTCGGTTCCAGCTAGGGGCACGTACCAAAAAAACAAAAAAACCCAAAACAACAACAACAAAAAAAGTTCCCATGACTGACTCAACTTACAAGGGAGCATCTTGAACACGAGAGGTAATACAGTTATGTATTACCTAGGGCCTGTTAACTAGATAACTAGATAACTAGAGCCTCTTAGAGATTAAAGCCTCATTAATGTGATTCCTGTCTAATCATACCCCCCCCTCTTTTTAATCCTCACCCAAGGATATTTTTCCATTTATCTTCAGATAAAGTGGGAGGGAGGGAGAGAGAGAGAGAAACATTGATGTGAGAGAGATACATTGACTGTTTTCCTCCCACACGACCCTGACTGGGCCGGGGACAGACTGCAACCAAGGTACGTGTCCTTGACTGGAATTGAATCCGTGACTCTAGGGTCCAAGGGCTGACGCTCTAACCGCTGAGCCACACCGGCCAGAGCAGGGTTCCCATTTTTTGGCATCATGGCATCGTAGAAAAACTGCTGTTATTCTTCCCAGAATGCACAACTTTACATTTGCACAGGTGCAGACACCCCTGACACAGGTGCAGACCCGCCCGAGGGCAGCGCGAACGGCACCTGCCTGGGTGTCCCTGCTCGGCTGAGCATCCGCATCCTCTTCTCAGACGCTGGCGCCGTGGAAGGGATTACTCAGCAAGTGATACTCGGCGCGGAGACAAGGTCAGATCGCGTCTTGTCCAAGTATCATTTAGAGAGAGCCAGTAAAGGGGATGATGCTCCAGAGAACGGGGAAATGCTGATTTAGAATCTGATGATTTCTTTGCAAATTGCGATTATTAGCACTATATAAATGGAAAATTATCAACTGTGTTTGTAATGGAAACTTGTTCTCACAAGTATTTATCAAACTCTGTGTAAGAGATTCTGCAAGTATTTTAGGGGGTACAAAGATGATTAAAGAGCTGCTTAGTGCTAAGCATGTTTTGAAGTCCATGAATATGATCAGCATCGTGACCAGGGATTAGCAAAATGCTCGTAATGTTGTGGCTGGGTGACAGGTCCCTGAGGGATCATCATCCTTGTGTGTACGTTTGAAAATGTACATAATACAAAGGGGGCAAGTTGAAAGTTCTTTAAGAGACTCCCGGTGTGTATTGCTGCTCTGTCAGTTACCTTGTGTTCAACAGACCGGACGTGAACTGAGGTGCTGCCCGGTGCCCTTTTCCTCCCAGGGTGTCCTCCGTGAACTGGCAGTTCCAGTGCGGGCTTACCTGTGAGCGGAGGACCGACCTCTTCCCTCTCAGCGCGTCAGTCCAGTTCATTAGGGTCCCTGCACAGCGGCCCCGGCCACTGACAAGGTGACTGACCCAGCTGAATTCTTAGGAAGCAGAAAAAAAAAAAAATTTTACAATAAGTTTATTTCTTTAACCAACTTTTGATGCTTCTCACCAAAAGTATGCTTGCGGTAGCAGCTACTGTAATCTTCTAAAATGTTTTAGATTCCAGATCAATTTTACTGAGTATGACTGTAACAGAAATGATGTGTGTTGGCCACAGCTTCTATATCCACTGACCCGGTATTATCAAGGTAGGGGAAAGCCCATTTCCAGCATGGGTCTCATTGTGCTCTGTATAAAAATGCTAAAAGAGAAAAAATTTACTGATAATGTTGCCACTTAAAAATGATCATTATGAATATTTTGGTTTATTTCTATCTAAATAATTACCAAAACAGTTGAGAAATAAGAGTGTTGATTACTTAATTTGTTGTCTTGCAGGGGAGCCTTATTCTCAGTGTGTTGCCAAGGGCTTGCTGCTGGTGTTCTTCTCCATATTAGCTGTGTTCCTCAGTGACCCCTGGACCAGAAGATGCAAAGCTTGACATTCAGCCACCATCGGAGTCCTTACAGACCACAGACTTTGACTTTGGTGATTTGTTGCACTCCTGTGTACAGTTCTAATAAAGGAAGGTTTTTATTTTTGTAGGAGTATTGATCAGGCACTCTGCATTTGATTCACACATGTCGCTCTCCAGATGTGCGAAGCAGTGCAGACGGGCATTCTCGTCGCCAGACCACACTGAGTAGAGAGCGTGAGCGGGTCGCGTCCACTACGTGAATAAACATTGTTAGAAGCTTTAGTTGATCACAGATTACTGAAGTCATAGGAATTGGGTCCAACTATGTTAGTTGTACCTTAGAAAATCAATCTTTTCTTCAACTTATATATTTCTGTTGAACTGATGAAAAACCTTGGTCTTTAGTTAACAAAACACCAAACAAATATGATTAGCTACGAGCATCACAGGGTCCACACATTAAAAATAGTACATTTTCAATGAAGGACAGTGAGTCTTGAGAGAAATTTCTCCTGTGGCTCCTTGCAAGGGAACAGACAGAGCGATGCAGCCCCAGGGTGGGGCTGAGGAGGTGATGTCTTCACCCACAGTGCTGTGGTGGCCACACAGGAAATTTGAGTTTTCTTTGGGGGCCAGATAAATTGTCATTATACTAGATGGACTTTGTACACTGGTGATAAACCTGATTTTGAAAAGTCATCCTAGAAGAAGCTGAAAATTGTCTTTGCCATAGAAAAGGAAATACCCACTGGGTAATTATCTGCAGTGATTCAGAAAGTCTGTGGCAGTTAGTGCAACTTGCTCTGAAAATTTACAAATTTCCTGATTTTGTGAGCTGCCTTAGGAGAACTTTTGTACTTATGGGGAGAAGTCACCCTGGACGGACTGGCTCAGAAGTTAGAGCATCAGCCTACGGACCAGGGAGTCCCCAGTTCAATTGCAGCGCAGAGGGCATGTTTGTTAGTTGCGGTTCATCCCTGGCCTGGTTGGGGTTGTGTGGGTGGCAACCAATCCCGTGTGTCTTTCACATCTATGTTTCTCTCTCTCTCTTTCCCTTCCTCCCACTCTGTCTGAAGATAAGTGTAAAAATATCCTCAGGTTTTTTGTTTTTAAAAAGAGAAAAACTCCCTTTGGCAGTAGAATGGGATTTGGGGGCCATATTCTGTAGTTTTAACTTTTGTGAGTTTATATATTCATGTATGCATTTGAGAAGTAGTCACTGAGTGGCTACTACTCGCTGGTAGTTGCAAGACAATGGAACTTAGAGTCTATTGGGGGAAAACTGGCAATAAATACAGTGGTAGGTGCTTGAAGAAAATAAAACGGTTGTGGTGGGGCGTGGTGGGCTGGGAGGGCTACTTTTGATAGGGGTCAGGGACAGCCCCTTGGAGGGGACATTTGAGCGGAGACTTGAAGGAGCCAGCACTGAGGTCTGGGAGAAGGGTGTTCTAGGCAGCGGGAGGGATCAGCGAGGTCAAGGGCACTGACCTGGAAAGAATACGGTGCAGCTGGAGCCCAGGCAGCCCAGGCAGCCCAGGCAGGAGGCGGAGGTGAGGGCGTGGGGCGGGCAGAGGCCAGAGGCCTGGGCCTTGCTGGCCATGGTGAGAAGTGTGGGTTTTATTCCGAGTGCAGTGGAGAAGCCAGGGGGCTTCAAGTAGGCTCCACGAAGTGTGGCACCGTGTCAGGTCACTGTGGCTGCCGGGGGGAGGGTCGGGCGCAGAAGACACGACGCCGGAGACGGTGCAGGGCCCGGGTCCGACCCTGCTCTCTGGTCTGCGGCGGGGACAGGACCCGAGAGAAGCGGGCGGCCGGAGCCAGCCGCAAACACCACCTGTCGCCGGTGTGGCTCCGTGGACGTGGACGGTCCTGGGTGGGCACTTGCACGGGGACAGCGGTTTCGTGGCTGCCGGGAGCCGCGGACGGGAAGGGGCTGCCCGCAGCCGGCGTCGGGCCGAGGGGCACGTCCTGAACCGACCGCGAGGGAGGCTGCAGCGCGGGGCGCTGCCCGGGACCCCAGAGCTGTGCGCTCCAGGCCGCGCCCCCGACGGCCCCTGCGCCCCCCGCACTCGGCTCGGAAAGCTCCTCGCCGCCGGGCGAGCGGCCGAGCCCACCGCGTCGGGCTGAGCGCCGGGCCCGGCTCCCCCGCCGTCGGCCAATCGGCTACGCGCGCCGCCGGCGTCGGCCAATCGGCCACGCGCGCCGCCGGCGTCGGCCGCCACTCCCGGCGCCATTGGTCGGCCGCGGGGCGGGGGCGGGACCGGAACCGGCGGCGGGGGGCGGGGCCTCGGCGGCTCGGCGGCGGCCGCAGCGGCAGGACTCGGGGCGGCCGCAGCAGCCCGGAGCCCCGTGGTGCGGGGCCGCGGCCAGGCCGCAGGAGGAGCCCGAGGCGCGCGCGCCGCCCGACCGAGCGGGCCCGCGCCGCCCGGAGCCGCCGCCGCCCGGCGGGCCCGCCATGGGCTCCCTGTTCCGGAGCGAGACCATGTGCCTGGCGCAGCTCTTCCTGCAGTCGGGCACGGCCTACGAGTGCCTGAGCGCCCTGGGCGAGAGGGGCCTGGTGCAGTTCCGCGACGTGAGTGCCCCTGCCCGCCGGGCCGCCCCCGCTCCCCGTCAACGTCGGGCCGCGCCGGCGGTGCTTCTGCCGCGGGCCCCCCATAGCCCTCTCCGCGTCCATCTGGGGCCGACGGGGTGGCGGGGGCAGATACTAAGCACGTCGACAAGAAACTCTTGGCTGCCAAGGGAATAAAACGGGGCGCTGTGAGGGTGGCTCGGCTGGTGGTGATCAAGGTGGGCTTCTGGGAGGAGGTGACGTCTGGGCCGAGACTTGATGGGAAGGAGCCGGCTGTGGGAAGATGTGGGGGGACCGGGGTGCCGGGTGAGCCCAGAGCCTGAATTAGCAGTGAGCGTGGTGGGTGGGAGGTCCCTGACCGAGGGGGCTGTGTGTAGGTTTTGTTCGCTGATGTAGGAATGTTGTTCCCCTGCCCGGTAGGGAGTGGGAGCGCCCACCGTATTTGTTGGCTGGAAGATGTCTTCCCAGCCACTAACAATAAGTGCTTGTTTACGTACCTTGTTTATTGTTTGTCTCCACCAAAAGTAAGGGCTTTGCTTGACTTGTTCACACCTGATTCCTAAAGACTTGGAACAGCCGCTGGCGTTTGGAGGCATTGATCGGCCTCTGTTGAATGAACCAGCAAGCTTTTATTGAGTGCTTACTCTGTTCCAGCTGCTGTCTTCGGTGCTGGGGACTCGGTGGTGAGCAGAGAGGACAAGGTCCTGTGTTCTTGTGGCTCACACCCTGGGAGGAGACAAATAAACACATTCTGATGATTATGACGTGCGATAAGGAAGAACTGGGTGCGGAAGGGAGATTATGAAGCAGGATCTAATGTTTACTGTTTGAACTGAAAATTACTTAGGGGGACATTCTGTTTCCTGGGCTACAGCTTTCGCCCCCCGGTTGCTTCCCTTCATCTTTCGGAGGAGTCCTTCATTTCGAAAGGGAACACACCTACCCGAGTCTGATGTCAGTGATCCTTGGCTTGGCACCAAAAGGCAAAAAGTCAAGAGAAAACTCCGAGTGACAGGGGACGCTGCAGGGCAGGCCCGGCTCTCTTCCTGGTGTCTGGAGCCACTCGGGCTTCAGCACCTGGTACCCACTGACCTGGCAGGTGCTGTACTGAGCTGTGGGTAGCACCTGAGAGATTCAGGAAACGGTCATGATGGAGACGAGCTCCCTCCTTCACAGCAGGCAGATTTGTTCCATCTGTAAGTACTCGGGCCAAGAGACTTATCGAGCCTCAATCTCAGAGGTTTCAGCAAATGCCCTAATCACCAGAGGTTTGGGTTTCACTGCGGGCCGTCACATTGCCTAGCAGAGTCTACTCGGGATCCGGTTTAACGGAAAATCAGTGAAAGATAAAGACAGTGTGGTTCAGCTTTTTCTAGAGGGACAGTAAAACTGACACGAGCTCTTCCTTGTGTGGTGTGTCAGCTTAAGAAACATTCAAACCTGGGAAGAATTTTTGTGAGTTTGTTTGAGCCAAAACTGTCAACAATTGCCAAGAAGCAAAACCTCAGAGGATTGAGATAATGGTCCGGAGAATGGCAGTTTCGCACCTTATTTTATACATTACAATCAAAACTGCAGACGCAAATGATTTATGTGAAATCCATTGGTGATAGATTAGGGAGGTGGGAGAAAGCAAAGCAGGGTAACCTCTGGGATTGGATGAAAAGTAAAATGATAGACACATACGGCTCTTACATAGGTGGGTACAGGATAGTTGACAGTCAACAATTAACTCAGTAATAATGAGGGAATTTGTGGTCTCTGCCGAGTGGTGCCTGTGCTTTGAGGGGTCCAGAAAAAGGAAAAATTACTTCCACTTCCAAAGATATGTTATCGTAGATGCAAAAAGACAAAAGATAGGGTCAATTAAGGTAAAGATTGACCTTGGTCAGGGAAGATGCCGGCCTAGGACCATAGTCTGTTTTTAGTTAAAAAGTTTGAATTTCAGTCCATCCTTGGTGGTTAATTTAGGTCTTTGAGTTTGCAGGGCCGCCACACAGGCCTCCCCTGAGCTTGTCAGGTTAGCATGTGCCCCTTTTCACCCACAGCTGCTAGGTTTTCAGAGCTGGGGGGCGCGAGTGTGTGAGTGTGTGTGTGTATGTGTGTCTGTCTGCTGTCTTCCTGTCGATGGTCAAGCAGCATGGATGCGAGTGCAGAACGTTCCATCAGCTCACATTTTCCCGCTCTTTTCTGGAGTTTCTTACCGACTTTCTGTTCACCGGATAGGATCCCTGACCTGTCTTTTCTGGCTTGCGTAGGCTGAATAATGTTCCCCCTTTTTTTTTGTCTTGTTTTTTTATCCTCACCTGAAGATATTTTTGCATTTATCTTCAGATAAAGCAGCAGAGAGAGAGGGAGGAAGAGAGAGAGAGAAACATTGATGTGAGAGAGACACATTGATTGGTTGCCACCCGCACAACCCCAACCGGAGCCGGGGATGATCTGCAACTGAGGTACATGCCCTTAGCGGACATCAAACCCAGGACTCTCTGGTCCGCGGGCTGATGCTCCAGGGCTGTTCCCCTTTTCTTTTAATAATCCTCAGGGCAAGGAGGCAGGTCGAGGGTCTCTGGAGCGACAGCCAACGAGAAGACCTGGGAAAGCAGAGTTCTTGAGCCAGCCGGAGGCCTCAGTGAAGGGCAGGCACCTGGGAACAGTTTTACCTGTCGTCCCTGAGCTGCTGGAGTGGCTGTAGTAAGGCCAGCGGCAGGTGGCCTCTGCGTCTTCCTGGCTAAGTGTCAGTCGCCACATGGATCCGCGTTTCCGCGTGCTCCGTTTTGCTGCCGGAATTCGGCCGACGTGGCCTTCCTAGAAAAGAGAAATAAAACTCTGTCAGAGAAACCACGTATCAGGAAAAAGACAGTTCAGGCACTAAGATGCTGGCAGTGGTCGATGTGGATCGTGTTTGTCATCGCCGCTGAAATTTGCCGCTTCCAAAGGTTTCTGTTGTTGAACCACGGTGTCCAGTGAGAGTCAGTAGTGTTTGGTGTTGGAAAAAGTGGGGATGGACAAGCGTGTCATCGTAGACAGGCCTTGAGCCTGGCTACCCTGCCGTCCTCTCGGGGCTGTAGACAGGGGCTCCTCTGGGTCAGCGGCAGCCTGGAGGGGTCCTGCCGGGCTCTCGGGGCTGTAGACAGGGGCTCCTCTGGGTCAGCGGCAGCCTGGAGGGGTCCTGCCGGGCTCTCGGGGCTGTAGACAGGGGCTCCTCTGGGTCAGCGGCAGCCTGGAGGGGTCCTGCCGGGCTCTCGGGGCTGTAGACAGGGGCTCCTCTGGGTCAGCGGCAGCCTGGAGGGGTCCTGCCGGGCTCTCGGGGCTGTAGACAGGGGCTCCTCTGGGTCAGCGGCAGCCTGGAGGGGTCCTGCCGTCCTCTCGGGGCTGTAGAGAGGGGCTCCTCTGGGTCAGCAGCAGCCTGGAGGGGTCCTGCCGGGCTCTCGGGGCTGTAGAGAGGGGCTCCTCTGGGTCAGCGGCAGCCTGGAGGGGTCCTGCCGGGCTCTCGGGGCTGTAGACAGGGGCTCCTCTGGGTCAGCGGCAGCCTGGAGGGGTCCTGCCGTCCTCTCGGGGCTGTAGAGAGGGGCTCCTCTGGGTCAGCAGCAGCCTGGAGGGGTCCTGCCGGGCTCTCGGGGCTGTAGACAGGGGCTCCTCTGGGTCAGCGGCAGCCTGGAGGGGTCCTGCCGGGCTCTCGGGGATGTAGAAAGGGGCTCCTCTGGGTCAGCGGCAGCCTGGAGGGGTCCTGCCGGGCTCTCGGGGCTGTAGAAAGGGGCTCCTCTGGGTCAGCAGCAGCCTGGAGGGGTCCTGCCGGGCTCTCGGGGCTGTAGACAGGGGCTCCGGCTGGGTCAGCAGCAGCCTGGAGGGGTCCTGCCGGGCTCTCGGGGCTGTAGACAGGGGCTCCTCTGGGTCAGCGGCAGCCTGGAGGGGTCCTGCCGGGCTCTCGGGGCTGTAGACAGGGGCTCCTCTGGGTCAGCAGCAGCCTGGAGGGGTCCTGCCGGGCTCTCGGGGCTGTAGACAGGGGCTCCAGCTGGGTCAGCAGCAGCCTGGAGGGGTCCTGCCGGGCTCTCGGGGCTGTAGACAGGGCTCCTCTGGGTCAGCGGCAGCCTGGAGGGGTCCTGCCGGGCTCTCGGGGCTGTAGACAGGGGCTCCTCTGGGTCAGCGGCAGCCTGGAGGGGTCCTGCCGGGCTCTCGGGGCTGTAGAAAGGGGCTCCTCTGGGTCAGCGGCAGCCTGGAGGGGTCCTGCCGGGCTCTCGGGGCTGTAGACAGGGGCTCCTCTGGGTCAGCGGCAGCCTGGAGGGGTCCTGCCGGGCTCTCGGGGCTGTAGACAGGGGCTCCTCTGGGTCAGCGGCAGCCTGGAGGGGTTACTTCAGACAAGTACAAGTTCCAGAAGTGGATGTGACTTTGGCACACAGAAGTGAAATTAGAATTTTGTATCTTTCTTGTGGTTAATTCTTTAAAAAAAAAAAAAAAATTTCCAAAAACTGAACAAGAACTGACCTTGGGGGAGCAGTTTCAGGCCAGGCTGTGTGCCTGTGTTTTGAGCGTCCCCTCTACAGACATGGGCGAGTCAGGAACTCTCGCCTGAGTGCCTTTGAACGTGAGTGACACTGTGACTTTATTATAAAAGTGTGTATGTGGTGGGGGGCGGATGGATGAGGTCAACCACAGAACTTACATGCATGTATGCATAACCAGTGGACAAAGGCAACAGTGCTGGGCGGGCGGGCAGGATGGTGAGGAGGAGGTCTAGGGGGAGAGAAAGGAGAAACATCCGTAACAAACATAAGTTAATAAAAATTGAAAAAAAGCCCTGGCCATTTTGGCCCAGCGGTAGAGCGTCGGCCTGCGGTCCAGAGAGACCCGGGTTCGGTTCCCAATAAGGGCGTGTACCTCGGTTGCAGTTTGTCCCCGGCCCTGGTTGGGTCGTGTGGGTGGCAACCACTCGATATGTCCCTTTCACGTCGATGTTTTTCTATCTCTCTCTCTCTCTCCCTCCCCACTCTATCTGAGCAAAAAATGGGAAAATGTCCTCGGGTGAGGATAAAAAAAAAAAAAATTGAAAAAAAAATTATATATGTGGCGGGGAGTATATTGTGGAAAATACAAAAGTAAGATAATAACTCTTATGATTCCAATAACTAGAAGTAAACACTTTAACTTTTTGGTTAATATTGGTCAAATTTTTAAAAATATTTTAAAGTGCATATATATTTATACAATTGGTACCACACTGAAAATATCTTTAGTCTTTTTTACACGCAAATCATGAATACTTTCCTGATTTTATTAAATATTCTTTTACGATTTTTATTCTTTGAAGCTTTGTATTAGAAGTTAAGTTGAGGGACGAGTATGTGGGAGCAGTTAATGTCTGTGTCCCCAAGATGTAAACTCTGGCCACTCATTCTGTTCTAACCCCTGACCCCCAAGAACATCATGAAGCAAATCCCAGGTGTAGAATTTCATTTGTAAGTATTTCAGTATCTCAAAGGTGAGGACACTTAAAAACCATAACCACGACATTATTATCATACCAGAATTTTATTTTTTTGCTAATACTCACCTGAGGATAATTTTTCCGCTGATTATTTTAGAGGGAATGGAAGGGAGAGAAGAGAGGGAGAGAGAAACATTGATATGAGAGAGACACATCAAGTGGTTGCCTCCCACACGAGTCCCAACCGGGTCAGGGATTGAACCTGCAACCCAGGTATGTGCCCTTGACTGGGAATCAAACCCAAGACCATTAGGTGCTTGGGCCGATGCTCTAACCACTGGCCAGGGCCATACCTAAAATTTTAAATAATTTCTTAATATAATCAAGTACCTTAGTCATATAAAACATAATTTTAATAAATGCATAAGTTATATGATTAAATCATAACTTTCATACAATTTGATTAATGTATGTCATAAAATCCACTCATTTCAAGTGCACAGTTCATTGATTTTTAGAAAATGTACTGAGTTGCACATCCATCTCCACAACCCAGTTTTAGACGTTCTGTCACCCCAGGAGGATCCCCGTGTTCCTTTACGGTGGGTCCCTTCCTGCCCCAGCCCCAGCCAGTCCTAGTCTACTTTCTGCCTCAGGTTTGCCTTTTCTGGCCATTTCATAGAAATGGAATCACACGTGTGTCCGTTTGGGTCTTCTGTCACTCGCGCTGAGTCTCTGAGTCCCTGTGGTGCTGAGTGTCAGTAGCGGGTTCCTGTTTATTGCTGAGTAGTGATATTCCATGGGAAGGGTACAGACTGTAATTTATCAGTCTTCTGTTGATAATCGTCTGTTCTCTGTTCCTGAGGCTGATTTCTTCTAGATAAATCTTTGTCCATATCAGTAGTTTTTTCCTTAGGTTAAATTTCTCCATGGGATATTTCTGGGCCAAAGGGTGTTTTTCATAATCGTTGCTAAATCACTTTCCAGAAAAGTGGTGGCAGGTGGTACGCCCATTCAGCCGTCCGGGAGGGCGCACTGTTCCCCAATAATATTTTATTTCAAAACCAAATTCATGTTCAAAGAAAAACTTTTATTCTTTTCTCAGCTCAACCAGAATGTAAGTTCTTTCCAAAGAAAATTTGTTGGTGAGGTGAAGAGGTGCGAAGAGCTAGAACGAATATTAGGTAAGTTTATTTTAATAACCTTAACAATCATTTTTATATGAGCAAATCCTATTCACTTTAGAAAAATTGGAAAATATAGATTAACAAAAAGGAAAAAAGAAATTACCATATTCTGTCTATTCAGAGGTAATCACTGTCACGTAGATTATGTTACTTTCCCATACCTGTTACTATTCATCTGTAAAAGTAAGGATTTATCAGCTTTGTCTCGCATTTAATAGTAAGTACTCACCATAACATCTTTTCATGCTAATAAGCAGATTTGCCCGTCATCATTTCTTTTAATCCTCACTGGAGGATATTTTTCTATTTATCTTCAGATAGAGTACGAGGGAGGGAGAGAGAGAGAAACATCCATGTGAGAGGGGCACATCTACTGGTTGCCTCCTGCATGACCCTGACCAGGGCCTGGGATGAACCACAACCGAGGTATGCGCCATTGGCTGGAATCGAACCCACAACTCACTGGTCCGAGGGCTAATATTCTTCCCACTGAGCCAAACCGGCCAGGGCCCTGTCATCATTTTTAATGGCTGTATACTATTTCTTGTATTAATGTGCCATAACTTATTTAACCAACCGCTTGTAGTTTATTATAGCGTATAAACATCGTATTCCTGTTACTGTATGACCTAAAATGATATAAGTGAACAGAGGAGGTGGGAAGTGGCGAGAGCTTGGTTGGTAATAATTTCCTCTTTCTCGGGCTTCCTGCGCGAAGGTGCTAGATCAGTGACTGTTAACCACACACCCAGTAGCTCACGGCTGCTTCATTTATTTGTAAAGACTTTAACATCTGAGCTTGAAGTAGTCACGATCGGTTCAAGCCGTGAGGTTCTGACTGACATAGGACTGGGAATGATCTCAGACAAGTGACTGAAGTACAGAGTTTGTTTTTAGAAGGACGAACAGAAAAACATGGGGTGAGAGAGTTGTGGGGGGAGAATACGACTTTTAGAATGATTTCTAATAGGTAATAATTATTGTGGGTTTTATCTTTTTTAAGACAGAAGCATGATCTTTTATTCGTCTGCAGCCTGTTCCTTTCCCATGTTTGAGGCCTGGTCATAGGTGTGGGTGGTAGATGATAGAGGGACAGCACGTCCCCGGCTCGGCAACACATGCCAGTCGCTGGACAAGTCATATATTTGCAATGAGGGTTTTTTTGTTTTTGTTTTAAATATGTTTTCATTGAATTTTTAGAGAGAGAGGAAGGGAGAGAGAAATGGAAACATCGATGACAGAGAACGTCGATTGGCTGCCTCCTGCAGGTCACCCCCCCGGGACTCAAATCAGCAACCCCTTGGTATACAGGTCGATGCCCGACTGAGCCACACCGGCCAGGGCTTTTGTTTTTTAAGGTGAAAGATTTATATGATCTGAAGAGAAACCAGAGTATCTTTCTTTTTATACATATATATATATATTTTTTTTTTTACTTTTTTTTTATCCTCACCCAAGGATATTTTTTGCATTCATCTTCAGACAGAGTGGGAGGGAGAGAAAAGGAGAGAGAAACATCGACTGGTTGCCTCCCACACCACCCCAACTGGGGCTGGAGACAAACTGCAATTGAGGTACGTGCCCTTAGCAGGAACCGAACCCAGGACTCTCTGGTCCGCAGGCCGATGCTCTAACCATTGAGCCACACCGGCCAGGGCGTGATTTTCTTGATGGACCTTACTTCCTCCTGTGGGTGTCTACAGGGCAGTCACTTGAGCTGCCCCTCGTGGTGTCGAAGGTCTGTTTGCCAGCGAGCACCAGAGCGCCCTCAGACGGGAACGGGTTTGTAGCCAAGAGGGGAAGGTGTGTGTGAGGGAGAGGCGCCAAGCCCGGGCACAGGTGAGCTCGTGAGCTGGGCCCTGCTCTCCGGGGGACTCCGGGGCACGGGCACCTGCCGCTGAGGGAGGTAGGGTCAGGTCTGCTGATGGGCCAGCACAAGGGTGACGGGAGTTGGTCACTGCATCTGGCCAACCATGGAGTTGCTCTGGCTCCTTTCCCAAGGGCGTGGTTGGGTGTCGTCCACTCTCCTGGGTCCGAGCTGACGGACGCCTCCGTGTTACTTCTGACGAAAACTCTGCCTTTGTGGGCAACGGACCTGAGGCTTTGCTCTTAAGAGTTTGATCCTGACCACGATCTGATGTCCTGAGGGCTAATGATGAAGGAGGGGAGCGGATGGACAGAGAGGGAGAGGGTCACATTAGAGGAATGGAGTCTGCGCAGTCACAGTGGGGATGACTAGGTCCGTCACACGTCCAGGTGTGTCCTTGGCCTGCTGCTTCCACATGTGCAGGGAGATGTGGCCCCAGAGGTCTTCAGCTCAAGGGTGAGGATGAGAGCGTGGGGACTTGCAGGAAGTGTGTGCAGGTTCTTGTTGTCACCGGCGCTGCTCGGTCTGGGCACTGGCGTCTTGGAAAGGAGGTTAGCGGGCGACCTCTAAGTCCATTGGGACACGCAAGATTTTGGGTGCATTTAGACATTCATTTCTAGATGGCCTGGGAAAGGTTGGGGTGTGAAATGTTCGGACTGAAGTGTCTCAGCCTGTTTCCGAGTCTCATTGTCTGACTTTGATTTCCACAGCGTATTTGGTGCAGGAAATACACAGAGCGGGCCTCCCCCTTCCCGAGGGAGAGAGCAGCCCTCCCGCACCACCTCTCAAGCAGGTTCTGGAAATGCAGGTACTCGCTCCTGATCTCTGATGCGCTCATCTGCTCCTTCTTGTTGCCTGGGGCCTTCTGCCTTTCTTCTTGAAACCCCATGGTGCTCAACCCAGGAACGGATCTCCTGGGAGACATTTCACCTGTAATCCAGTTTCCTTTTAAAATGTGAGGTGGTGAACAGAGGCTAATGAGAACCAGCTCAGGAGATCCTGGTTCTCAGTCTGTTTGCGGGAGGCCGGGGCTTATCCAGCCTCAGCACGCCCTCCTGCTCAGTGACTGCGCTTCGGCCCTGCGCCTCCCATCCCTCCGTGTGCGAGCCCCCCCTAATCTCCAGAAGCTAGGAAGGTGGTAGGTAGGTCCATGTGGGCAGTCAGCAGAATTCCTCCTCCCTGAGTTCATTGTCCCAGGTGTTGGGGGCACAGCGTCCCCCTGTGAATACATTTGCACCCCGCCCCATGAATTACCCCTGGAGGTTCCAGTGTGATCATCTGATTGTTTATCGCCCTGGGAGGTGGCCAAGCGCTCCTTAGAGCTGTCCTGAGACAGTGCTGCGTGGCTCGGGCGGTCCCGGTGCCGCTGCCCTGCCGCCCCGGGGAGGGAGTCCCGGGACGCTCGGCACCTGAGCGGGCTCGGGGCGAGCCCTGCCATCGGAGGGGCAGGGAGCGGCTCTGGTTTGGCCTGCGACGTGCTGGCTGGATACAGTCGCAGCTACAGTGAGTGCTGAGCGTGTGCAGTGTCATACGGCAGAGCACGCGGACGAGTGTAGGGCCAAGGGGTTTGTGTGTGCAGGTTTTCACTGAGCCAGTCGTGGGTTCTCGGTGTCTGCTGCTCTTACTGCTTAAGCACTGTTAAGGGTGCTTTGTATAGAACTGCTTGTTTAAGTATGATTTTTGCGCGCGCTTCATTGTAAGTACAACTGTATTGGAACTCTTAAGGTTGAGACAGGAATACACGTGTTTAGAAAGATAGGTAAACACTTTTCCTGTGTTGCAAACAAAAGGAGATGTAGACCTGAGAGGCGAGGATCTGGACATGTGGCCACGGATAAGCACACGGACAACCCAAGAAATGCTAGGCCCTGAGAGGAGGTGCCACCTGGGGGGCTTGCCGTCATCACAGCTTCCCAACAGGTGTCCCCCGACTGACTTAACATGAAACAGTGAATGAGGGCCTTCACCACCTTTGCATGGTTTTCCTACCCCTATACCCCTAGCAAACTCATGAACTCTGGCTTTTCCAAAGCCCCCCTGGTGGGCGTCCGTGGAGAGACGGCAGCACGGGCCTTGAACTGAGGCGTGGTCTTGAGTAGCCACTGGCTTCTTTTAGGAGCAGCTACAGAAGCTTGAGGTTGAGCTGAGAGAAGTCACCAAGAACAAGGAGAAACTGAGGAAGAACCTGCTTGAACTGATTGAGTACACTCACATGCTGAGAGTGACGAAGACCTTCGTCAGGCGGAACGTGGAGGTACTGATGGCCGCGGGAGGACACTGGACGTCTCGTGCCCACCAGGCCTCCGATGGCGTCAGTTCCTGTCGACCTGTTGCTTTTGCCGGGAGAGAGTGGTCTTAGCTGTCTTCATTTTTCAGTTGGGTGGTGTGACATGAGAAAAAGCTCTAAGCCAGCGGTTCTCAGCCTGTGGGTCGCGGCCCCTTTGGGGGTTGAACGACCCTTTCACAGGGGTCACCTAAGACCATCGGAAAACACGTATTTCCAATGGCGATTCATAGCAGTAGCAGAATTACAGTTATGAAGTAGCAACGAGAAGAATTTTATGGCGGGGGGTCACACAACATGAGGACCTGTATTAAAGGGCCGCGGCATCGGGAAGGTGGAGAACCACTGCTCTAACCGCTGAGCCAGACCGGCCAGGGCAGATTTCTTGATCAGAGCTGTGCTTCCTGTCTGAGTTATCTTGGGTCCTCAGCACCCAGATCTGAGGAGTCAGTGGTGGATGGAGCCTTGAACTATTTTTGGGGAACGAGACATGAGAGATCACTTCTAACCAAACATACTTGGTTTCTGTCTCGTTGTAGTTTGAACCCACTTATGAAGAATGCCCCCCGCACTTGGACAGTGAATCCTTGTTGGACTACAGCTGTATGCAGAGGCTGGGAGCGAAACTGGGGTAAGTGACATCGTGGGGTGTCGGGCATCCTGCTGCCCTGCTGTCGGAGGAAGATGAGCTCTGCTGAGGGGGTGAATGGGCACATTTGAAAGCCGGTGAGTGAATGAAAGACAGTGAATGTTTAAGGAAACACTGTACTCCTGTGTTTGTTGAGGCGAATTTCGCAGCTGTATTGGACTTTTAGCTGAATGTGATGGGTGTTTCTCCTTTTGGCACACTGAGTGGAAGGAGGGAACATTTACGCCCGTGTTATGCCCATAAGCCTAAGATGATGGGTCACTAGAGCATCAAGTCCCGTTGTGTGTGGTGGAGACAGGGCTACACTGAGTTGGTTGACATATGAATCGTATTTTAAGGGTCTTTCTGTTGTTTGTTCTCCTTTTACTTGAACTAATGGTAACTTGTTTCCCCATGTGATTTCTTTTTCTTTATTGATTTTGGAGAGGAAGAGAGATGGGGAGAAAGATAGAAACGTTGATGAGAGAGAACATCGATTGGCCGCCTCTTGGCATGCTGCACGCCCCCCACTGGGGATCAGGCCTACAACCTTGGCATGTGCCCTGACCAAGAATTGAACCAGTGACCTCTTGGTGCATGGGTCGACACTCACCACTGAGCCACACTGGCTGGGCTTTTTTTTAAATTCTCACTCGAGGATATTTTTCTATTTATCTTCAGATAGAGTGGGAAGGAGGGACAGAGGGAGAGGGGGAGAGAGAGAGAGAGAGAGAGAGAGAAACAGAGAAATATTGATGTGAGAGAGACAATGATTGGTTGCCTCCCCCATGACTCTGACTAGGGCTCAGGACCAAACCGCACCGAGGTATGTGCCCTAGACTGGAATCGATCCTGAGACTCTTTGGTCCTCAGGCCAATGCTCTAACCGTTGAGCCAAACCAGCCAGGGCACTCATGTGATTTTTTTTTTTTTAACTTACATTCCTCTGTTCATTCATTATATGTGGGAATTCAGTGTTTGGTTTGAGGAAGTAGACTTCCAGAGAGAATTTGTTTTTACATTTGTCAGGTACCTATGTGTCCAAGGCCCACCTGGAATCACTTGACATTGATTTCTCAGCGTGGGGTTTTTTGTTTGTCTTTTGTTTGTTTTTTGTTTGTTTTTTGTTAATCCTCACCTGAGGATATTTTTCCATTGATTTTTTTTTTTTTTTTTTTTTTAGATAGAGTGGAAGAGGGAGAGAAGGGGGGAGAAAAACATTGGTGTGGAAGAGATACATCGATTGGTTGCCTCCTGAATGACCCTGACGGGGGCCAGGGATTGAACCTGCAGCCCAGGTGCTCTTGACCACAAGTTGAACCCATGTCCCTTCGTTCAGTCTGTGGGGCTGACACTCGAACCACTGAGCCAAACCGGCCGGGGCTGTTTGTTTTTCTGTTGGTGTTTTCACTGTGAATTTAAGCCACAAGCCTGAGTGAATTCTAACCTGTGGTTATAAATTCTCAGGGAAGACTTTTCCCCTTCTGTCTGGAACTAAAAGTGAAGTAAACAAGTGGACTTGTAGGCTTCTTTACAGGATGGATTTTTTCCCATCCACCCATTCACTGCGGTGTAGCCCTTGGGGGGGGGATCCCAACTTTAGAGAGGGCATTTGGGGGATAATCAGTTACTCCTCCTCACCTATGTAGACCCAGTGCCCGGCTCCCACGCGGGCACTGACACTCAGGGCCTTACGGTACTGGTCAGTGTAGGGCAGCAAGGTGGCTCTGAGGTCCTGTCTGTGATCCCAAGAGTTTCTCTAGTTCGAGGCTCAGCTATACATGAAAGGATGTTTCGGAAGCAGCCTCCAGCATCCAGGCCTCAGGGAGGGGGAGGGGCCGCGTCTCTGCACTGCTCTGGCAGGACGCAGGCTCCCGTCATCCTCTGCTCTGCTGCGAGGCGTGGCCTCCGTGCACTGCAGCTTGTCTGTCGTCTTGTAGGTTCATATCTGGCCTCATTAACCAGGGGAAAGTGGAAGCATTTGAAAAAATGTTGTGGAGGGTCTGCAAAGGGTACACCATCGTGACCTACGCGGAGCTGGATGAAGCCCTTGAAGACCCTGAGACGGTGAGTGAGCAGCAGATCCCCCTTGACAGTGACAGACCCAGCGGAGCTGGGGGCTCAGTGCAGGGCCGTCAAGGGAGCGTCCCCGGCCCCCATCCTGAAGGTCTCAGGCGCAGTGACTGGAGTCAGGACCTCCCCTGCACTCCCGCAGCGCGACCAGGACATCAGCCCGGGCTTGGCACTGTCCTCACGACGGGCAGCGTCACATCGTGTCGCCTGGTCACACCTCTGACCTTGCCCGTCTGCTTCTCCTTCACTTCGAGGCTCTGGTCCCCGTGTCCACGTGGCACCACCCTCCCCTCTTTGCTCAGGTCAGCTGTGCCCTCAGGGAGCCCGTTTCTCTTCAGCCCAGTCAACAGCCCAGCCCAGCCCCTCCCTCCCGTCTCCTCGGCCAGCTTGACCTTTAGCTTGTCTTCTCATTTTCCTTTGGTGTAGTGTGCGTCTTCTTTGTGTTTCCTGAGGCCAGCTTGAATATAAGCCCCTCCCCCCAGGTTGGGAGACTTGTGCCGCGCTCGGTGCCGAGGTGGCTCTGTCCTGTGAGTTCTGCAGGCACCGAGCCGCCCGTAGGGGATGGTGAGGTCCTGCCGCCTCCGCTCACGTTTTGTCTGATGACCAGTATGTGTCTTGTGTCTTATTTCTGCTGAAAGACCCTTCTTCAATATGTATGATTATTATTACTTTTTAAATGTTTTTATTGATTTTTTATTTTTTTTGAGGGAAAGGGAGAGAGAGATAGAAACATCAACGTGAGAGAGAAGCATCGGTTGATTACCTCCTGCACGCCCCCTACTGGGGATCAAGCCTGAGACCTGGTCACGTCCCCTGACTGGGAATCAAACCAGGACCTCTCCGTCCACTGAGCCGCACCGTCCGGGCCCATATTATTATTGCTCGTTCATGTTGGACTCGCGCCCGAGCGAAGCTGACCTGGCCCACGTTCTGCGGGGGGCCTGTCACAGCCCTTCCTGCGTTCAGCCACACGAGCGCCCGGCAGCGCACGGGGCGTCCCCTCAGCAGGCGTGCGGAAGCCCTGCACCGAGTGGCCGTGGTGCGGGTGCTGGCACAGTGAGATGGAACACGAAGGCCACGTGTCACCTACCACCTTAGCCGGGGAGCTGCCTGTCGGGTGGCTCGAGGTTTGGGTCACTCTGCACGTCCGCAGAGGAGCACGGAGCTGCGCGGGCCTTGGCTCGGGCTGAGGCACGAGTTTGGCGGTGAAGCCGCGGCTGTGGAGTACGCGGCGAGGGGGGCGGGCGTACCTGTGGGTGAATGAATGAAGCGCTGACAGTTGGAGCCCCCGGAAGAGGCTCACAGTTCCGGACACAGAAGTGACGGGTGTCCTTGTTTACTCTGTAGGGAGAAGTCATCAAGTGGTATGTGTTTCTAATATCCTTCTGGGGAGAGCAGATTGGCCACAAGGTTAAGAAGATATGTGATTGGTAAGAAGAGACCTTCATGTATGTCCTCATGTTCAGGAGCCGCAGGGGCGCAGGGCGCAGGGCCGCAGGGGCACAGGGCTCCATCTCACGGCGCCTTCGCTGTGTGACGTTCATCGCGTCTCTCCTGCCAGGCAGTACTTAGATAACGTAAAAGTACAGGCCACGTTAACACTCCCAGATTTGCTTTTTTTAAAAAAAATTTTTTTTTTTTTTTTTTTTTCATCCTCACCCGAGGACACTTTCCATTTTTTGTTCAGACAGAGCGGGAGGGAGAGAGAGGAAGAGAGAGAGAGAGAAACATCGATGTGAAGGGACACATCGAGTGGCTGCCACCCGCACGACCAACCAGGGCCGGGGACAAACTGCAACCGAGGCACGCGCCCTTAGCGGGAACCGAACCCGGGTCTCTCGGTACCGCAGGCCGACGCTCTAACCGCTGAGCCAAACTGGCCAGGGCTAAAAAAAATGTTTTTATTGATTTATTAGAGGAAGGGAGAGCGAGATAGAAACATCAATGTGAGAGAAACATCGATGGGCTGCCTCCTGCACGCCCCCTACTGGGGATCGAGCCCGCAACCCGGGCCTGTGCCTTGACTGGGAGTCGAACCGGGACCTCTCGGTCCATGGGACGGCGCTCAACCCACTGAGCCACGCCAGCTGGGCTAGAATTTTTTTTTTAAATCAAGGCTTAAGATCAGTTGGAAAAGGAATCAAATTGTAGTGTTTTCTGCCTCCCTGTGCTTTTAGCTGCATGTAGACTAACCTGCCTTATGGTTTATCTTTTGTGGACTCTGGGCAGTTTTCTCCTTTGCACCAGAGGGTGGGCATGGCCTGTGGGGAGGCACGCGGGCTCTGAGTGGGCCTGCTGGGCTCCAGAGCCTGGCTTTGCCAGCTCATTGTCGGGGCCACCTGGGGCACCTCACCAGGCACGCTTCCTGTCTGAACGGGGTGTGGGCTCGTCCTCATGGGCTTGTTAGGGCTGCAGTAAATGTTGAGTGTGTCACAGTGAGGGGCTGTGGCTTATCCTCGTCAACAGACAGGAAAATGAGCAAGGCTACACCCGCTGCAGGAGGAGGCCCTTGTCTTCCTCCCCGCGGGCACCTCGTAGGTGGCCTTGTTTCCTGGGGGAGGGTGGGCTTGGGTTTGTGCGGCATGTTCCCTGAGTTTGACGCTCAGCACTGTGCTGTGTGAAGCCATCTGAGGGGTCACACGGACAGACCTGTTCTCTGGCCAGAGAGCTGTTTAGATCAGAAACGAGAACCAGCACAGCGACCCGGTGGCTTCACAGGTGTCATTGCAAGGGTCAGGCTGGAGTGCGTATTTCATGTTAGCAGTCAGGCTTAGAGGAGAGCATTTGTGAAGGGGGCGGTGCAGCCCTACATCCCCGGTCCTGGCCGGTCTGCGGCCCCTGGGCAGGCGTGGCCCCGGGAAGTGAGGGTCACTCGGGACCTGTCCGAGGCCGCGCTGGCAATCCAGAGCTTCCTCCCTTTCCGTCCTCTCTGCAATCGTGTGTGAGTGTTTGCAGCATGTGCAGTGGTTCCCGCCCCAAGGAGGGGTGAGTTTCAGAAGGCTGGACTTGGCCGTGAGCTTCGGGGGGAATTGGGATCCCAGAGAGGTGGCTCCCCTGCTAAACACGTGTAGGCGCGTGCCCACCTGGCTGCACCTTGTTCGCGGGCTGCTCCTGTTCCACTTGCAAGGAGCTCTGCCCGGTGGTGGGCTGAGTTTGGTTTCCGAGGTCCTCCAACCCTCTTCTGGGCCTGACCGATGTGTGACAACTCTGCCTGCAGCTACCACTGCCACATCTACCCCTACCCAAACACGGCCGAGGAGCGCCGGGAGATCCAGGAGGGGCTGCACACCCGGATCCAGGACCTGCACACTGTGAGTGACCGCACGCGGCCGCCTTGCGCGGGCTGCGGACCCCGCGCCGTGCGTCTCCTCTCCGCTCAGTGCGCCTGTGCTGGCGTCCAGGGAGGCTGAGGGCCGCTTCTCCTCTTCGTGCAGCTTTATGTTAGCAGCCCTTAGAGACCTAGCTGCCGCTAGACTTAAGGTTAGAGAGGCCCGCTTCGCTGTGCTGGGGTGCAGTTCGTCAGGGGAGACAAGCCCGGTTCAGGTGTGGGGTGCAGTTCATCAGGGAAGACAAGCCCGCTTCGCTGTGCTGGGGTGCAGTTCGTCAGGGAAGACAAGCCCGCTTCGCTGTGCTGGGGTGCAGTTCGTCAGGGAAGACAAGCCCGGTTCAGGTGTGGGGTGCAGTTCGTCAGGGAAGACGAGCCCGGTTCAGGTGTGGGGTGCAGTTCGTCAGGGAAGACAAGCCCGGTTCAGGTGTGGGGTGCAGTTCGTCAGGGAAGACGAGCCCGGTTCAGGTGTGGGGTGCAGTTCGTCAGGGAAGACAAGCCCGGTTCAGGTGTGGGGTGCAGTTCGCCAGGGAAGACAAGCCCGGTTCAGGTGTGGGGTGCAGTTCGTCAGGGAAGACAAGCCCGGTTCAGGTGTGGGGTGCAGTTCGCCAGGGAAGACAAGCCCGGTTCAGGTGTGGGGTGCAGTTCGTCAGGGAAGACAAGCCCCGTTCAAGGTGTGGGGTGCAGTTCGTCAGGGAAGACAAGCCCGGTTCAGGTGTGGGGTGCAGTTCGTCTTTGGGTGCAGTTCGTCAGGGAAGACAAGCCCGGTTCAGGTGGGGGGTGCAGTTCGTCAGGGAAGACAAGCCCGGTTCAGGTGTGGGGTGCAGTTCGTCAGGGAAGACAAGCCTGGTTCAGGTGTGGGGTGCAGTTCGCCAGGGAAGACAAGCCCGGTTCAGGTGTGGGGTGCAGTTCGTCAGGGAAGACAAGCCCCGTTCAGGTGTGGGGTGCAGTTCGTCAGGGAAGACAAGCCCGGTTCAGGTGTGGGGTGCAGTTCGTCAGGGAAGACAAGCCCGGTTCAGGTGGGGGGTGCAGTTCGTCAGGGAAGACAAGCCTGGTTCAGGTGTGCACTTGTCACATTTCTGCTTATGGCAAGGAGGGCTGGTGGAAGGAGCCAACTGGGACCCTTCGGCGAGAGGGCTGCTTGGCAGTCGCATGGGCGATGGTGGCCCACAGCGTTGGCGGGGAGCTGGGCCGAGGTTGGGAATGGGAAGAACCCGGGAGCTCCCTGGACCCAGCCAGGCCACTGGGCTGCCACAGTGACTCTGCCCTCGAACCGTTTCCTGCGGCCCTGAGGGCATGTTCTGGGGAAGCAGCTCCAAGGAGGAGCTGGCTGAGCTTAGGTTTTGCACCTGCCTCTCTGGGTGGCTCTGGGGTCCTGGGGAGGTATGAGCTGCTCCCTTAACTGTCTCCAGTGGGAGAAATCCCCTCGGAAATGTCCGGCGTCCGGTGGACGGCAACTGGGCACCGCCCGCTCTGTGACAGCCGGTGTCCTTCCCAGGTGCTTCACAAGACTGAGGACTATTTGAGGCAGGTGCTGTGTAAGGCTGCCGAGTCGGTCTACACCCGCGTCATCCAGGTGAAGAAAATGAAAGCCATTTACCACATGCTGAACATGTGCAGCTTCGACGTGACCAACAAGTGCCTCATCGCCGAGGTCTGGTGTCCCGAGGCCGACCTGCAGGGCCTGCGCCGTGCACTGGAGGACGGCTCGGTAAGGCGGCCGGGCCAGGGGACGGCTGCAGGGGCTCCGGGTCAGAGCCAGGAGCTCGGGAAGGCACGGCATGTCCTAGAGCGGCGGGGGCACCTCGGGACTCTTCCCTGAGCTGGCGTCTCGGAGCCCGCGGGTCCGGGCCTGTGTGCCCCTGCGCGTTCACTGGGCCCTCTGAGTGCGGCGTCCAGGCCCCTGCGCGGATGTGGCCGTCGCCTCGGTTCCAGTGTGTCTGTGAGATAAGCAGATGTGAATAGATACTCTCTTATTTTTACTTTTAAACTTTATTTTTTTAAACGACTTTTAAAATCCGTACTTATGTTATTGAGAGGAAGGAAGGTGGGGAGAGAGAAACATCGATTTGTTGTTCCGCTCATTTATGCATTCATTGGTTGACTCTTGTATGTGCCCTGACTGGGGATTGAACCCACAACCCTGGTGTGTTGGGACAGTTCTCCAACCAACTAGCTGCCCGGCCAGGGCCTCCTTTTTTTTAAAAATCAGACCCATTCGTTAATCCATTGTTTATGGCAGACATGGGACAGAACTTGGTTGGCAAACAGGATTTTTTTTAATCCTCACCCAAGGACTTTTTTTTTTTTTTTTGCATTTACTTCAGACAGAGCAAGAGGGAGAGAGAGAAACATTGATGTGAAAGGGACACATCGAGTGGCTGCCACCCACACGACCCCAACCAGGGCCGGGGACAAACCGCAACTGAGGTACGTGCCCTTAGCGGGAACCAAACCTGGGTCTCTCTGGTCCGCAGGCCGACGCTGTAACCGCTGAGCCAAACTGGCCAGGGCTCCTTTTTATTTTAATCCGCACCGGAGGATATTTTTCTATTTATCTTTGGTTAGAGTGGGAGGGAGAGAGAGAGAAACATTGACGTGAGAGAGACATCTACCAGTTGCCTCCCACACGACCCTGACCAGGGCAGGGGACGAACCGCAAACGAGGTACGTGCCCTTGACCGGAATCGAACCCGCAACTCTTTGGTCCATGGGCTGACCCTCTAACTGCTGAGCCAAACTGGCCAGGGCTTTCCTTTTCTTCACAAAGGTTGCATGCTATTCATGTTCTTTCCACCAAATAAAACTTCCCTGTTTTAAAAAATAACTATTTAGTGTCTTGCTGTGGGTCTGTCGTGGTACATGCATCTAGTTCCCTGCCATTTCGTGGTTTCCAGTGTTATCAAACCCTTGTGGTGGCCAATGTGACCTCTGGCGGCTCCTGCGTGCACAGATCCACCTGTAGGATAAGTTCCCAGATGCAGGATTGCTGGGTGATTCCGGCAGGTGTGGCCGGCCGTTGCGTTTCTCCTACTATGAGTGACTTAGTGGAGCATCCTTTTGTTTATGAGCCTTTGAGGTTTTTGTGTGTTTGTGCTTTGTCCATTTTCTACTGGGTGGTTGGTCTTTTCCTGACTCACTTCTCTCGGCCCTTTGTCACGAGAGAAACACTATTTCCCCAATCTGTTGCTTGTCTTTGGTGCTCCTGCTGGTTTGCTTTGGTCCCGCAGATGGTTTTGTTATGTCTGGTTGAACTGTCTGCTGCTCCAGCTGCTCCTGACTTTGGAACCAGCGGCTTCCCCTCAGGCTGCGGTCCGTCCTCCACGTTCTTATGGCAAAAGGCGGGGCTGCTCATTCCAGCCGAAGCTTACGGAGTCAGGTTTCCACGTGGGTTTTCTGTTCCTCATCTGCCTCGTCACCTGGTTCTGCGGTCGCACAGGTGTAAGCTGCGTGTCTGCGGTGACAGTCAGATGCCTGTGCTGAGCAGGCGGTGACACACGGCAGTTAGTTGTCTCGAGGTGAGGCGTCTGAGGTCTAGGTGATTGCTGTTTATTAGGTGATCCCAGTTTTCAGGGACGTGACTAGTACTCATGTGTGTGCGTGTGCATGTGCATGCGTGTGTGTGCTGCTTTTGACCTTTAAGGTCTCTGCTGTGGCCCCTCCAGACCTCACCTCAGCTGGACCCCTTGCCCTTACCACTTTTGGCCTGGACAGAACCCTCCAGTTCCCGCGTTTCTTGGGTCGGCCCAGGGAGTGCTTCCGGGCCGTGAGGGGTCTTTCCCACAGGCCTTGAAGACGCACCTTGCTTTCTCCGCTCCCTCGGGTCTGGAGGCTGCGGCCAGCAGGTCTGGTAGTGCTCAGTGGCTTGTCCCACACGTTTGTGTTCGTGATCTGTGGGGACACAGTTCTGTTATGAATGTTGTTTGTAGGTTTCAGTTTTACTGTCTAGTTGCACTGTCTGCTCGAAAGGGGATCCAGGGAGAGTCAGAACTCTGCCGTCGCTGCCTGTTTTCTCAGAATCCCTTTCCCATGTGTGTTTTAAGGAATATAATTTGGTCCGGCTGTTGTGGTTGAGCATCGACCCTGCACCAAGAGGTCACCGGTTCTATTCCGTGTCAGGACACATGCCCAGGTTCTGGGCCCGATCCCCAGTGGGGGCATGCAGGAGGCAGCCAATTGATGTTCTGTATCGTGATGTTTCTATCTCTCTCCCTCTCCCTTCCTCGCTCTTTAAAATCAACAAAGAACAAAACAAAAAAATAAGAAAGAAATATAATTTGGCCTTGGCCGGTTTGGCTCAGTGGTAGAGCGTTGTCCTGCAGACCAGTGAGTTGAGGGTTCAATTCCAGCCAAGGGCATGTACCTCGGTTGTGGTTCGTTCTTGGCTCTGGTCAGGGTCGTGCGGGTGGCAGCCGGTCAATGTGTCCCTCTCACGTCCATGTTTCTCTCTCTCCCTCCTACTCTATCTGAAGATAAATAGAAAAAAAATACTCTTGGGTGAGCATTAAAAAAAGAAATATAATCTACTCTTGTAATAACCTGTTTTACTTTATTTGAAAAGGGTTTTTCCATTGTAAATCAATATATTGTATTTCATAAGAATTGTAAACAGTGGAGGAAGACGTTATAGATATGATTTTGTCATACTAATGTTGAATTTTGGTTTATTAGGTAATAATGTAGGCTGCCTCTGAAGTCCTCTTGAGCATTTTTATTTATTTATTTATTTTATTTTTTATTCTCACTCGAGGGACATTTCTGCATTTATCTTCAGATGGAGCGGGGGGGCGGGGAGAGAAACATGGACGTGAGAGACACGTTGAGTGGCTGCCACCCACACGACCCCAACTGGGGTGGGTACAAACTGCAACTGAGGTATGTACCCTTAGTGGGAACCGAACCCAGGACTCACTGGTCCGTGGGCCGACGCTCTAACCACTGAGAAAAACCGGCCAGGGCTCTTGAGCACTTTTAAAAGATAAAATACTAAATTTCAGCTTCCTGTGGCTGAGCCTGGGCCTTCTTACATGCAGCTTCGCTGTGTGCAGCCCCACCCGCTCAGCCGTGCTCCAGCAGGACTCCCCCCACTCCTTCCCCACCCCTCCCCCATCCCTCCATCCCTCCATCCCTCCATCCCTCCATCCCTCCATCCCTCCATCCCTCCATCCCTCCATGCCTGCGCCTCTCCTGAACCTGGGCCTGGCGTTCGCACTTCCCCACGGAGCCACCCCGAGAGCCTTGCCCAGCAGGGAACTGTGCTTGTTGAAAGGCTCTTGAATAATTTTTTTTTTCTTTTTTCTTTTTTATGTGAAAGAGAGAGAGCAACGCTACAATCCCCTCATTTATGAACACTATCCCGACAAAAGAAACGCCCCCAACCCTGATCCGCACCAACAAGTTCACCGAGGGCTTCCAGAACATCGTGGATGCCTACGGAGTGGGCAGCTACCGAGAAGTGAACCCAGGTGGGGCGCCCGCACGCTGTCTGCGCTGTGGGGGGGTGGGGGGGCTCCCGGCTCGTGGTCCTGGGTAGCCTGGAGCGCCGGCTGGGGCTGCCGTGGTCTGGAGCCCGCGTGCACTCAGCCCCGCCTGGGCCGGGAGTCAGCGCCCTCACTTCCCCGCAGCTCTCTTCACCATCGTCACCTTCCCCTTCCTCTTCGCCGTGATGTTCGGGGACTGTGGACACGGCTTCGTGATGTTCCTGTTCGCCCTCCTCTTGGTGTTGAACGAAGACCATCCCAGACTGAGTCAGTCGCAAGAGGTGAACGCGCGGACCCCTGTCTGTCTGGCTGGCGTCAGTCCTGATGCCTTCTGGCGGACCCGGAAGGAGACGTTTCTTCAGTGCTGGCTAGTGTTTGGCCCTGACCCCAACCCACCTGACCGAGGTGTAGGCGGTGTGCGTGCCTCTGTATGACAGGCCTGTCTCGGTGCCTCGGTTTCGAGGGCCCCCGAGGGCAGCGGTCGAGAATGTGCCCAGACCAGCCTTGATCAAGGGACACATTTCCCAGGATCCCGCTTGCTCACCAGACGGTGCCTTTTGCAGATTGTGCGCATGTTCTTCAACGGCCGCTACATCCTCCTGCTGATGGGGCTGTTCTCCGTGTACACGGGCCTCGTCTACAACGACTGCTTCTCCAAGTCCGTCAACCTCTTTGGCTCTGGGTGGAACGTGTCCGCCATGTACAGCTTCAGCCATGCCCCGGCAGAGCACAGCAGAATGGCGCTTTGGAAGTACGTGTCCTGCTGCCTGGTGGTGGTCGAGGGGGGAAGTGTTTTCTGAGACGCCGGCCTCTCCCTCTCGTGCTCTCTTACAGCGACAGCGTGGTCAAGCACAGCCGGGTCTTGCAGTTGGATCCGAGCGTCCCGGGAGTGTTCCAAGGCCCTTACCCTCTGGGCATCGATCCTGTGAGTGCCCCTTTCTGCCGTTCCCTCGGGCACCTGTGGGGCCGCCCGGTTTTCATGGGCACAGTGGTTCTCGGACTGTTCAGCAAGGTTCATGGGCTCTGCTGTGGTTTAGTCCTCACCGGAGGGTATTTTCTATTGGTTTTCAGACAGAGAGGGGAGAGAGACAGCGACTGGCTGCCTCCTGGAGGCCCCCAACCAGGGCGGGGACCAAACTGCAACCATGGTATGTGCCCCTGACCAGAATCAAACTTGCGAACCTTTGGTCCACGGCCAACACTCTAACTGCTGAGCCAAACTGGCCAGGGCTCTTTGTTGTTTTATTAAAAATTTTATTTTTCAATCACTGTTTACACTCAGTGTCATTTTGTATTAGTATAGTGGTTAGATAGTCACATACTTTAGAAAATGGTGCCCCTGCCCTGGCCGGTTTGGCTCAGTGGTTAGAGTGTCAGCCTGCGGTCCAGAGAGACCCGGGTTCGGTTCCCGCTAAGGGCACGTACCTCGGTTGCGGTTTGTCCCCGGCCCTGGTTGGTTGTGTGGTTGGCAGCCACTCGATGTGTCCCTTCACGTCGATGTTTCTCTCTCTCTCCTTCCCACTCTGTCTGAACAAAGGATGGAAAAATGTCCTCAGGTGAGGATTAAAAAGAAAAGAAAGAAAATGGCGCCCCGATATTTCCAGCACCCACCTGGTACTGAATGTGCTTTAGTTATAAAAATTGGCATTGTATCCATATGGTCCAAAGAAGATCCGAGCGTGTACTTTCTGTATGTAAAAGGTCTAGGTCTGCAATGTCCTCCCCCTCTCCCCGTCCCTGTGCACTCCATCCGCCCCCTCCCCCCCGAGCCTCAGTTACTTACGTCTCCTCCTGTCGTGTCCTCGTGAACATACAAATAAACAAAAATATGTGTTCTCATTCTCCTCGTTTTACCCAAAAGATAGTCCTATACTCAACTTAAAAATTTTAACTTCATCTTCAGAGGTCGAGTTTCATCTTGTACATCTGTAGGGTTTTACCTTCGGTAGTTTTCTGTTCAGCTGCATTGCTTTCTTTCCTGTCCCCACCGCTCTGCTTTGCTCCGTGTGCACCCGTGTGACCACTGTGAACAGGCTGTGCCCAGGTGTGTGTGTCAGTCAAGTTGGCTGGCCTCCCTCTTACCCACCGCCCAGCTCTAAATACCTCGGGCCTCGCGCTAACCTCCCGTTCTCACAAAGAACGAGTTTTCCTATCCTTTTTCTTTTTTTATCCTCACCCGAGGATATTTTTCCATTTTTTGAACAGATAGAGTGGGAGGGAGAGAGAGGGAGAGAGAGAGAGTGAGAGAAACATCGACGTGAAGGGACACATCGAGTGGCTGCCACCCGCACGACCAACCAGGGCCGGGGACAAACTGCAACCGAAGTACGTGCCCTTAGCGGGAACCGGACCCGGGTCTCTCCGGACCGCAGGCCGACGCTCTAACCGCTGAGCCAAACCGGCCAGGGCCCTATCCTTTTTCTTTGCAGTTAAACTTTGTTATCAGATGTGTACGTGAGGGGGAGACACACATTTGTATGTCCCTGCCCGGCGTCAGACCCGGGACCCTCCTGAGCTCCGTGGCGCCCCTCGCTTCAGGAGCACTTCCTAGGCACCCGGCCCTGAGCAGCACGCTGCTCTCGCGTGCTCTGAGCTCTGAGGGGGGTGCTCTGGAGCACTCGGCCCTGAGCAGCACACTGCTCTCGCGTGCTCTGAGCTCTGTGAGGGGGTGCTCTGGAGCACTCGGCCCTGAGCAGCACACTGCTCTCGCGTGCTCTGAGCTCTGGGAGGGGGTGCTCTGGAGCACTCGGCCCTGAGCAGCACCCTGCTCTCGCGTGCTCTGAGCTCTGGGAGGGGGTGCTCTGGAGCACTCGGCCCTGAGCAGCACACTGCTCTCGCGTGCTCTGAGCTCTGTGAGGGGGGTGCTCTGGAGCACTCGGCCCTGAGCAGCACACTGCTCTCGCGTGCTCTGAGCTCTGGGAGGGGGTGCTCTGGAGCACTCGGCCCTGAGCAGCACACTGCTCTCGCGTGCTCTGAGCTCTGTGAGGGGGGTGCTCTGGAGCACTCGGCCCTGAGCAGCACACTGCTCTCGCGTGCTCTGAGCTCTGTGAGGGGGTGCTCTGGAGCACTCGGCCCTGAGCAGCACACTGCTCTCGCGTGCTCTGAGCTCTGGGAGGGGGTGCTCTGGAGCACTCGGCCCTGAGCAGCACACTGCTCTCGCGTGCTCTGAGCTCTGTGAGGGGGTGCTCTGGAGCACTCGGCCCTGAGCAGCACCCTGCTCTCGCGTGCTCTGAGCTCTGAGGGGGGTGCTCTGGAGCACTCGGCCCTGAGCAGCACACTGCTCTCGCGTGCTCTGAGCTCTGAGGGGGGTGCTCTGGAGCACTCGGCCCTGAGCAGCACACTGCTCTCGCAGGCTCTGAGCTCTGAGGGGGGTGCTCTGGAGCACTCGGCCCTGAGCAGCACACTGCTCTCGCGTGCTCTGAGCTCTGAGGGGGGTGCTCTGGAGCACTCGGCCCTGAGCAGCACACTGCTCTCGCAGGCTCTGAGCTCTGAGGGGGTGCTCTGGAGCACTCGGCCCTGAGCAGCACACTGCTCTCGCGTGCTCTGAGCTCTGGGAGGGGGTGCTCTGGAGCACTCGGCCCTGAGCAGCACACTGCTCTCGCAGGCTCTGAGCTCTGTGAGGGGGTGCTCTGGAGCACTCGGCCCTGAGCAGCACACTGCTCTCGCGTGCTCTGAGCTCTGGGAGGGGGTGCTCTGGAGCACTCGGCCCTGAGCAGCACACTGCTCTCACGTGCTCTGAGCTCTGTGAGGGGGTGCTCTGGAGCACTCGGCCCTGAGCAGCACCCTGCTCTCGCGTGCTCTGAGCTCTGGGAGGGGGGTGCTCTGGAGCACTCGGCCCTGAGCAGCACCCTGCTCTCGCGTGCTCTGAGCTCTGGGAGGGGGGTGCTCTGGAGCACTCGGCCCTGAGCAGCACACTGCTCTCGCAGGCTCTGAGCTCTGAGGGGGGTGCTCTGGAGCACTCGGCCCTGAGCAGCACACTGCTCTCGCAGGCTCTGAGCTCTGAGGGGGGTGCTCTGGAGCACTCGGCCCTGAGCAGCACACTGCTCTCGCGTGCTCTGAGCTCTGAGGGGGGTGCTCTGGAGCACTCGGCCCTGAGCAGCACACTGCTCTCGCAGGCTCTGAGCTCTGGGAGGGGGTGCTCTGGAGCACTCGGCCCTGAGCAGCACACTGCTCTCGCAGGCTCTGAGCTCTGTGAGGGGGGTGCTCTGGAGCACTCGGCCCTGGTTTAGGAAAGCAGCGGTGCTCAGACTGAAGGCATCAAGAAGAAAGTCTGAATGTTCGTTTGTGTTAAATTTTCAGCTGTCTTCTGATCGCAGACAGGCCGTTGCTCCACTGCCAGCTGTCTGTCCTGGGCGGTCGACGGCTGCTCAGGTTTCTGTTTTTCTTTTGTTTTGTCTTTAGATTTGGAACTTGGCCACGAATCGCCTCACTTTCCTCAACTCTTTCAAGATGAAAATGTCTGTGATTTTAGGAATCATTCACATGACTTTCGGAGTCGTTCTGGGAATATTTAACCACTTGTAAGTACAGATTTTTCTAAGCCAAGTGTGACGTTTCTTGCTTTGCCTCTGGAGGGTAGACTGCAGGTAAGAGGCAGCCGACGCGGTGGCTGCTGCGTTCGCCGTTCTGCTTCGTGGTGTCGGTTTTGACGGGTCCACCAGTTCATTCAGCAGATATTTCCTGAGCACGTATACATGCAGGCAGTCTTTTTGGCTCAGGATTGAGCAATGAGGAGGACAGGATCAAGGTCACGATATATTCAAGCAAGGGAGACATTCAGATTCATTTCTAGAATTGATTTTTCTCATTCTTTTTTTTTATATATTAGAAAAGTTTTGTTGTTGTTGTTAATTATTATTTTAAAATCCTCACCTGAAGATATGTTTATTGATTTTTAAAAAGGGAAGGGCAGCCCTGGCCGGTTTGGCTCAGTGGTTGGAGTGTTGGCCTGTGGTCCAGAGAGACCCGGGTTTGGTTCCTGCTAAGGGCGTGTACCTCGGGTGCAGTTTGTACCTGGCCCGGTTGGGGTTGTGTGGGTGGTGACCACTCGATGTGTCTCTCTCACGTCGATGTTTCTCTCTCTGTCTCCCTCTCCCGTTCTATCTGAAGACAAATGCAGAAAAGTGTCCTCTGGTGAGGATACAAAAAAGGGAGAGAGCGACAGACAGACAGACAGACATCAGTGTTCCAGAGAAACATCAAACAAACATCAATTGGTTGTCTCCTGTACCCTCCCTGACGGGGATTGAACCCAATTCTTGGGTACATGCCCTAAACAGGAATCGAACCAAAAACCTTTTGGTGTACAGGGCTACGCTCCGACCAATGCTAGCCTCACCTTTCTTCTCCTGGCTGTCCCTCGAATCACTAGCACGAGTTGCCAGGTGAATGAGGGCTGAATGAGGTGGGCTCGGTCCAGTCTTGGTGGTGGGTTGATCACTTACTTGTTTTTTCTAGGCATTTCAGGAAGAAGTTCAATATTTACTTGGTTTCCATCCCAGAACTTCTGTTCATGCTCTGCATGTTTGGGTACCTTATATTCATGATCATCTACAAGTGGCTGGTTTACTCGGCAGAAACCTCCCAAGTGGCCCCTAGCATTCTGATCGAGTTTATCAACATGTTTTTGTTCCTGACTACGGAAACCATTGGTCTTTACCCGGGCCAGGTATGTCGGCCTTTCTCAACCTTCCTGAGCACACCTTCGGTCTGGGTGGGGGAGCGGCTGCAGGTGCCCCCGGGCCTGCCAGCCAGCAGGTCTGCTGCTCACTGTGCCGTCCCAGAAGGATGCCAGCCTGCTCCGGGCACCGTGCTGGGCACACAGGGCAGGCCGTAAATCCAGACTCGCTGCTGTCAGTAGCTGTCAGAACTGGCGGGAAGAGGATGTACCCCAGAGGGCTCCTGAGGGCCGCCCCGCCCCCACGGTTTCCAGTTTCTTTAGGTCACTGTCTGACTGAGGCAGGTCAGAGGATCGGCACCTGGACCACCGCCCAGTGGCCCTCTTCAAGTGGCTCTTCTGTGATTGTCGTCTGTGATGCCACCATCTGCGGCATGGCTTAGGGCCGGGAGCAGGGCTCTGAGGGGTGCCTGCCTGCCCCCCCGCCCCGCCGCTTCCTCCAAGTGGAACTCGAGCAGGACGATGGTGCCGTTCTCGTTAGTGCTCATCATCAGTCTGGGATTCGGTCCGAGTCAGGAGAGGCCCCCTGGCGCGGCAGCTTGGCGCGCGTCTGCTTTTGCTCCTTGTTTATAATAAAGGGGTGCTCGACTCGATCCCCCTGATGGCACCTTTGCGTGTGTTTGCGTCGTCCTCAGCTTCCTCCCCGCCCGCAGGAGCACGTCCAGAGGCTGCTGCTGGCCGTCACCGCGTTGTCGGTGCCCGTGCTCTTCCTGGGAAAGCCGCTCTTCCTGTTATGGCTGCACAACGGGCGCAGCTGCTTTGGGGTCAGCAGGGTAAGTGTGGCTCTGGACGCTTGTGTTGAACAGCGCACGAGGTCTCTCTGCAGCTATAAAACGTGTGTGTGGTCAAGAAAACGCCTTCCAGAGGGTCCCAGTCTCCTGTTTGTAAGCGGAAGCTTCCCCGTGTGGGGCGGAGTGCCCAGGCCCGGAGCTGCGTCTGCGCCCAGCCAGGCCTTGCGCGGTGACAGGCTGCGGCCTGGCCTCTGTGTTTCAGTGCTGAGTCTTGCTTCCCGGCTTTTGTTCTTTTTTTCTTTTTATCCTCACCTGAGGACATTTTCCCATTTTTTGTTCAGATAGAGTGGGAGGGAGAGAGAGGAAGAGAGAGAGGGAGAGAGAAACATTGACAAGTAGCTGCCACCCACACGCCCAACCAGGGCTGGAGACAAACTGCAACCAAGGTACACGCCCTTAGTGGGAACCGAACCCCAGTCTCTCTGGACCGCAGGCTGACGCTCTAACCGCTGAGCCATACTGGCCAGGGCCCAGCTTTTTTTCTTAAAAGTGGTTTTATTTATTTATTTTTTTGGTTAAGCCTCATCTGAGGGTATTTTTCCATTGACTGTTGTTGTTTTTAGAGAGAGAGTGGAAGGGAGGGAGGGAGGGGGAGAGAGAGAAGCATCAGTGTGAGAGACACATTGATTAGTTGTCTCCCAAACAACCTCAACCAGGGTACGTGCCCTTGACTGGAATCGAACCTGAGACCCTTCAGCCCTTTAGTCCTCAGGCCAACGCTGTAACTGCTGAGCCAAACCGGCCAGGGCTGGTTCCCATTTTACATCCCCACCCACTACACCCAGGTTTCAGTCTCTGTACCCTAACCGGCACGTGTTCTGTTCTGGTTTTTTAAAATAATAGTTATACTAATGGGTATGAGGTACTCCTTTTGTTTTAAGGGATGTTTTATTCCTGAGGAGCCCGAGAGTCGCTAGAGAAACGAAGGGGCTCTGCCTGGTTTTGTCACCGGCTTTGCTTCTAAAGGCCCTGACTGCGTCTCTGTCATTAGAGCGGCTACACGCTTGTGCGGAAAGATAGCGAGGAGGAGGTGTCTCTGATGGGAAGCCAGGACATAGAAGAGGGAAACGACCAGATGGAGGACGGACGCAGAGAAGTAACGTGTGAAGAGGTAACAAACATTCTCAGTTGCTCGTGATGAAAATAGGTGCACACCCGAGCTTTCATGGAGATGAGCGTCGTGATAAGAACGATACTAATACACTTTAAAAAACAAAACCAAAGGCTTGGGGTGGTATGCGATGGCGGGGCGCGGGTGTCCTGCGATGGCGGGGCGCGGGTGTCCTGGCCTGCACGAGAGGTACCTGCACACGAAAGCCGGGCGGGCACCTCCGCAGGCTCCGACGGAACTGAGCGCGGCCTGATGGCTCAGGGGAGATGGGGTCGAGCAGACAGGTGCTTCTCCCTGCGGCTTGTTCCAGGCCTTCTTGTAGGCCGCCTCCGGCACTAACGGGGACACGACAGAGGCACAGAGAACGCAGTGCAGCCCCAGGGCACACCTCCTGGGGCTCTGTGATGTGTGCTTCTTAACACTGTCACCAGGTTGATACCCGTCTCAGCTGTCACGCCGTCGGGGCCATTGCTAACAAAAATATTTATGGCTACACTTTGGGACACGGCCTTGGAGTGCGTTCCCGGAGCGCGAGGCCCACGACAGCAGGAAACAGACATGGACCCAAGCCCGCAGGGGCGGAGTCGTTCCTGTTCGCGTCGGCCTGTGTCCAGGTGGTGGCGCCAGCTAGCGCACACGGGACCACGTCACCACGCTGCGCGCCCGAGAGTCCCGGTGTCACCAGCGCTGGCCAGAGCGTTCGTTGAATAAATCAAACAAGCCCAATAGTCGGCCCGCAGAGCTCCCCCGCTGCTGCTTTGGTCTTGGAATCGGCACCGTGATGTCAGGGCTTGGGTTTGCCGTTCCCTTGTTCCGTCCTGTGGCAGGCCTGACGGTGTTACCTCGTGAGCTGTCACATTAAGTGACCTCAGGTGCCGGAGCATTGCTTTCGGAAGATTCTCATCAGAGTCAGGATTCCCTGCAGTTGTAGGCAAGACCGGTCACCCGCTCCCAGGTCCGCTGGCCCAGGTCCGGGCGGGAGAGAGCGGGCCTCAGGGCCATCGCTCTCCGGGTCTCCCACCCCTGCGAGCACCATGTCCTGAGCCAGGTGCCCCATGATGTGGTCGCGCTGGCCCGGGGCTTCTGTTCCTGTCGTTCAGTCAGGGAGGAAGGATTCTCGCTGCTCGTGGTTGTCGGGAAAAGCTCCACAGAGTGTGTGATCGGCCCGGCGGGGTCGTGTCAGCAGCAGAAGGGGACGTGTCATTCTGGAGACTGGAATCCCCGATGAGATGTCGGCAGGGTGGCTGCCCCCAGCCTGTCCTTGGCTCGCCGCCGCCCTCTTGCTGATTGTAACTCGATGCCTGCGGGTGGTGCGCGTCTCTAACCATGTCATGTGACCTCTCCCTCAGTTTAACTTCGGAGAAATACTTATGACCCAAGCGATTCACTCCATCGAGTACTGTCTGGGCTGCATCTCCAACACCGCGTCCTACCTGAGGCTCTGGGCCCTCAGTCTGGCTCACGCACGTAAGTAGCGAGCTTGTGGGGACGTTCAGGTCTGTGCGGGACGCACAGCGCCATCTCCAGGTCGGGTGAAGTTGTTGGCCTAGGCTGCTGTGGGACAGCCGGAGACTCCTGGGCTTTGCGCACTGGGCGGCTCGGGGCCTCTGACACACCCTGTCGCGCTCTGTCCTTGGCGTTACTGTCGCTCCAGGCAGGACCATGCTGCTCTGTGGGGCGAGTCCTGAAACCACGCTGCCAATGCATCAGTGGCAGGCGGTCCTCCCTCTGCCCAGTGCTGCTGACCTGCGAGCTTAGCTGTCACAGCTCTTACACCCCAGATGGCCGCGTGAACAACACGCGTGTGCTTCGTGATCAGGGACCAGTCACCTGCTCCTGTCAGTCTGTGGAGACCGATTGGTCCCTGTGCCTCTGCCTGGTTCACGCACAGTGAGGCCTGTGGTGGGTCATCTCCCTGCGCATCTGTGAGAAACCAGGTGGCGTAGATGGGGTGATCGGGTGGGGCATCGGCAGAGGTGCGAGTGCAGCAGAGGCGGACAGCGGGGCCCTGGGGCAGTGTGCCCTGGGCTGCTGCTCCGGACGGGCCGCCCGAGGGCCTGGGGAAGCTCGCCCGTCTGTCTGTCGAGAGCAGTGAGGGGAGAGGCCGCGGCCCAGAGCTGGTGCCCGGGAACCCGGGGAGTCAGCACGCTGAGGGTGCACAGGAGGCCACGCTGGAAGCCGGTCCAAACGGAGAGATGTGCGAGAACTTGCTGAGTGTTGAAGAGGCTGGCTCGGACCCAGGCGCCGGGGACACGAGAGGCAGGGTTCCCGCCCCCCCGCTACACTGTTCTACCAGGAAACAGGACTCAGTGTTTCTAGTGCTTTCAAAGTAGATTTTCTTTTTTCATTTTTCATTAATTTATAATGGACAATAAAAGTGTTTTTAATGTTTTGGCAAAAATGTTTGGAGGTCCCAGACCGATCGTGATTTTCCCCGTCGATCGTGGGAACGGGACGGCTCCTTCGCACGGTCCTTCTTTAGCTCCCGCTCTACCACGCGAAGTTGCCTGTGCTTGAGAAAACTGCAGATGACAGGTTTTAAATGTATTTCTCATTGCGCTGACAGTTCTGTAAGCACAGCCAAAAGTTTGGCGTTTCATGGCTGGAAGGGATCCCGGTCTGTCATCTTCATTCCGGAGAGGAGACCGAAGCCCAGTGAGGGTTGGTGCTGACGCAGGGAGCCCAGTCGGTCAGTTAGGCACAGCCGGACTGGGTACCCAGCTTCCTGCCTCCTGGCCCAGATCTCTGTTGGGACAGGGCCAACCCAGCCCCCGTCTGACCCGAGTCTCTCGGTGGGAGGCAGGCCTCTGCTTCTCCTGGCCTGCTGTGTCTTCCCCAGTGTTCGAGACGGCCGGGGCGCTGGCTTACGTTTGCGTGTGCGATAGCAGCGGTGGGTGCGTTACTCTGGATAGCAGCTTGACCATAGAAGGAAACCCAGGGCAGCTGGCTGACGGAAGTGACTCACAAGGAAACAAACGCTGCCGAATGCTTCTCCCGCAGAGCTGTCTGACGTCCTGTGGGCCATGCTGATGCGCGTGGGCCTCCGGGTGGACAAGACCTACGGGGTCCTGCTGCTGCTCCCGGTCATCGCGCTCTTTGCAGTTCTGACCATTTTCATCCTTCTGATCATGGAAGGGCTTTCTGCATTTCTTCACGCCATACGCCTCCATTGGTGAGCTTGAGGTTTGCTTAAAAGACTAGCCCCTCCCCCAAATACGTGTACATAAAACCCCCACAAAGATCTAGCGCTTAATTGAGGCTGGATCTTCCCTTCCTAAACGTTTTACAGTGTATGTCAGACTCCCTGTCCGTGCATCCAGTTACCACGGTGGGGACAGGTCCTTGGTGCTGGTGCGTGCGCAGTGTGGGCGTGACGTGTGGGCGCTGCTGTTGCACGCTGAGAAAGCCCCTGGGGCGCGTGCGTGCACAGCTTCTCTAAGCGCAGATGTTTCTGCCAAGAGCAACTTCAGCACAGAAACTTTTTTTTTAAAACTTTTATAAAAGTTATTTTAAATAAATGTTGGAAATGTTGTTTGCAGCCTTTCAGTAACGCATGGAATTTCTTTCTTTTAGGGTAGAATTTCAGAACAAATTCTATGTTGGTGCAGGCACCAAATTTGTCCCTTTCTCATTCAAACGCCTTTCGTGGAAGTTCAGTGACGACGTGGCATGATCGCATCGCTGTGCCCAGCCAGCATTCAGATTGGTGGAGAAGCATCATGTTGTAGAAATTCACTATGTCAGATTTGCGATAGGAAAAATTCTGTCTTCATTGATTGCCTTATAATATAGCCAAATAATTCTGTGAGATATACCTCTTCCTCATGTTAAATATTTTGTAAAGTTTATCAATTTTAGATACATAGCTTTCTTTCAGCTTTTATGATGAGCAAATATAAGTTAATGCCAAAAGTTATGTCAAAGTTATTTTTTAAAATTTAGGCTTGGGGGAGAGAAGCCCATTTTGAATGGCTAATTAAAAATGGTCCTAGATTCTTAATTCCTGTTCACCTTATTAAAAAACAAACAAACCAACAAAAAAAACAAAGAGTTACTCTGTCACCTGAAGTCAGATATTTTCCAATGGCTGAAATAAGTATAGTTTTTTAAAAAATTTAATGACGGATAATCAAGACACATTTATTCTGCTTGACTAAAAGTATGGGAACATTTTTTATTGTATGCTCTCTAGATGGTTTCTACAGTTTTGTCTCATTTTTAATAATTGGGGAAAGTGGGATAAATAACCTACAACCGATGGCACCCCACGTGTATATTTTTAGAGACCTCTCACCCCGTTCTCCTTACGTAACTCCAGCTGTGATCACTGTACGTGTGGGAAGAAAGTGCCTACCGAGCCTTGCGTGAGCAGAGGTGCCACAGACGCAGTCTGAACGGAAGTGACCAGCCTGGCTGATGCTCCTGAGCCAGAGGGCGTTCCTACTGGGTGGAGGAAAGGTCAAAATGAGTCCTTTTTATACTTTTATAACACAACATAAATGAAGATATTTTACCACGAAGACATCGAACCTACTCTTGAGAACAGTACACTGATAATTTTTTACTTTAAGGTTAATTCTAAATAACGGTCTGATTAAGGCATTTAGGGTTTATTTAAACGTTAAACCCGATTTAGATCAGGTGAAAACTAATTCTCAGCCATCAGTTTATAGTCTCTAGTGTAAGTCCATCTGCTCACTCAACATTTGGTTTGAATGAGTGTCAGTCCTATTGAGCGTTTTGATCTGTTCTGTCGTCTTGTAAATTATGTTCATTTTTCATACTTACTGTAATGGACTGTAGATAACAACATCCAGAAAGAATCCTGCAGTATTGTCACTTGCTCACGTTTTCCGTAACACACCACGGCTTGTTTGTCGCCATTCTCCTTTTCCCTGGCTCGTGGTCGAGTGTTTGGGATTTGCTCTATAAGCTATGATTCTGGTAGCACTGAATTGAAGCGTATCTTTTCAGGTAATTTCAAAGCCTGTTAGCCAAGGGGCCGGAACTGAACATCACAATGTAACTGTGACTCTTAACAACAAACCGTTTTAATTGTAGCAAAGAGTCCGTGCTGCTCCTCCATGAGATGTTAGCTGCAGCCAGTGTGGGATCACTGGGTTTTGTCCCTCATATTCAAGTAGCAGACATAAAGCTATGCTGATGAAACTCTTGAAAATGATTCTGCTTTCAGAGTTAAATTTCTCCAGAAAGGTGTGATGTTGGATGCTTTTGGGGGTGAATATGAAATTCGAATAATGCCAACCAGTTTTCAAACTTGTCCCTCATAGGTTGTCCATTTTTCATTACTTTACTCCAAGGGTCTTGTAATAGAATAGTAGCTGATACATCCCCGGGAAACTCACGATCTCTGGGCACTGTTAACTGATTAGTAAACAAGGGATAGACAGAGAAATTAGTAAACAATTTCTGTTGGAATTGTCTACTGCCCCCACTGCTAATTGTCATGGGGCCACTTTTTACTCCTAATTAACACCTCTCATCAGGGTATAGAACTGAGAAGTCACTTGTCAACTGTTACCTATGTAGAATGTAATTATATAATAAATTAATAGTCTTAACAGAATTCTCTACAAATACAGTTTGATGGTGTCTTTTAGGCACTGATGGAAATTTTATTTCTTTGTAAAGCTATTGGTTCCATTGTCAAGCTACCAGAACAGTTGCTTTGTTTTGTTTTTAAGGTAATTGGTATGACTGTTATGTATATAATTTATAAGACAAGACTTTATTCTCTTGGTAGCAGATATCAAGAGGAAAAGTGGTCAGTTGTCAGGGTGATGCTAAATGTGCTTATTTTCCTAAAGATTCATGTCATGATGGCCCCATGTTCCACTTGCATTCTGTATGTCAACGGAGTCCTCAAACACAAGCCCGAGGATGTCTCCAGTAAAACAGAATCAGTTTCATCCTGAAGGGTGAGGAGCATCCTTGTGGTGGCATGATCATGGCCTGTGCAGAGGTGTTCTGAGGGGGTCGTGGTGCCCTGCGGCTTTGCATTCATCATGGTTATGACTTTGAAAAGACTCACCTTTCACTGAATGTCCCCCTGTCCTCACTTCTGGAATGGGTGTTTCATATCAGCATTCTGGTCTCAGTTTTCAATCTGCAACAGTTCAGTAAGGCATAGAAGATCTATAGTATCCGTAGCTCTTGGGACATTTTAGGACCTTGTTCATGTTTGAAAATGAAAACAAATAACTTCAACAACTGTTCTTCAGTCTGCATTTAAAAACAATAAACTTCTTAATTAAAAATTGGAAGCCAGGTTTGCTTGCATGCCATCTGGTCTCTCCAGCAATGTTATTGAGAAACGTTAATTCTAGATCCAGAAAACAAGGCAGTTCTGAGTGATAGCTTCCCAGCATCCAGGCCACTGATGCTGAACTTTGGTTTAGAATGTTAAGAAATACTTAGAACTTTCCACTCTTACCTCTGCATGGGAAAAGCCCACAAGAAGGCTCGGCTCTTAGACCAGCCTAGACATCTCGGGGCTCAGCTCTGAGGGGAAACAGCCCTGAGCCAGCTCCAGCTCCCCCGACGCACACAAGGACAAATTCACACCTTCCCATCCGAATCGGAATTTTTACTAACGAAAAATAAATACATATATTTTCAAAATGTGAGTGTTTTGCATTATTATGCCCTGGCTTGACTAGTCTCTGCGCCATCCTTTGCTCCGTTGCCTGGGGGCTCACACTGGTCCTTCCTGCCCTCCAGCTTGGCCCCCTCCGAGATACTGTGACCTTTTCACCTCTTTCGCCTCGGTTTCCTTACAGCAAAATGGGCTGGCCGCCGGCACAGGGGATCAGCGCTCGCTAGGCCCCGGGAGAAGGGGGGACCCGGACTGGGAAGGAGCCCTGCGCCACCCTCGGGGCATCGGGGTTCGCGCCTCCAGGCAGGTGTGTCCGGGACTGCGGCCCGCGCCTGGGCGGCCGTTGCTGGGGCGCCCGTTGCCAGGGGCGCCGTTGCCAAGGACGCCCGGCCGGCCGCGGCTCTGGGCTCCCGGGCAGGACGCTGCGGCGATGGACGACCTGCGGGTGCTGTGGATGCGCGACCGCGTGTACGCGGCCTTCGGCCTCACGGACCACCAGCTCTTCGAGGACCTGCTGACCCGCGGCGACGGCGAGGGCGAGGACCTCATCCTGCACTTCCTCAACCGGGCCAGCCAGGAGGAGGCCGCCGCCACGCTCTTCTTCTACCGCACGCTGGTGCCCGAGGAGGTGGAGCTGGAGCTGGACGCCGGTGAGCCGCCCCTGCCCCCGGCAGCTGCCCCGCCCGGCCTCCCCCCTCGCAGCCCGTGCAAGGCCGCCCTGCAGCCGGTAGTCCCGCAAACGCCTCTTAGTGCGTGCTCTCTCTGCACCAGCTACCGTTCCACACGCTCAGGGTCACCCCATTTCCAGAGGCGCAAGCTGTGGCACAGGGGGGCTTCAATGACTCACCCGCAGGTCACACGGGCAGTCAGGATCCAAGAGCAGGGGCCACTGCCCAGTGACAGGCCAGAGAGGGGAGAGCAGCTGGCTGGGTGCTGGGAGCGACTCCACCTCCCTCTCCTGAGGGCGCAGGGTCTGCACAGTCCCTCTGTCTTCCCAGGCTCCGGACAGGCCGCTGCGAGCAACGCCCAAACGCGGTTGTAAAAATTACAGTGGATTTTAAATGTCTGTGGCTCACAAATTTCAAATAAAAATGACAGTGACGGGGTGCCTGTGTCAAGCCCAGGGACACAGAGAGGTCCTGGGGGTGGGCACCAGCATCAGGCTAGAGAAGGAAACAGGACAGCATGCAGGGGGTGCTCGGACAGGTGCGTGTCAGGGAAGGACACTGAGGAACAAGCGAGTCCTCTCCCAGCCGGAGCGCCCACATCTGCGTGGGTGTCAGTGAGCAGATCGGTGACCTGTGGTCACTCAGCGCCTCCTGTGCTTGTCTGGGGACTTCACAGACTTGAGGCTTCTGGATCCCTACAGGGCCGTTCACAGGCTGGGGTGGTGGTGCCAGGCAGGCCTTTTGTTTTGTTTTAAAGGTACCAGGCATTTATTTTAAATATATGTTGTTTGCACAAAATAATACACGTATTATCTTCATTGTAGGAAAATCCACAACCACAACAATTTGCTAGTGGTACCCAGAGAGGTGACCACCCAACACTGTGGAATCTATTCTCCCAGTCTTTTATTACTTTCTCCCCAGGCACACCTATGGACCTGGATGTTACGTTATAGCAGGACCTTGAATTGAGACTTTCTCATTATCATCAAGTGAAAATATGGATACAAAGATACTCTAACAGGATTGACTATTTAACATGGACCAAATTTCAGCAATCCTGGTTTTGTACACTTAAATATACATCTATATCTATATCTATACACATATATATATGCACATACACACACACACACACACACACACACACACCAAGGCCCTAAGAAATGGACTGGACTTGGACTACCTGTGACTTCTGAGGGCTCCTGTTAACTGTCTGGTGGCTGTTTTGTTGTGCTGTGTATGCTCACACATTTAGCCGAGGGTTTTCTGGCTGGATGTCCCCCTCCTATGTGGAAGCAGATTACAGTCTCACTCCAGAGAGGCCCCCTGGTAAATTCCTGGACCCTCCAAGGGGTGCCTGGAAACCTCCCTTGGGCGGTGATCTGTTTCTGGGCTGCCTCTGACCCTCCCCTGTCCTTCCCTCCTTTTCTGGTTCATCTCCATCGTCACCATGTCCTGAGAATGCCAGTGTATTCCCTCTTGAGGATGCTGTCCCTGGAAACTCAAAACTGCCGATCCCAGAGGCACCACAATGATATTGGATGTTGGGTTCTGGACAGAGGAGGGGAGAAAGGACCTCCTCCCTAGCTCCCTGTCTCTCCTTGTCACTCATCCTCTGCTTTTGTAACCTACAGGCTCACAAAGACCCTTGGACAGTTTTATTAGATTCTTTATGGGGGGTTCTGGTGTGAGCAAAAGACGTGGAGAGGGGCCAGTGCATCCCTCTTTTCTACTTCTGCCCCTCCCCCCGTCAAGACTTCTCTCTGCTCCCAGTTAAAAATGATATGAGGGTGGTGGTGAGGAGAGAGGGATGTCTTCATTGGCAGCGGCGAACCCAAGATGCTGTTCTAATAGGTAAACATATATTGTTTCTTGAAATAACAAAGTGGAATCATCCTGTACCTATCATTTAATAACTCACTTACATCTTTAAAAAAAAACCCCACAGGTATTACTGAAAGATGTTTTCTTTTCTTTAATATATATATATATTTGGTACATGCCCCTAGCAGGAACCGAACCCGGGACTCTTTGGTCCGCAGGCCGACGCTCCAACCGCTGAGCCAAACCGGCCAGGGCTGGAAGATGTTTTCTTAAAAAATTCACCTCACAGAATTATATAAAGTAAAAAAGCACCTCTTCTCTTATCTTCTAAGCCCTATTCCCATTCCTCTAGGTAACCACTGTTGTTAACTTGATGTGTATCTTGCCAGATCTTTTCCAAATCAGTCTTCCTTTCTATCTCAGTATAATGATGTGTACAATAATCGAAATGTGTATGTAAGTGTGCATATAGATGCATAGAAAATTCCTAAACCAGTAAATAAGATCATTCTATATATACACACATACATACCCTTTATCTCCGAAGGGTAGATGCATAAAGGCAGGACTGCTGGCTTAGTGCACACGCTCACAGTTCTGGACGGACCGATGCAACTGCTCTGCAGAAAGGCCCTGCCGGTCCACACGGGAGGCTGAGGGGCCACCTATTCACCAGAAGCCTGGCCGGCATCTGATGTTTTCAGTCTCTGTATTTTTTTCCATAGAGGAAAGGCAGATGCACCTCCTTATTCTAATTCACACTCTTCCATCATGAGTGGAGCCGAGCCTCTTTTTTGTAAAAAAATCTTTTCCCTTTATTGATTTTAGAGAGAGAGAGTAAGGGAGAGAGAGAGTAAGGGAGCGAGAGAGAGGGAGATGAGAACATCGACTGACCGCCTCCTGCATGCCCCCACCGGGGATCAGGCCCACAACCTGGGCATGTGCCCTGACCGGGAATTGAACCAGCGACCTCGTGGTGCAGGGTCGACGCTCAGCCACTGAGCCACACCTGCTGGACTCTTCTTTTTATTTTTAGTGTGTTGGTCACTTACATTTCTCTGGGCTGGTTGTCACTGTGATCATTCTGGTGTCCCTCATCTCCCGGAGAATTTGCACAAGGCCGTCTCCGGGATCTGGAATATTTCCGTGTGACCGGGTGGGTATAGGCCCGCGCCCATCGAAGCTGGAAGAGACGGCAGAGGAGGGCATATGGCTAGGTGCCTGGCAGGTGCAATAAGCAAGGGGGCTTCCCTCTGACGCTTGTTTTGGGCACAAGGAGGACATCTGCCCCTGCTGGGCTCCGTCACGGTCACCAGGTCACCAGGTCACCAGGTCACCATCCACGTGGTCTCAACAACACGAGGCTCTCAGGCTGCATCCTTGCAAACGCCGCACGCGGGGGGGACGGTGGGCGGAACCTTCTACTCCAAAGGCAAGGGAGGAGGAGGGACCACCTACTGCGGGGGCCGACTTCCGGGTCAGCGGGGTCACTTCCGCCCCAGGCACTCTCGCGCGTGCGGCGCTCCCGCCACCGCCTGTCCTCCTCCAGCTCCAGAGCCGCGATGCCAGGTGTCTCACCCAGCGACCTACTTACGCTTCCTTCTTCTCTCTCCGTTTATGTGGCTGCGAAGACGCCGAGTTTCCGGCCTCGTCCCAGGAGGAAGAGCAGGAAGAAGAGGCCGAGTCTCAGAAGGTCGAGTCGGTGGACAAGGTGTCAGGTGTGGCCTTAGGGGGGGCTCCGCGGGCAGCACCGAGGGGATCCCCGCCCAGACCCGTCGTTTCTGCCTTTACCCGTATGAGCCCCGGGTGGCGGCCGCGCAGAGGGGACATGCTGGGGGTCCATGGGCGCACTTAGCGTCCCGGCCCTGCCGTGGCAAGGGACCGCCAAGGCGTCCCAGAACCGCAGCTGCATCGGGAAACAGGAGCAAACGCTGCTAACATGCTGGCTGTGCTTCTCGCCCTGATGGAAAAACTCCTTATTTTATTTATTAAAAAAAAAATCTTCATTGATTTTAGAGAGAGAGGGAGAGAGAGATAGAAACACTGATGAGAGAGAACATCGATGGGCCGCCTCCTGCACGCCCCGCACTGGGGATCAGGCGCACAACCTGGGCATGTGCCCTGACCCGGAATCAAACTGGCGACCTCTTGGTGCAGGGTCGATGCTCAACCACTGAGCCACACCGGCCGGGTTAAAACTCTTTACTTACTTATTTATTTATTTATATCCTCATCCAAGGACATTTTTTTCATTTTTTGTTCAGATAGAGTGGGAGGGAGGGAGAGGAAGAGAGAGAGAGAGAAAGAAACATCGACGTGAAAGGGACACATCGAGTGGCTGCCACCCGCACGACCCAACCAGGGCCGGAGACAAACTGCAACTGAGATACGCGCCCTTAGCGGGAACCGAACCCGGGTCTCTCTGGACCACAGGCCGACGCTCTAACCGCTGAGCCAAACTGGCCAGGGCTAAAACTCCTTTTTTTTAATTTATTTTTTTATCCTCACCCGAGGATATTTTTCCGTTTTTTGTACAGATAGAGTGGGAGGGAGAGAGAGGAAGGGAGAGAGAGTGAGAAACATCGACGTGAAGGGACACATCGAGTGGCTGCCACCCGCACGACCAACCAGGGCCGGGGACAAACTGCAACCGAAGTACGTGCCCTTAGCAGGAACCAAACCCGGGTCTCTCTGGACCGCAGGCCGACGCTCTAACCGCTGAGCCAAACCGGCTAGGGCTAAAACTCCTTTTTTAAAGTAAAGCTCTGGGAAGTCACCGATTGGACACTGCTGCTGTAGTAGCAGACACACATGCACATGTGCACCCATGGGAAATTTCTGATGGAGGACTCGTCAAAAATGCAGGGCAACTCTCCTGATTATAACGTAAGTCAGGGCTACAGAAGGACCCATTCGTAAAGACATAAGTATCGCTTTTTGATACCATTCAGGTCTCTTGGATGAAATATGCTGTTGTACAAAATGCATGTTTGTCCTTGTCGGGAGGGGGCCCCGTTTCCTGATGACTCCATCTGGCTCACTGAAGAATGTTTTGCAGCTAGGAGTTTGCAGATGAAAACCAGTTTGGCACAGCAGCCCCTAACGGGCACAGAGAGTGAAGACATGGACAAAGATTTAGAAGACTTGCCCCGCAAGGTACGCGTGGATTTCTTCTCCTTGGAGGGTAATGGGAATTCCGTGCCTTCTGCTGCGCTGGGTAACCGACACAGGTCATCTGAGGGACACACCATGTTGGAATGGAGATGATAGACTTCTGTGTTGGGAGCCCATTTTCAGATTGAATGGTTCCCTACAATGACTCCCAGAACCCAGAAGAGCTTTTGTAGCCATGGTTATAGTTTATTTAAGTGAAAGTATGCAGATTAGAATCAACAAGGCAGAAGGCAGAGAGGGCAGAGTCCAGCAGAAAACAGGCATGAGCTTCCCATTGGCCTTACCCAGTGGGGTGAGGTCACAGACAGAGCTAATTCTCCTTATATATGACGGCATGTACGAAGTGTTGCAAATCAGGGAAGCTCACCTGAGCTGTGGTGTCCAGGGTTTTTATTGTGGGTCAGTCACATAGGCATGAAGTGCCCAGGTTTCTTACCTTAGTTACTCAGTCTCCAGCACCCTCAGAGGTCAAACTGATAACAGTGTGACCCACAGCCCCAGGCACTCACCAAAAATTACTGTTAGTATAAACTACCCAGCATGACAGATGCAAGTCCCCAGGTATACAAAGACACTCAGAGCGGGCAGGATATTCCAAAAGATTAGAGGTTATCATCACCCAGGGGCTGGGTAAGGGCAAGATGGAAAAACTTTGGAATGAGCAGGGTTTGGACAACTCAGGCCTGCTGAGTTAGCCCTTTCTTGTACAGATCCCAGGGATGGAGCTTAAAGCTAAGGTGTAAGCATTTAGCCTGACCTGTGCTAAATGAAATTACACTGAACTGCTTTATGAATATGCCCCGCCCCCAAAGCTGAATTCAGGCCTGCTTTGTTGCAATCTGTAGCCTAGAAAAGCTCTCTGAGGTCAGTTTGTTGAAGTGTGGCTGCTTTGGGAAGTTAATAGAGGAGTCTGGGTGCATTTCAGCTCACGTGTGACCCGCTGGCGCCTGCTGCGCAGCTGTGTCTGTGTTGTCAGGAGTGAGAGCAGAGCACGGCAGCGCGTGGACGGCTCGGGTGTGCTGGGACATCAGGTTGTTTGGGTGAATGGCTGTATCTCAGTGTAACAGACTTGTTTCCCATGTTTCAGAAAATTGTTAAGCACATTGTGGAAAAGACGTATCTCCACGTGCTTTGTACTCCTGTTCCTGAGGAGTTTCTGGACCAGAATGTGGTGTTTTTCCTGAGAAATACAAAAGGTATATTTCCAGTGTGTGTGTGCGCGAGTGTGGGTGTGGGTGCACATGCCGGTGTGTACGTGTGAGAGTCTAAACGTTTACATTTTCATGAGAATGACTTTTTATCAGTATAGTCAGTTCTCATTTTTCATGGATTCTGTATTTGCAGATTTACCTACTCAAATTTTTTTGTATTCAAGGACGTGTGCAGAAGGGGAGACATTTGAGTCTCCCAATGTGCATGTTCCCAGCTGGAGTGGAACAAGGTGACACTCTGCCTTCTTGTTTCAGTTCCTACTGTAAACAGGTGTCCTTATTGTGATCTGTTAGGGCACAGTTTCCACATTTTTCTGCTTTTTGTTGGCGATTTCACTGTTTGAATGGCTCCCAAGCATGGTTCTCATGTGCGGTCTAGTGTTCCTCAGTGCAGGAAAGCGGGGATGTGCCTGAGAGGAAAAATGTGTGTGTGTGTGTTCGATAAGCTTCCTTAAGTTGTGAGCGATAGTGCTGTTGGCTGTGAGGTCAGTGTTAATGATTCGGTAACAGGTATTAAATGAGGTGTCTTTAAACTGAAACATGCACACGGCAACGTTATGCACTGGTGGTGATGAGAATGCTGTGACCCGAGGCTCCCAGGACCTAACCCGCATTTCTCCGGGAACAATGGCTCAGTATTTGCTGGTTCAGTGTTCACGGCACATACAGAACTACCAGGAATAATGAGAAATTAATCTAGTCTTAGTTCTATTTATAACTCTTAGGTACAGATTCAAAATGGCTTGACCCTGAGTTATAAGGTGAGCTTTGGTAGGCTTTCTCTGCGTGGCTGAGAGACTTAAAACAGAGGAGCTGCGCAGAGGCCTTGTCCGTCCTACAGAGCAACCTCAGGCCAGATGTGCCCACTGTGCATTCCCTCCGCGCTCGGCCACCCTGGGCACAGTGGGGTTTTTTAGACGCCCCAGTGCTTGTTGCTCTCTGATCTCCTGACCTGGCTCCTCCTCGTGCTCTGTCCATTCAGGCCGACCTCACTCTGGCTGCGTTTCCCTGGGTCCTTCTGCCGTTGCCCCCACCTCGCAGCCTGCGAGGCTGTGCTTCGCTGCATTTGAGGACTCACCCTAGATTTTATTTTATTTTTTTAAATTAATTTTAAAAAAAATCCTCACCCAAGGATATTTTTCTATTTATCTTCTGATAGAGTGGGAGAGAGGAAGAGAGAGAGAGAGAAACAGTGACATGAGAGGGACACATCAACTAGTTGCCTCCTGCACGACCCCGACCAGGGCTGGGGATGAACCACAACTGAGGTACGTGCCCTTGGCTAGGATCGAACCTGAGACTCTTCAGTTTCTAGACCGACACTCTAACCTCTGAGCCAAACCGGCTAGGTCCTCACCCTACATTTTAGAACAACTCATGTTTCTTTTATTTTTCCTTTTTCAAACTTTGATGGCACTTTGGGTCAGGACCTCACAGCTAAGCCCTGAGCTTCTGTATTTGGCTCTCCCCGAGTGGGCGGGCACGCAGGGAGAAGGGCGCCGTGCGGAGGCTCACCTCTGAGTAGCCTGCTGCGTCCTGAGCGCCGTCCAGTTGGGTGGCCCGAGGAGCTGGCCTCAGCTCGGCGCCCTCCTGCGTGGCGTGTGGCTCACCACGCAGGCCTTGCTTGGGCGGGCACCAGTGCGTCTGCCCTGACTTCATTTCTGTTCGTTCTCATTTGTGGCTTCTGTACAGCTGTCTTTCATTGATGGCAAGCTGTCTTTCTTTTCCATACTGGGTTCTTTTGCGGTTTCCCTTTAAAACAGATTGAAGTAAAGAAGCATTGGATATAAAAAAATGTGTTAGGCCCTGGCTGATTTGGCTCAGTGGCAGAGCGTCAGTCCACGGGCCAATGAGTCTCAGGTTTGATTCTGGTCAAAGGCATGTACCTCGGTTGCAATTTGTCTCCGGCCCTGGTTGAGGTTGTGTGGGAGACAGCCACTCGATGTGTCCTTTTTACGTTGATGTTTCTCTCTCTCTCTTTCTCCCACTCTATCAGAACAAAAGTGGAACAATGTCCTCAGGTGAAGATTAAACAAAACAATAAATAAATAAATAAAAAGAAGTTAGTGTGTGTTCTGAGTCTGTGGCTGGAACATTCCTTCGTAGCTACTCGGGAGGAGGGAGCTGATTCCCGTGTACTTGGGAACGTTGACTGTTCACCACTTACCCACTCATCTCCCCGGCGGCTCTGTTCCCTGTAGAGGCGATCCCTGAAGCCAGCTACATGAAGGAAGCCATGGAGATCATGCCCGAGACGCTGGAGTATGGGGTTATAAATGCGAAAGTGCTTCATTGTCTGAAAGATATTATATGTCAGGTAAGTGTGGGCAAAGGAGGAAATCTCAATGTTTTTAAGATTAAGGCCATCTGATTCATTTTTTCACAAGCAGGCAGTCGGCAGCCCAGGTCCAGGCACTGTCATGGGCTCTGTCGTTACAGTGGTGCCCTTGACTAGAATATTCAAAGCCAGAGGCAATTTAAGAGCATGAATCCTTGAACAGGACAGTGTGATGATCTGTTTCATAAATTTGCATTTCAGGTCTTCTTGCCAGCTTTGTCCTTCAATCAGCACAAGGAATCCAGCATGGGGTTCACACCTGGAGAAGTCTCTGACTCCCATGAGAGTGAAATGGACCTGCCTAATGTGCCCGGAGAAGCCGTGGAATATCACGGCTCTCAGTTAATACGAGATGAATTTTTAATGAACGTCCAGAAATTTGCAAATAATATTCAAAGAACAATGCAGCAACTTGAAGGTAAGCTTTGGTTTTTCTCCTCTTCCGTTAAGCATGATGAATTTACTTTGAGAAGGCAGTTGAGCTTTTTTCTTTTAACTGATGATTCTTGTTTACCTGCTCAAGATATGAAAGACAGAACTGGTTATTATAAACAGATACAAAGAGGAATGACGAGCCCTGGCCGGTTTGGCTCAGCGGTTAGAGCGTCGGCCTGCGGTCCGGAGAGACCCGGGTTCGGTTCCCGCTAAGGGCACGTACCTCAGTTGCAGTTTGTCCCCGGCCCTGGTTGGGTCGTGCGGGTGGCAGCACTCGATGTGTCCCTTTCACGTCGATGTTTCTCTCTCTCTCTCTCTCTCTCTCTCTCCCTCTCACTCTATCTGAATAAAATATGGAAAAATGTCCTCGGGTGAGGATTAAAAACAACAAAAAAGAGAGGAATGACGAATCCTTGTCCTCAAGGGTCTTACAGTCCAGTGCCCGAAGAACTATGGCAGAATAAGGAGCTTGAGAAAGATGTCAGGGTCTAAAGGGTTTGGAAGAGGGTGACCAAGGCGGAGAAGTGGCAGGAAATCAAAGGAGACTTCCTGAAGCAGGTGGCATTTGACCTCATCTGACAGGATGAACAAGGCTTTAGTAGGAGTGGGGGAGCAAGTGCATTTCAGGCAGAGAGAATGGCCTGAACAAATGAAGGGAGATGGGATGGAGTGGGGTTTCCATGAAAGAGAAGGGGTCGAGGGCTGGGTCCTGGGTCTTTGTTATCTTTGTGTCTGTCCACAACCCAGGGCCCTATACAGTGTGGCTGTCAGTTGGATGGAGCTGCTCTGCACCTCACCGGGTGGGGAAAGGGTGCGGTGAATGGAGAACAGGAGGTCGGGGGCTGGCTCAGGAGGAGCGTGAGTTCTGCCGAGTGCAGGGCTGGGAAGCCAGCGCGCATGTACTGGCAAGGGCAGTTAGGGCCCGTGCGGAGGCATCGCTGTTCTAGGGCAGTGAACCTCTTCCCCCTTTACAGTAAGGTTGAGCACACCCCACTCTAGGGATTTTCTCTGTTGGAAACGAGAAGACTAGAAACCCGTGTAGAGATCCAAACTTTTCGTAACAGCTATGGAGATGGTTTCTCAGGCTCCCATGTTAGAGGTTCTTTTCCCCGGAAGTGCAGTTTCTCCCGTGAGATCTGTGGTCTTGTACGACTTCATGTCTGTGCAGCCCTTTCCTCAGCCCTGGCATTGCTGTGAGCAGCAGAGATGTGAGCATGGTTTCTTACACTCTTACGTGATCTCGTGTCTTGATTTTGATGTTAAAAGTAGACAAGAGAATATCTTTTTGTGTTTTAGGTAAAATACTGGAAGGAAATGCTCGAGAATGTTTTCTTACCCCTTTTCTTTATGTAAACGTTCAGGGTTATTGCTCTATTCCTCGTGCTGACGTGTCACGATCATGGTTTGTGGGTGGTTCGTTTTGCTAAATGTTCTGTATTTTCAATCTGAAGACCTAGCCTTTCAGTCTGAAAATGGTTCTTGTTATTTCCTTCATTACTTGTCTCTGTTCTCTTGCTAACGTTACTGTTGGATGAATCTTTTTTTCCTGCTCCCCCCCATGTATTCTCTATCTCTTTGTCATTGTATTCCATGTTCCTGAAGAGTTCATCAACTTTTATCTTCCCAGTCTTGGGTTGGGTTTTATGTTAGTGACTACATTTTTAATTTTTTTTTAATCCTTACCCGAGGACATTTTTCCATATTTTGTTCAGATAGAGTAGGAGGGGGAGAGAGAGAGAGAGAACCATCGACATGAAAGGGACACATCGAATGGTTGCCACCCACACGACCCCAACCAAGGTCAGGGACAAACTGCAACTGAGGTACGTGCCCGTAGTGGAAACCGAACCTGGGACTCTCCAGTCTGCGGGCTGATGCTCTAACTGCTGAGTCAAACTGGCCAGGGCGGTTGTTCAATTTTTAAATGAAAATTATTAGGTTGTAAATTCAGGAACATTTAAAAAACATATTTTTCTTTATTGATTTTAGAGAGGAAGGGAGACAGAGAGAAACATTGATGTGAGATAGAAACATCAATTGGCCGCCTCCTGCATGCCCCCCACTGGGGATCGGGCCCACAGCCTGGGCATGTGCCCTGACTGGGAATCAAACAAGCATGACCTCATGCTGCGTGGGTCACGCTCAACCACTGAGCCACACCGGCCAGGCTAGGAACATTGTAAATAACTAAATCATTTTGATCGAGCTTAATACTGGGACAGTGACCTAATTCTCTAAAATGTTTTAGTTACAGTCTAATGAAAGAGGATGAAATGTAGACAGATTGGGACAGGGGATGTATCATTTATCAGACCTTATCATTCTGATTGTGGATAGAAGAGCCAGCAAATTAACTTGGACATTATTGCCGGTAATCATTTTTCCCAAAGTAAGAGCTCTTTTATTCTCCTAGGTGAGATTAAGTTAGAAATGCCGAGCATCAGCGTGGAGGGAGAGGTGTCTGTCCTGGCAGCTGACCCGGAAACCGTTGAGATCTTGGAGCAATGTGTGATCAACTGGTTGAATCAGATAACCGTGGCTGTTGAGGGCCAGCTGAAAAAGACGCCTCAGGTAACTGGTGCAGTGCTTTCGAAGATCCCTGATACAGTCACACTTGCTTCCCTGAGAAGGAGCCATGAGTCTGGGTCCGTGTGGTCTAGCTTCTTTTCTTCTTCTTTGTTGTTAGTTCTTACTTGAGGATATTTTTCTGTTGCTTTCTCGACAGAGTGGAAAGGAAGGAAACATCAATGTGAGAGAGACACAGCGATTGGTTGCCTCCTGAAAGACCCCAACTGGAGCTGGGGATTGAACCTGCAACCTGGGCACGTGCCCTTGACCAGGAATCGAACCTCAGACCCTTTGGTCCACAGGCCGACACACTAACTGCTGAGCCAAATCGGCCAGGGCTAGCTACTTCTTCCTTTTTTTTTTTTAATCCTCACCCGAGGACATTTTTGCATTTATCTTCAGATAGAGTGGGAGAGAGAGAGGGAGGAAGAGAGAGAGAAACATCGATGTGAGAGAGACTTATCGAGTGGCTGCCCCCACATGACCCCAACCAGGGCTGGGGACAAACTGCAACCGAGGTGCATGCCCTTAGCGGGAACCGAATCTGGGACTCTCCCGGCCACGGGCCGACGCTCTAACCACTGAGCCAAACCGGCCAGGGCCAGGGCGAGCTGCTTTTCTGACTGTTTTGTGACCTCCTTAAAGACTGAGGTAGATGTATCCAAGCCATCGTTCTTGGGCTCTGTGCTGGTGGTGTGCTGCCAGGGTGCGTCCTGGGCTGACGAGGGTAACACTGTGCGTCAGTCAGGATGCTCGGGCTCCCAGCACGGAACCCAGCGCAGGAGCGCAGCTGGCTCAGATAAGAAAAGCATTTGTGGGCTTACATACCGGGAAAGCTCAGAGGCTGGTTTCAGGTACAGTTTGATCACGGCTCTGGCTGTGCTTCTCCGTGAATCTCTCAGGTCCGCCCTCCTCCCTGAGGGGGCTTCCTCCTTGGGCTGGTTTCCTTCATGGCAGCGACTTGCAGCAGTGTCTGCCCCACATCCCCATATTGTCCAGAGAGAGAGACGAAGTGGCGTTGTCTAGCGCTCCTAGCTGAGGTCCGAGACGCTCTCTGATTAGACCGTCCTGGGTCAGCTGCCCACCCCCGAAGTTTTTGTGCAGATTAGCCCCTGGCACCTTTGAGACCAGAAGATGGACGCTGGAGAAACAGCCCCAAGTGTCCACTCCGCATTGATGCTGACAGTTGTTGGTGCGGTCATGTCACCTCTCAGGGTAACGGTCCTCTGGCTGAAATTGAATTCTGGAGGGAAAGAAACGCCACCCTCAGTGCACTCCACGAACAGACAAAGCTTCCCGTCGTCAGAAAGGTCTTGGATGTGATCAGGGAGTCAGATTCTCTGCTCGTGGCGAACCTGCAGCCGGTCTTAACCGAGCTGTTCAAGCTGCACATGGAGGCCTCGGACAACGTGCGGTTTCTTTCCACCGTGGAGCGTCATTTCAAGGTACTGCATGTGGAAGTCGCCTCTGCATGTTAGATCTCACACAGGTTTAATTTCCTTTTTTTAACATTCAGCATTTTAAAGGTTGTCATAAAAGAGATGTAAAACAATATTCATTATTTTAACCACTTGTAAGTACGTAGTTGAGTGGCATTAAATGCACACACAATGCTGTGTGCTCTTCATCACACACATGTCCTTAGTGGGAACTGAACCCAGATCTCTCTGGTCCGCGGGCCGATGTTCCAGCCACTGAGCCAAACCAGCCAGGGCTCTACAGATTGCTTTATTTGCTTTAATTACAAATCTGTCTTTCCATGGCAGTCCACACAGACCTATCTTAAACTTCTTTTGTTTGTTCAACACTGTCTCCCATCATGAGTGCATTTTTGGGGTGTAAGAAGAGTGAAACTTCCTGCACACTATTGCTCCATTCATCTCTTTGACCCCAAGGCTAAGGGTGCTCTGCTCTCTCTCTCGCACGTGTCTCCGGTCAGAACATAACGCACGGATCGAGCTTTCACGTGGTCTTGGAGACCATCCCCTCCATGATGAGCGCGCTGAGGATGGTGTGGATCATCTCCCGCCACTATAACAGAGACGAGAGGATGATCCCCCTCATGGAGCGGATTGCCTGGGAGCTTGCTGAGAGAGTCTGCAGAGTGGTGAACCTGCGGACCTTGTTCAAGTAAGAAGTAGTGACGCTGTGTTTCCTCAGGAATGTTTCGTGTCTGGCTTCTCTACTCAGCATCATGTTTCCAAGGGTCCTCCATGCCATAGCATGTCAGCGCTCCGTTCCTTTTCATGGCTGAGTAATGCTCCATTGCATGGATATGTAGGTCATTTTATTTTACTAGGACCTTTTTCCTTAATTATCCTTAGAGAGACCAAGGCACAGGGTGAGAAATCCTCAGCTCCAGACCCCAGGACCCTGCAGGTGGCACAGCCTCTGACGATCAAATGTTAAGGGGGACACAGATCATTTTTCACTTTCTTACAAAAACAACCTATGCAGGTGACATAAGGTGCCCAAGTCTTGGAATTATCCCTTTGCTCCGGCGTTGCAGCCCCTACTGCCGACTTCTGGCCTGTCAGCGAGGCCACCTGTCCCCCGTCCAGCTCAGGCAGAGCTCACTGGGCGAGCCTCCGCTCTGCACACTGCTGGGCAGCTGCTGCGAACATCAGCCTGGGCGGCGCCGGGCTTCCTGTCGCACCCGTGCAAACTGCCAGCAGCGGCTCTCCCGGCGAGCTTCTCCAGGAGCGGCCGTGACGTCAGGAGGCTCTGCCCTCGGTTCAAATGCTCCCCATAGAAACCTGCCCCCCGGGGACTTTGGCTCAGACCCCCTGCATCTCTGCCCGCCCGCTCATGTCCGGATCTCTGATCACAGAGAGAACCGAGCAAGTGCACAGAGCAAAATCTCGGAGGCCAAGAACACCCTCAACACATGGAAAAAGTGCTATTTTGACACCAGGGCCAAGATCGAGGCTTCGGGAAGGGAAGCCCGGTGGGAGTTTGACCGAAAACGGTTGTTTGAGAGGACGGATTACATGGCCACCATCTGCCAGGATCTCTACGACATTTTGCAGGTAGGGAAGCTGCAGCACGTCTTCTCTTTACTTTACATCCTCACCCGAGGACTTTCTCCCTTTTATCTCCAGAGGGGTGGGGGTGGAGGGGACACTGCTGTTACAGAGACACATTGACTGGCTGCCTCCCACATGGCCCAGATCAGGGTCGGGGACCGAACTGCCACCGAGGTACATGCCCTTGACCAGAAATGAACCTGAGACGCTGTCTGCGGGCCGACGCTTCAGCCACTGAGCCACGTCCGCCAGGGCTGGAGCATGTTTCCTTCCGTCACGTGAAGGCGGCTAGCGTTGCCCAGTGGAAGCAATTTGGCTTTCTTTTTTATTTTAAATTACATTTTATGTGAGTTTTTTTTTAATCCTCACCTGAGGATATTTTTACATTTATTATTATTTTTTTAATTTTTAAATTTATTTATTTTAGATAGGAAGGGAGAGGTAGAGAGAGAAACATCGATGAGAGAGAATATCAGTTGGCCGCCTCCTGCACACCCCACACTGGGGATTTGTCATGTGCCCTGACCAGGAATTGAACCAGCGACCTCTTGGTGCATGGGTTGATGCTCAACCACTGAGCCACAATGGCTGGGCTATTTTTACATTTATCATCAGATAGAGTGGGAGGGTGGAAGGGAGAGGGAGAGGGAGAGAGAGAAACATTGATGTGAGAGAGACACATTGACCGGTTGCCTCCTACACGATCTGACCAGGGCTGGGGATGAATTGCAACTGAGGTACGTGCCCTTGACTGGAATCGAACCTGCGACTCTTTGGTCTGTGGGCTGACACTCTAACCACTGAGCCAAACTAGCCAGGGCTTTTTTTAAAAAACATTTATACCTGCCCGGCTGGTGTGGCTGAGTAGTTTGAGTGTTGACCCACGCACCAAGAGGTCGCCGGTTCAATTCCCGGTGAGGGCACATGCCCAGGTTGTGGGCCCGATCCCCAGTGGGGGGCAAGCAGGAGGAGGCCGGCTAATGTTCTCTCTCATCAATATTTCCATCTCTCCCTCTCCTTTCTTCTCTCTCTCAAATCAATAAAGAAAAAAAAAATTAATTTATACCCATTTTTTTAGGAAATTGCTTGGCCTGTGAACTGTTGCGAGATCATGGGGGAGGAGGGAGAGAGGCCAGTCTAAGGATCCTGATAGTGTGGAGAGCCACCTCGTTCCTCCCTGCCTCCCCTCCACCAGCTCACAGAGAGCCAGGGGCTCTCAAAGTCCAGTGGGCCTCCTCCCCATCCCAACCCTTGCTATCAAGCTTCTTTTAAAACAATATGTCTTAAAAAAAGGAGTCCTTGTTTTGCTTTTGGGACCACACTATGTCCAAAAAACAATGCTCGGGAATTCACTCTTCCCAAGAATGAGCATTCCCAAGAATTCATGTAGAACTTGGTGCCTAGGATTAAAGTCTTGGCAAGATTCTTGGCCAAACCAAGGCAGAAACCCAGCAGGTTCCCATTTTGCGGCTGGTGGGAGCACGTGCAGAGGGCCGAGAGGCTGCGAGGGGGCCAGGGCCAGGAGCATGGGAAGAGGGAGGGGAGGCAGGGAGGGTCTGAACGGTCAGGCTCTTTAGTGCGTCCAGGTGTCTGGCTCTGGTCCTGCATGCAGTGGGCTCAGTACCGCGGGGCTTGGACTGGGAAGAGGTTGCCGAGGTGACGCGATTCTTGTCTTTAGACAAATCCAGGTGTGCAGCCCATGCATAGTGAGAGCATTCAGTGTGAAACCGAAAGTGACCTCCTCACATTTTGTTTGATTGGACAGGTGATGGAGGAATTTTATAACATATTTGGTCCAGAACTAAAGGCAGTGACAGGGGATCCCAAGCGCATCGACGATGTCCTGTGCAGGGTGGACAGCCTGGTCACCCCCATGGAAAACTTGACCTTTGACCCCTTCAGTATCAAGTCCTCGCCGTACTGGAAATACGTGATGGATGACTTCAAGATTGAAGTTCTGGCAAGTAACGCTTTTATTGATCGTGGATACCATGTTTTCCCCTGTTAAATTTGTCGGGTTATTTAGTTATGCTTAGGGTTTTTGTTTTGTTTTTTTAAATCACAAAGGTTAAAACCTGCTTTTTAAAAATAACGGAAACAAGACAGAAAAGCATAAGCTAAAAGCGAGCATTCCTCAGTGTTCCTTGTCCCCACTCCTTCTCCCCAGGATGAATAAGTCTAAATTGACCCGGGCACAGTGGCATTTCCGCAGAGGTGGGCGAGGTATAGACTTGGAGAGGCCATGGGAAGGCCAGGCTGAAGAATGGGACTTGATTAGCTCTAGGGAGCCATTCAGGTTGTTGACCAGAGGAGTGACACAGTAGGCGTTATACTTGAGGAATGTTTTTCTGGCCCCAGCACAGGTCGATGTGGGTTGGGAGGTGAGGAGATGGTGCAGGGGGCTCCGGCCGGAAGTGTGAGAGAGGCAGAAACTGCCAGAGCGAGGCCGGGGGTGAGACTGTGGCTTCCCGGCACAGAGGGCGACAGGGCGGCTCATCACGGGCATTCTTTCAGCCTCGTGTGGGCAGCACTACCCCCATTTTATGTCTTAAGTCATTGTGTGCTAACCCCCGAGCATCTTCGTACGTGAACGATCCCAGACAATTCCACTTGGTTATATGAATGTTTTCATTTTAATTGTATCTAAGTTATTCTTAGATTCTATTTACACTTGATCTTAGCCAACAGGCCAAGAACCGATTCAGATTCTGTTTAATTTTAAGTGCTATTCACTCTTAAATCGAACTCTTCATCAAAGCTACTTGTAATACTAAAAGGCTCATTATAAGAAAAAGCAGCCCCACGCGTAACCCCTCTCCATCCCCATTCTTGCTGTCATTTTCTACAGTTTTAGACATTTCTCTTCCTATTTACTATTTCCTAAAGAACATGGCAATGTGTTTATTTCCTTTTTTATCAAATGTGGTCAACTTTAGACATCTGTTAACTGTCCGGAGTAGATGTAGACTTCACTATCCTATTCCTACTGTCCCCTTTGCCTCTTGTCATCCAACATAGACTTGTAATAACTTTTGATAAAATAAATGGTCAGGATTTACTTATTATGCCAAAGCAAATATTATTCACTGCTGACCCAAGAAGCCGACCATAACCACACCACCATTCTTGTCTAACGCTTCATTTTCCTAGGGTTAATTATTACTTTTATTTTTCGTTTGCCTCCTTGTCTATCTTTGCATTATTAATTTTTCCCAGTTGTTCTAACGTCGCTCCTACACGCCTCCCAGTAATGGGTTCCATTGCTCAAAGCCAGCGGTGCTGTTGTTTTCCTGTCCCCCAGAGCTCACGGTCTTTCTGTTCCCGTCTAGACTGCTCCTCAGACCTGCTGCAAAGCAGTGCCCTAGGCTTTTCTGCCTCCCTCGCCTGTGTCGGGTCCTCTGTTCCAGATTTCACACCTTCCTCTTTCCTTTTCACTTTGTTTGGCTGGAGCACACTGCTCAGTAACTTCCTAAGAAGGTTTCATATATTTTTGAGTCTTGTGTGTGTGAATTCTGAAAGGACAGGAACAGAGTTCAAGGTGGGAAATAGCTTCTCCTCAGAAACTCAAAGGCGTTCTTCACTGCCGGCTCCCTTCCAGTGTTACTGGAGGTCTGATGTCATTCTGACGCACTTCTTGTAGGGTTAGCCTCCCGCTTTTTAAAGAGTGGGTGGGTGTGGGTGCAGAGGGTGCACTGGGGCCTGGCCGTGTGGGGTGGAGAAGGGGTCCTTGTTTGCCCCTCTTCCCGGTGCCTCCAAATCCTCCGCCTCCCAGAGGCTTCTGTGGGAGCAAACAGGACACCTTGCTGGCGCTAGGTGTAATTTTCTGCCTCCTGTAAAGCTTGTTACTCTCCTCCCCAAAATTTCTCTGCTGTTGTGCCTTCTCCCCTTTCTTTGTCTCTATACGTTAATACTTCAAAAAATCCCTTCTCCGTCATTTTGAACTGGTTGAGGGGGAGAGCAGAAAAGCAAAACTCCGAGGCTGCCAGCCTGCACGGACGCATGTGGAGGTCCTGCTCCAGGCGCCGGCTGTTTCCTGCAAGAACACGAGCATGTGGAGGTCCTGCTCCAGGATAATTACAGCAGCAGGGGGGATGTTTTCTTGACTCCTTTTTTGTTATTTTGGCAGGTTATTGAGAAAGAAGCAAAAAATTTTATTGACGAATCTTTTAAGACGCTTCGATCAGCGGAGGCCGCGTTTGACATGCTTTTAAAGTTTAAGCACATTCGCTCACGGGAGGCTGTTAACCGGCAGATGATGATGAAGTTCAATGATATTCTCGCACAGTACTGTAAAGAGGTAACTGGAAAACCTATAGCTGTTGTCGCAGTAAAAATGTCCTTGGCAAAATGTGAACAATTGAATCACACTATTATCTGTTTTTTCCATCTAAATTCAGAGAAACTGGAGTTTCCCCAAGTAGGTAACCAAATCCAGTGGGTCTGTTTATTTAGGGGAGAAATGCAGGGAGAATTGATCAAGTATAACATCACATAGCTCACATTGCGATGGGCTCCCTTGGGTGAGTCGTAGCAGTGATCACAGCCAACCCCCTGCAGAGACCACGTGTGTGTTGATATGTTAATTTGGAAGTGTCGCCAGTGTTTGCATGTTCCAGGTGCAGTGTTAGGCAAAGAGCTAGAGCGGGACGAACAAAACACAGACAATTCTGGCACAGGCTAAGACGCGGCTGAACTTTAAGGACATCGCGTTAAGTGAAATAATAAGCTAGTCACACAATGAGAACCGCTGTATGATTCCACTTACGTGAGGCATCCGTAGTGGTCAGATGCATAGACAGGAAGTAGCATGGTGGTTGCCAGGGGCTGGGGAAATGGGGCGTTAGTGTTCAATGGGCACAGAATCTTAGGGTGGGATGATGGGGAAGTTCTGGAGATGATGGCGGGGACGGCTGCACAGCCACAGGACCCCCTGCTGAGTGCAGTTGCAGTGGTTCAGACGGTAAACTTTATTTTATCTGTATTTTACCACAGTTTAAAAATAATGAGCATTGCCCTGGCTGGTTTGGCTCAGCGGTTGGAGCGTCGGCCTGCGGTCCGGAGAGACCCAGGTTCGGTTCCCGCTAAGGGCATGTACCTCGGTTGCAGTTTGTCCCCGGCCCTGGTTGGTCGTGCAGGTGGCAGCCACTCGATGTGTCCCTTCACATCGATGTTTCTCTCTCTCTCTCTCTCTTCCTCTCTCTCCCTCCTGCTCTATATGAACAAAGAATAGAAAAATGTCCTTGAGTGAGGATAAAATAAATAAATAAATAAATAAATAAATAAATAAATAAATAAATAAAAATAATGAGCATTTATAAAATCTCGTGGCGTGCACACGTGCGCCCGCGCACACACACTCACACACTTCAGGCCATTGGTCATGTCTCAAACAGACTTAAGAATTTCTAACACTTCAATCAAATGAGTGTACACAGTCTGTAATTCTAAGGCAATTTGGAACATTGCATATGTTAAACAATAGAAAATTACTGGAAAATATAAAAATTAGTAAAGAATAAGTAAGTAGTAAAAACGCTATTTTAGACTTTCTTGACGTTCCAATGTTCATTTATTTAAAGATGCATATCTCCAGTTAAATGTTTCTCGGCTAAATGGCGATGTTTCCTGCTCACCGAGGCTGTTTGTTTGTTTTCCAGATTGACACTGTTAACAAAATCTTTGTCCAGAACCGTGACAACCCGCCACTGTACAAGAACCACCCTCCAGTAGCAGGTGCAGTCTCCTGGGAACGGTCTCTGTTCTTCCGGATTAAGCACACCATCCTCAGGTTTCAGGAGGTGCAGGAGATACTGGACAGTGAACGGGGAGAAGAGGTCTGTTGCTTTGCTGGAACCGTTCCCTTTTGTATTTCACAGGCTCTGTTGTGTTGTCTGTGAGGAGCAGCTAACCTTCAGATCTGTGCCTGCCACGTAGACGGTCTGTCTCTCCTGTGGTCCCTGCGTCACGGTTCAGATCTAAAACGGCCTTTGCATCCTTTCTCTCTGACATCTCAGTACCTACGACATCTTCCTGGTGGCAGGCACATGGGCTTGTCCTGGATTTGACCTTCAGCCTCTCTAGGGGGTGACCACCATCTCTCTGATAATACTGTCTATCTCCCCACCTGGGGGTTTTTGTAAGTCATATTGCAGGTTTTGACAGACCTCTTCTTTAGAAGTCCAGAGAGTAAATGTTTAGGCATTTGCAGGTCAAATAGTCTGTGTTGCAGCTGCTCATCTCTACCGCTGTAGCAGACAGTCCCCACAGATAGCGTGACAGTGAACACATGTGGCTGTATTCCAAGGAGCTTCATTATGGACGCTGGAATTGGAATATTTCTTGTAGTTTTCATGTACCACAAAATATTGTTGTCTCTTTTGATTTCCTTCTAATCATTTAAAACTGTGAGCTTAGCTCCTGGGCCGAGGTCTCCTGGTCTCAGCTGAGCAGCCTAGAGCTCAAGCTGCGCCTTTTCAAGCAGATCCTCCGAAATGTGTGAAATGCTCTCTGCTTTCTTCTGCAGAATGCGTTAGATATTTTTTTTTGAGAAAGGAGAGGGAGAGGCAGAGAGAGATGTTATTTCTAAGGACAAATGAAAATTGCTTGAATCCTTCGATAGGTGAAACAGAAGTACCTGGAGGTGGGCAGAACGATGAAAGAGTATGAAGACAGCAAGTACGAGCAGTGGAGGGAGATGACGGAGCAGCAGCTGCCCGTGCTCATGAAGAAGAGTCTGCTCACCAAGGTGCGTCTCCTGCGCCCTCGTCCCAGCTTCCACGGCCGGGCGAGAGGGGGGCGTGTGTCATTTTCCTGACACTCTTGAGGTTGACGAGCATTTCCAAAGTCAAAGACTGAGAGACGAGGAGAAGCAGACAGGAAAGAGATGGAGACAGCGCAATGTCACGGTCAGGAAATGCACTGGAGTTGGGCAAGTCCACTGACTCCTAGGGCAGTGGCTTCACTCTGAGCCTGTTTCTCCATCTGTAAAAATGAGTTGGATCCAGTGACATAAACGTACAAGGTATTAGTTGAACCATCTAGGAAATAGCTGACCATTGACCATCTTTAACCCGCAGGAAAATGCCACTTCCTAAGATGCATCCTTGTTCTTCCACTTGGGGCCTGGCACGCAGCGGGTGCCCATAAATAACTTCTAGCTGTGGGGGAGGAAAGACCAGCCTGGTAGGGTTAGGTCTTTAGTGTCTGAAATTCTGAAGGAGGGACCAAAGTGAGGGATAAGGGCCAGGTGGGCCTATGAGGAACTGGACGGCGCTGGTCCTATCAAAAGGGGCCACCGCTCTGGGCTCCAGCCCATTGTCATACATCATCGGCTTTTCCAAATTTTCAAGGGAAGCCAGAATTATGGACCTTTATATGCAGTTGCCCAATTTCAAAGGTGGGTGGCTAAATGGAATCCATACGTAGTTCACCAAACTATGTATTCTGATGGTTCCAGCCAGCTCCCGGTCTGTCAGGTCGGCATCAGGAGACCTGCGTTGGTCTTTTTCAGGTCCGCGTGGAACTTGGGTAGTGTTGGTCTGCCTGCTCGGACGGCCCTTCCACACTGACGGCATGTTCCTCCCACAGATCTCTACAGGCTCTGAGGATACCGTGAGCTCCGACAGGAACGTGACTTTTGCAATCAATTTTCCATTTATGCTCAAGGAGATTATTAATGAAACAAAGTACTTGGAACAGCTGGGATTTCCTGTCCCCGAATTAGCAAGGAATGTCGCTCTCCAGGAGGACAAATTTCTTAGGTAAAACGCTGCTTCTCTTAAATCAGCAGTGAATTTTTTGGTCTTGGGATGCCTTACACTTAACATTATTCAGAACCCCCTTCCCCAGAGCTTGCTTTTCTGTGGATTTTATAACTCCTGGTATTTACCAATAGAAATTAAAACTAAGAAACGTTTAAAATATATTATTTATTCATTTATCTAGAAATAACAATAACGAACTATTCCATGTTAATATAAATAGCATTTTTAATGAGAAGTAACCACTATATTCCAAAAAAGAAAGTGGGAAGAACGGCATCATTTTGCATTCCTGCAAATCCATCCAAGTTTTAGGCTGGTTCCTGGCGTTGTATAACCTCTCTCTAAGGCAGGTCGTTAGAGCTGTTTACCAGATGGACGCACTCCATTGTCCTTGCCTCATGGCACTGTCTTCCCTGGAACCCGCAGGTACACAGAGGGAATACAGAGCATGCTGGACCACTACCACGTGCTCGTGGGCACGCTGAATGCAGCCGAGACCGTCCTCCTCGATGATCACTCTCAGGAGTTAATGCGCGTATTTAGGTCTGGATATAAGAGGTTAAACTGGAACTCGCTAGGTAACACATGTCACCTGTTGCTGCCTTTTCAGTCTTTAAAGACTTTTAGTTGAACTACGATTTCTGAGTGTATATAGATCTGGTAAATACGTCTGGAGCAGTAGTAAAGTGCACTTTGTGGAGCTTAGACTCCCTCTCACGTTGGGAGTGGAGATGAGATGGAGGCCGTTTGACACCCTGCTGACCCAAAGCTTTCTTCTCCAGAGATGGAGACTGTCACTTTGTTTCTATAATTAAAATTTTAATTTTGAAATGAGTATGGGTTCACACGCAGTTATAGGAAGCAGTGTGGGGAGATCCTGGGCATCCTGAACCCCGTTCCCCACAATGCTGACTCACAAATCACAGCCCAGCACTGCCTAGGACACTTTCCAGACGCAGACTGTTTCCACCCCACTCCCCCTCACCTCTGACCTCGCCGCAACCCCTGGCCAGCCCTGACCTGTTCTCCATTTCTACACTTTGTCATTTCAAGAGTGTTCTATATTATGTCACCTTTTGGGGTTGCCTTTGTTGCTCCGCGTACCTCTGGAGGTGTCCCCAGACGCTCACTGGACTGCGGAGGTGGCTCCCTGCCAGGCCTCCCCGCGGCGGCCTGAGGGCTGGGCCGGCGCCCATCCCACAGCAGGAAGGCGCAGTCTAGCCCAGCTCACCCCCGTTGGCAGGGCTTCGGGGAGGTCACAGCTCTGTCCGCGGTGTTTGCTGGAGTAGAGCACGGCTGTCTAAGGGTTCTGTCTTTTTTTTTTTTTTTTATCCTCACCCGAGGACATTTTTCCAATTTTTTTTTTTTTTTTTTGGTACAGATAGAGTGGGAGGGAGAGAGAGGAAGAGAGAGAGAGAGAGAAACATCGATGTGAAGGGGACACATCGAGTGGCTGCCACCCGCACGACGAACCAGGGCCGGGGACAAACTGCAACCGAAGTACATGCCCTTAGCGGGAACCGAACCCGGGTCTCTCCGGACCGCAGGCCGACGCTCTAACCGCTGAGCCAAACAGGCCAGGGCTAAGGGTTCTGTCTTGCGAGGATGTCCCTTTCTGGCGCTTTGGCCAGAGAGAGCAGGCTTGTCTTGGGGCATATTATTAAAAAAAATTTTCTTTATTGATTTCAGAGAGAGAGGGAGAGAGAGAGAAACATCCATGAGAAAGAACATTGATTGGCCGCCTCCTGCACGCCCCCTACTGGGGATCGGGCCCACAACCTGGGCACGTGCCCTGACTGGAATCAAACCGGTGACCTCTTGGTGCAGTGTCGACACTCAACCACTGAGCCACACTGGCCGAACGGGCATATTTTTAAATGTGTGTCTGTGTGTCTGTCCCCATGGGTGTGCATGGGCCGCCAGCTACTCCAGCTCCAGGTCTGGGAGATCAGGGCAGGAGGACCGTCATCCCTCTGCCCTGAGGTCCTTACGGTGCCCCTGCTCTTGACCTTCAGACTCCCGTTTGCTTTACAGACGATCTGCAGGGCTTTGTTTAGCAGGAGGACTAAGGAGAGATCTGCCTCACTCCCTCCTCCCGGAGGCGGGCAGCCCTTCCTTCAGAAGTGACGAGGCCATTGGCTTTCCCTCTCCTCGCCTCCTGTTCCCCTTCTCTTGGCCCCAACTTTCCCTCCTTTCTCTGTCACGGTCTTCCTTTCTCTCTTCCCTTCTTCTTTATATGGAGAACGTGTGTTTGGATTGTGGGCTTCAGACCTAAACCTGCCCACAGCACTCAACCTCTCGAGGCTCAGTGTCCTCAGCTATGAAATGGGCATAATCATGTGCCCAGTTCCTAGGGTTGTTGGAAGGAATCGCCGACCGAGCATGCGTGCTCAGCCAGGTCTCCTCCCGCCTCCCTGCTGTTCGCTCGCCTAAGCAGCGGGGCAGGTGCGGGGAGGTTTCAGGCTGCCTGCAGTGAGAAGGCTGGAGGGCCAGGCCTTCCCTTCCTCCCCACGGCGCTCACCTGTGGTTACGCTGACATCTGAACAGGAGAAATGTGCCATTTGGTTGGTCCTGAGCACAGGGCTTCTTCTTCCCCAAGGGTGCTGGTGGCTCTTTGCCACGTCGCAGACCCGCTGGCAGGGAACACGCAGGGTCCTTCCAGGGGAAGGGCTGCCGTCTGGCTGACATCACAGACGGCACAGGGAGGGGTATGAAAGAAAGACCTGAAGGCCAAGTACCTTTCTTCCTTTGTTTCTCTTTCTCCCAAGGCATTGCTGACTACATCATTCGGTGCAAACAGGCCATTGGGAAATTCGAGTCCCTTGTCCATCAGATTCATAAGAATGCGGATGACATTTCCTCCAGGCTCACATTAATAGACTCCATAAATCTCTTTAAATATCCAGGACCTAAAAGTGATGAAGAACTCCCAGGTAGATCGGACATCTTGTTTCTTTGGAGGAATGAAAAACCTCTGTTGTGATTGAACTGATGTGTGTGTGTGTGTGTGCACATATTTATATTTAATAAATATTCATTTTGTGAATGGAATAAAACCATTCCTAACGATCTCACTCATTTATTTTTTTAAAGTATTTTTTATTGATTTTTTTTTTTTTGAGAGAGAGAGGGAGAGAGAAACATCGATGAGAGAGAACATCGACTGGCTGCCTTCTGCCCACTGGGGATTGGGCCCACAACCTGGGCATGTGCCCTGACTGGGACTCGAATCGGCAGCCTCCTGGTGCGGGGGTCAGTGCTCAACCACTGAGCCACACCGGCCGGACCGATCTCACTCATTTTAAAGTATCATCAGGAATACTTATGGGCTCACATTCACTTGTTCAAACCAAATATTTCAAGTGGTCTGAGATTCAGCAACAAGGAGCTGAGACCACTCAGCAAGCAGTTGAAGGAAAGCAAGGTTGCCCAGAGCCGGGGGCCGCCTGCTACGTGTGGTCTTCAGCAGCGTGATGGCGGCTCCACGCTCTTTCTTAGTTCTTGCTCAGGGTCCATCTCACTTCTCACGTGGACTTGTTTTCTGCTTCGGGTCAAGGTTAGAGGCTGCTTTTATATTTCCAAGATACACAGCTAATGTGTGGATTGCCTTTTGAGTAACTGTCCCCCCAGTGCTCAGGAAGGACTGTGACAGGTGGCCTCCTCTACAGGCGTGAAGGAGTTCTTTGAGCACATCGACCGAGAAAGGGCCAAAGACACGGACTACATGGTTAGGTGGTATCTCGCCATCGGGCCTCTGCTGACCAAAGTCGAGGGTCTGGTCATCCACACCAACACGGGCAAGGCCCCGAAGCTGGCCTCCTACTACGAGTACTGGGAGAATAGAATCTACGAGGTCTTAACAAAGCTCATCTTGAAGTAAGCTCGTCCGGGTGCTTGGTTTGAAGACCATGCATGTAGAATACGGTAGCTGACATATGTGACTAGGTAAAGGGGGCTGCAGGGACAGAATAAACCCAGCTGGACAGTAGTGCTGCTTTCTGGCTGGAGGGTGGAGGGATGGCTTTCCGTTTGGCTCCTGTTCTTGTCAGGCTCCTCAACATTCAGATAGGAACTCGTCCCTCTGCTCCCTCCTGCCGTCCGGGAGACATACTGGCTGTGTTCTCTGGGCAACAGAATTGTTGTCTCAGGATTCATAGAAGTCCCAGGTGAGTCTCTCGCCTCTATCGAGAGAGGCTGACTCGGAGAACATGTGATCCATTCACGTTTCCTGTGAATGGTCTAAAGGGAGTCTCTGGCTAGGAGAGCGTCACATACTCTTGGAATACCTGTGGCATGGGCCAGCCTCACACACGGCAGAGGCTGTTCCTTCCCTCCTGGAGCTCACAGCCCACAGCCCAGGAGATCACAGCTCACAGCCCACAGCCCACAGCCCAGGAGATCACAACTCACAGCCCAGGAGATCACAGCTCACAGCTCACAGCTCACAGCCCAGGAGATCACAGCTCACAGCCCACAGATCACAGCTCACAGCCCACAGCCCACAGCCCAGGAGATCACAGCTCATAGCTCACAGCCCACAGCTCACAGCTCACAGTCCGGCAGCTCACAGCCCACAGATCACAGCTCACAGCCCACATCCCGGCAGTTCACAGCTCACAGCCCACAGCTCACAGCCCACAGCCCGGCAGCTCACAGCCCACAGCTCACAGCTCACAGCCCGGCAGCTCACAGCTCACAGCCCACAGCTCACAGCCCACATCCCGGCAGTTCACAGCCCACAGCTCACAGCTCACAGTCCGGCAGCTCACAGCTCACAGCCCACAGCCCGGCAGCTCACAGCCCACAGCCCACAGCTCACAGCCCACAGCCCGGCAGCTCACAGCCCACAGCTCACAGCTCACAGCCCGGCAGCTCACAGCTTACACCCCACAGCCCGGCAGCTCACAGCTTATACCCCACAGTCTGGCAGCTCACAGCCCACAGCCTGGTAGCTCACAGCCTACAGCCCACAGTCTGGCAGCTCCGCCTGAGCAGCAGAGAGCTGAGTGCCCGGACTCCACGGCACTGGCAGAGGATCATTCTCGGAAACCAGCCCAGGAAGGACAGAGTCAGTGTGAAGACTATTTTTCCCGAACCAGAGTTGAACAGCTTTTGGAAGTCATCATTATTATTCAAATATTGCCCAACTAATAGATAGTTATTCCCCCCAAAGTTGAAATGAACTATTTGTAAAATTTAGGCCAAAAAAAGGTGTATGACAGAACTCACCCCGGAGTGCCCAGTGTAGGTCTGGAACATGTTCTTCCTCACAGCTTCTACATGGGACTTTGGTGACTGGTCACGTTCATCACTGGCGGAACATGTTTCACTCTAGCAAGCGCTGAGTCTTTTTTATTAATCCCTCTCAGGAATCTGCAGTCTTTCAATTCTTTAGTCCTGGGGAACGTTCCTTTGTTCCAAACGGAAACCATTCTGACCGCACCGGAGATCATCCTTCAGCCCAATTCAAATGAGATCGACAAAATGTGTGTCCAATGCGTCCGGAATTGCGTGGAGGTCACCAAGGTGAGGGCAGGGACGTCTGTTTCAGAGGGGACTGCTTTCTCAGGGTGGGGCCTTCCTGCTGCTGACAGCAAGTCGCCGAGGAGGTTGGAGCCCAGGTTCCGCTCTGTTCCTTGTCCAGACTGTTTCAGTCTCTTTCGGGCTCCTCGCCTGCAGATCTCTAAATGTTGGAGTATCCGAAGGCTCGAACCTGGCACCCCTTTCTTCTCTCCTTTCTCTTCTTTCTGCACAACCATGACCAGTCCTGTGTCTTTGATCCAGCCCCCCGTAAACAAACCTTCATGCCTAAGTGATTTAACATGGCTTATCCATGCCAACGCTTTGAGCATCAGGGTTCGTTTCATGGCTGAAACCAAAACGAGCCAGTTTTAAACTAGGATCTTCATGCCCTTATCTGTTGAGTGGAAATGGAACATCCCACTTTTTGGAGGTGTTGGGAGGGTTCAACAATGTAACACGTGGAGGGAGCTTTGCAAGTCGCTTGGCCTTGAGTAGCTCTTAGTACATGCTATCGTTACATTGGTAGCAGTATCAGTGAATTAGTAGTGTTGTTCCCACCTTACAGAGAAGTTCTCTGTGTCACACACCCATGGTTTGCTGTTGTGAACCAGGCTTGATGAGAAGTGGGAGGGAGCCTTGGCTAGGTAGCAGGGACTTGTCAATTCAATGGATTTGCTCTGGGACATGGGGGGTGGGAGGGGTGTCAGTTAACTGACTTATTATTTCTTCATTTGTCAATAAGAAAAGCAGTGTTTTATTCATCTGTCCTATAGGAGGTGGATGGCTATTGTTATATAAAAAATTAGCTTTGTTTGCATAAGAAGCCACTCCGAATCTTAAAATGATTACTATTTACTTAGCTCAGGGTTCTGCAGGCTCCATTGGGCTGAGCCTTCTTCTGTCTCAGCTCTGCTCACTCCCATGCCTGGTTGGCTGGCTGTTGCCCGGGGCACCTGGCCCTCTGTGTGTGGCTTATTGCCATCGAGTACACTAGCTCAGTCTTGGCAAGAGCAGGAGAGCGGAAGCTGCACAGCTGCCCGAGTCCTGGGCTTGGAATTTGCACCAACCACTTCCAGCCCTCCTGTGGTCAAGTCACAGGCTAGCCCGGGTGGGAAAAACAAAGAATTGTGGTCCTTTTTGCAACTGAGCACAGTTTATTAATAAGAAAGTGATTTTTTCACTACTAGCAAGAACTATTACTGAATACTGATATATACATAGGAAGCAAAATTGATACTAAAGTACTGTTTCTTTCCTCCTTTCTTTTTTTGCCAGAATTTTGTTCGATGGATGAATGGCAGCTGCATCGAATGCCCTCCTCAGAAGGGGGAGGAAGAGGAAGTTGTCACAATAAGCTTCTACAATGATATTTCCCTGAACCCTCAGATAATCGAACAAGCTGTTCTGATCCCCCAAAATGTCCATAGGCTTCTGGTCAATCTCATGAAGTACCTGCAGAAATGGAAGAAGTATCGTCCCCTCTGGAAATTGGACAAAGCCATTGTGATGGAGAAATTCGCCGCCAAGAAACCTCCTTGCGTGGCTTACGATGAGAAGCTGCAGTTCTACTCCAAGGTCGCCAGCGAAGTGATGAACCACCCTCTAGTCAAGGACGAGCACTGCATCCGGCTGCAGCTCGGGCCCCTGGCCAGCACCGTGCAGGAGAACGCCAAGTCCTGGGTGGCTTCGCTGGGAAAGCTGCTCAGTGAGTCAGCCAAGGAGGAGCTGCATAACCTTCATGAAGAGATGGAGGTAGTGGGCCACTGGGTTTCACTACAGCTGCTTCTCACGGAAGTCTTCATTTGGTACCATTGGTTTTGCATGTGTGTTTAGTGTCATTCAAACTTCCTTTTATAGAACCTGGCCAAAAACCTGAGGAAGAGCCCCAACACCCTTGAGGATCTCAAGTTTGTCCTCGCAACGATTGCAGAAATCAGAAGTAAATCTCTGCTCATGGAGCTGAGATACCGGGACGTCCAGGAGCGGTACCGCACCATGATGATGTATAACCTCCATGTGAGCAAGCGTCTGCTTCCCCAGCGCCTTACCGGGCTGAACGCCAAGACCTCTGCAGGAGCACTCCCCAGACACGCTGCCGTAGATTCGTGTCTGCTCTGTGTGGCACAACTTAAGTGTAAAGCAAACCCACACTTATATGGAATAATGAAAATTTAGAGTCTATTTCTTTTTTTTTTTTTTTTTTTTTATCCTCACCCGAGGACATTTTTCCATTTTTTGTTCAGGTAGAGTAGGAGGGGGAGAGAGGAACAGAGAGAGAGAGAAACATCGACGTGAAGGGACACATCGAGTGGCTGCCACCCGCACGACTGACCAGAGCCGGGGACAAACTGCAACCGAGGCACATGCCCTTAGCGGGAACCAAACCCGGGTCTCTCGGGACCGCAGGCCGACGCTCTAACCGCTGAGCCAAACCGGCCAGGGCTAGAGTCTGTTTCTTGATCGTGCACGCTCAGATAATATCTTTTGTAGAGCGGTCCGTGACTGCGCACCATTTCAGGCTCCCTCTTTTGTTGTTGTGGTTTTTGGTGTTAATTATTTTTAATAAGTAAAGGACTCTGCAAAATGATAAGGGGAGACAGACGGCACAAGTGGGTGCAATAGCAAGCTAACATCACTGTTTTCATCCGAGATTAACTTGCTTTGAGGCTGGGTGTTAGTTCATGAAGGGCTTATCTCTCTCTCCATCTGTGTTAACTATTTATGTATTTATTAATTTAATTTAGTTAATTAATTTTTTAATCCTCACCCGAGGATATTTTTACATTTATCTTCGGACAGAGTGGGAGGGAGAGAGAGAGAAGCATTGATGTGAGAGAGAAACATTGATGTGAGAGAGACACATCAACTGGTTGCCACCTGCATGACCCCAACAGAGACCGGGGACGAACTGCAACCGAGGTACATGCTGTTGGTCGGAATCGAACCCGGGACTCTTTGGTCCGCAGGCCAATGCTCCAACCTCTGAGCCAAACCGGGCGGGGCTTAACTATTTATTTTTAAGAATTAGTTTACCCAGATTTTATTTTAATGATAGAAATATAAATTTGAATACAAGCATACTTTTTATTGTTCAACCAGCTGTTTTGCTGGTTCAAACCACTTAGCCTGTCATGACTGAGCAGAAGTCCCCGGGCAGTAGCTTTGACCAGACATTTCACTTCCGAACTGCTGACCGTTTATTGTGTGTTCTGTTTGGTGGTGGTGGTTGTTGATTAGCCTTCCGCTGCAGAGAAGGAACTGGTGGACAAGATTGAGAGCATGTGGTTGGATCTGTTCAGCGATTCCATGAACGTGGAGCACAGTCTTGGCAGCATAAAGAAGACCTTCACGGAGGTACCTTTCAGATCTTTGCTTTCTGAGTGGAGACCTCGGAGAACGTCCACTGGGGCAGTGCATTTGCAACCCTGCTTTTGCAGATCACCCGAGGGGAGATGCTGAGCTACAAGCAGCAGATAGAGGACTTCGCAAACCGTTTCTACAGCGAAGGCCCTGGCTCTGTTGGAGAGGATCTGGACAGTGGTAGGGATATTCGTGCTGGTCTTCTCAGAGTGTCTGAGTGTTTTTCCTTTAAGGACTTTATGGGAAGATGGGATGGAGTGGTGGTTCTTAACCTGTCTGCACCCTGGGTTCACCTGGGGAATTTCAAAGAACCGCTGAAGGCAGGGGCCCAGGTCCAAATTGTGTGATTCCATGGTTCTGCAGGGTGGTCCAGTCACTCAGACGTCTCAGAGCTCCCGGGGTTCTGACGTCCGCCCCAGGCGGAGAGCACCGCGGGGAGGGAGGGTGCTGAGGAGGCAGGCATGTCTCACCCGAGGGGCTGGCAGAGGCTTCTGGCCCTTCGGTTTTAGTGGGGTCCAGGCGAGGTGAAGTCTGGTGACTGAATTTGTCTTCCCTGGTGGCCTCTGTGGGTGAAGTGATAGCTTATGTGCATCATTGATGATTTCTCATTCAATTTTGTGTGCCTTAGAATTGTCTGCATTTTTTCCCTACCTAATTGCTTACTTACTAGGAATAGAACTCTTGGCCACTTTTGAAAGAGAGCTAATGAAACATGAAAAGAACCGTCAGGAGCTGGCAAATGCTGAGAAACTTTTTGATCTTCCAATCACAATGTACCCAGAGCTGCTCAAAGTGCAAAAGGAAATGAGCGGGCTGAAGATGATTTATGAGCTTTACCGGGGCCTGAAGGTGAGCACCCCCAGGCTCCGTCTTGTCGAAGCGAGAGCAGGAACGACTTGGGCCCAGGGACTTTTTAAAAAAAATTTTTTTTCTTTATTGATTTTAGAGAGAGAGGAAGTGAGAGGGAGAGAGAGACAGAAACATCGGTAAGAGAAAACATCGATTGGCCGCCTCCTGCATGCCTCCCACTGGGGATCAGGCCCACAACCTGGGCATGTGTCCTGACTGGGAATCGAACTGGTGACCTCTTGGTGCAGGGTCGACGCTCAACCACTGAGCCACAGCAGTTGGGCCCAGGGACTTTGATGCCACCGTAATAAAGGGCCTGGGACAATTTCGTAGACACTTTCACTTTGGCTCTCGGGAAGACAGAAGGCAGGCGTTGTATGATCAATTGCATGCTGTTTAGGTGTAGAAACTCCAAGAAGTACTGTAAGTTCTTTCTAATTCACCTCTTGTTACATTTTTGCAAAAAAGAAAGTAATGACTCATGGAAGCCATCTCAAAATGATCTAAAACTGAGCATTTAATATCTTTTTTTTTTGTTCTCTACTTAATAGTACATTAGGCCAGCTTTCTATGTGTATTCTTGTATATGGTTTTCATGATCATTTTCTTTTTATTTATCTTTCTTGTTGAAAGTATTACAGATGTTCCTCCTTTCCCTCCATTGACACCCTTGTCCCCACTGCTGTCCTCCTCGTCTCCCACACTGCTGTCTGTGTCCCCTGGTTGTGCACATATCATGTAAGCTCTTTGGTTTATCTCTTCCCACCCCCCCTCCCTCTGAGGTTAGTCAGTAGATATCTTTTTAAAAATATATGTTTTATTGATTTTTTTAGAGAGAGGAAGGGAAAGAGAGATAGAAACATCGATTGCCTCCTGCACACTCCCTACTGGGGATGGAGCCCACAACCCAGGCATGTGCCCTGACTGACAATTGAACTGGGACCTCTCAGTCCCTGGGACGGCACTCAGTCCACTGAGCCCCACTGGCTGGGCAGTTGATACCTTTTTCAGAAGACAAAAACAAAGAAGTGAAAAAATGTGAATACGTCATAATATCATTTACGCCTTGAATTACAACAATTATCATACATAGATTTCATCAATTAAGACAGTTTGTTATCAGACGTATTTCATGACTCGAAACAAGTCTGTCAAGCCCAGACACCAAGGTGGCACATGGGAACTATCTGACAGTAAACTTTACATGTTAAATCTCAGGAAAATGGAACACAAAAAGCCTTTTGTTGTGACGTTGACAAGATTTCCTAGGCTGTCCTTTGTAACCTTGGCTTCTTTTATCAGGAAAGAGAAGCGTGTTAGGACAGCACCTGCATGAAGTCCGCAGAGACCCACGTGACTCCTGGCTGATAAAACGCCCGTTTCTGACTCATACTCCTCACTTTTCTCCTAAGGAATGAGGGACATTTTTGGATCCCACAAACCCTCAGAGACAGCATTACTTAGGCTTGAAAAGTCGGAGTCCTTCTGTGTGTGTGCTGGAGTCTGCAGTCGGGCCTCCTTTGTGACTGGAGGGCGCTGTGGGTGGACGGGCGATGACGCAGCCACGGGGAACAGCTGCTCTCCCGCTCAGGGCGTCTTGCTGATGCGGCTTTCTGGTCCATTCCCAGGTGGCCAAAGAAGAATGGTCTCAGACGCTCTGGGTCAACCTGAACGTTCAGTTTCTGCAGGAAGGGATCGACGGTTTTCTCAGGTCCCTCAGGAAGTTCCCCCGGCACGTCCGGAACCTGGCGGTGGCTTACCATTTGGAAACAAAAATGAAGGCGTTTAAAGACTCCATCCCTCTCCTCCTTGACTTAAAGCACGAGGCGCTCAGGGACAGGTCTGTTTTGTCCTCTGCTGGCGACCATGGAGGCAGGGAGGGGCTCTGAGTTCAAGATTAGTCTTTGCCCGGAGCTGATGACCAAGAACAAGGTCTCGTGGCGACGCGGGCCTAGAAATAGGCAATATAACATTATTTTAATAATGTATGTTAAATTACATTATTAAATTTTCTATAAAATTTTCAGCCATAAGGTTCACCTGTTTCACACGAAAAGCAACCCTGTCAGGTGTGGTGTCCTTTGCAGTTGTTTCATCCCAAGGTTTTAAAAAAAGTAGAGGGGGGTGTCTGGGTCTCGTCATCCAGGAGGAACGTGCCCCAGGGACCATTTGGAATCCCTCGCAGCTGCTCTGAGAGGGGGGGAAACAGGTGCAGCTCATTCCAGCAGCACATTGTAGTCAGCCCGACACATGCAAAATGTTACCATTTTAATGTGCAGTCAGTGTGCAGCATGATTCGCCGGTTTACGTTCTTTTTCTTCTTTTTCTTTTTCTTTTTATCCTCACCTGAGGACATTTTTGCATTTATCTTCAGACAAAGCAGGAGGGAGAGAGGGAGGAAGAGAGAGAGAAACATCGATGTGGGAGAGAGACATTGACTGGTTGCCACCCACACAACCCCAACAGGGACTGGGGACGAACTGCAGCCGACGTAGGTGCCCTTTGTGGGAACTGAACCCAGGACTCTCTGGTCTGCAGGCTCATGCTCTAACTGCTGAGCCAAACCGGCCAGGGCAATGTTCTTAAAAAGACAGCACAGTCTGGGCATGTTTCTCACTTACAGCGTCTTTCAGTTTGGACTCGTCACATCAGGTGCTCAGTGACCACAGGTGACCTGTGGCTATTGATTGGACAGAGCAGGACCCACTGGTTTTTAATGGAATAGCCAGGTCGGGGGTGGCATGGAGGAGGATCGCCTCTCCTCTATGTTGCCATTTGGATGCAGCTCCACACAGACAGGAGTCGGTAGGAATCTGAGTTGCCTTCTCCCTGAAGTGCCCCTTTGTCCCTCTGTCCTGCTGCCCAGTGTGGGCGGAGTCACACGGCATCAGTGACTACTTGAGCTCCCACAGCCCCTGAGCACATCAACGGGCATCTTTGCTAGACGTTTCCTGGGTTACTTCGGGCAGCCCGTGGGTTCTGGGACACGTCGGCAGCATAGCTCCAGTGCTGTCCTCACATCTCGGAGTCCCACAGCGAGGTGTTTCTGTTGGGACTGCTCTGTGATTTCAGTGGGGACAGATGAGCCCACCGCTAAACCCCGGCAGCGCCAGCATCTAACGGTGCATTTTCAGGCACTGGAAGGAGCTGATGGAGAAAACAGGCGTGTTTTTTGAAATGACTGAGACGTTCACCTTGGAGAACATGTTTGCCATGGAGCTTCACAAGCACGCGGACGTCCTCAATGAGATTGTGACGGCGGCGGTCAAGGAGATCGCCATCGAGAAGGTGCTGTTCTGGCCAGGACAGCCCGGGGGACAGGGGCGGTGGTGTCGCTCAGAGGGAACGGGTTTGCTTTGCCCCCTGCTGTGTTTGAACGACAGAGAACTGTTCTAGAAGAATTTCAGCCTCTGTTAAAATTTTTATTGTCTTTCATCATTGTTTCACTATTTGTCTATTTATTAAAGAAATAATGGATGGTAGAAAATAATGGTAGAAAACTGAGAAAATGAACAAATTACTCAAAATTTCACCACCTGAACATTTTTAACATTTTAGCGTATATCCTTTGACTCTTAAAAGTGCACATTTACATGTATACAAACATGTACACACATGCAAACACATGCATACATGCATGGGCACACACGCATGGATGTACAGACACATGGTAGTACATATATACAGATACACATACATACACACATAATATACACACACATTTTTATAGACATACACAAATATTGATACGGTGTTTTTGGAAAATAATCATAAATAGGCATAGTATTTTATAACTTGACTTTTTTGCTTAGCAGTGAACACGGGCAGGATTTTGTGAGGATGCAGACTGGAGGCAGCCTGGGGGATTTAGACCCCGGTTCTGGCATTCAGGGGCTGAGTAAACTGGGCAAGCTGCTCCACCTATCAGAACTCCCCCTCCTGCCTCTGTCCACGTGGGTAGCAGTACGCCCCACCTTGCCCGCTGCTAGGAGGACTGGTGGCGATCACGGGTGAACTGCTCACTTGGTGCAGCGAGTCCCTGGTAACCAACGATTAACATCTCCATGGCAGAACCTCTGCTTATTCCGAAAACCGGCCCAGCCCCCAGGTTGAAGGGATGACCAAAGGCAGATTGGTTGGGGTTCTGGTTTTTCGATGTGTGTGCCTGAACCGTTCTTGCATCCCTTACATTCCTGTCCAGGCTGTGAAGGACATCCTGGACACCTGGGAAAGCATGAAGTTCACCGTGGTCAAGTACTACAAGGGCACCCAGGAGCGGGGCTACATCCTGGGGTCCGTCGATGAGATCATCCAATGCCTGGATGACAACACGTTCAACCTGCAGAGCATCTCGGGAAGCCGATTTGTGGGGCCCTTTCTGCAGACGGTTCACAAATGGGAAAAGACGCTGTCCCTCATAGGGGAAGTCATCGAGGTGAGAGCAGGACAGAGGAAAGGGGCTGAGCCCTTGTTAGTGGGAAGCGACCTCTCCAACTGCTAGGGAAGATACAGTATGGATTTTTCCTTTGTTAAAATTGCTTTAATTGACATGAAATTCACATAAAATGAACCGCTTTACAGCGTACAATCCAGAAGCATTTAGCACACTCACAATGTTGTGTGATCACCACCTCTGTCTAGTTGCAGAACATTCTCGTCATCTCAGAGGCAGATTCCGTGCCCGTTGAAAGCAGTCTTCCCGCTCCCGCCTCCCTGCATCCCCGGCGTCCCTCCGTCGGCTTCCTGTCTCTGAGGATGTCCCTGTTCTCGACATTGCCCATGAGCGCAGTCATACAGCATGTGGCCTTTCGTGGCTTCTTTCACACAGCACCGTTCTGGGGTTCATCCCAGCTGTGGCGTGTGTCAGCACTCCACTCCTTTTTGTGGCAGAACCACGTTCCACTGGTGGACGGACCACAGCCTGTTTATCTTTCATCTCTTGACGGACACTTTGTTGCCTCCACTTTTTGGCTGTTGTACATGGTGCTGCTGTGGACGTTTGTGCACGACTGTTTTAATTAGCGTCCCTGCTTTCCATCCCTCTGCATCTGACCTGGGCGTGGAGTTGGGGTCACACAGTGCTAGGCTTCGGTTTTGCTGGAGCTCTGCATGGTCTGCCCTTGCTCCCCTGTGTCGCAGGGCTCCAACCCTTTCGCACAGGGAGAAAGTTCCTCCCTGCCCCAGTGGGTGTGCAGAGTTTCCCTTTGCTTTTAAGCGTGGCCATGTATTTAAAAATACTTAGCTATGCGTCCTCCATTATCCTGTATATCTGGGAAGTCCCTTGAGGAGCCGATGTGAATCTGTCCCAGGTTGGGGCGCCCGTGCTGACGGTAACACTGTGCGTCTACAGATTTGGATGCTGGTCCAGAGAAAGTGGATGTACCTGGAAAGCATTTTTATTGGTGGAGATATCAGATCGCAGCTTCCAGAGGAGGCCAAGAAGTTTGACAACATCGACAAAGTATTTAAAAGGGCAAGTGACTGGCTTGTGCTGCAGTCCCGACGTGCTTTGAGTTGCTGATGCATTTTCATGTAGTATCCTGTCTGTCCGCAGCTTCTGAATTCTTTCTGTCGCCATCTGTGACCTTCACCTGCTCAGTAAAAATTTCTGTTTGCTCTATAGCTGCTGGCATGTGACACTTCGTAGTGTTTATTTATTTTTATGATAAAAGTATTACTTGCTATTTAAAAAAATCTGGACAATGTAGAGAAGTAGAAAAGATGTGTCTGCCACAGTTCTTCATAGTTCTGCCCCCTGAACGTGGCCACTTTATATCACATTTTAAAAATCTTTTTTTTCTATGTATATAGGTTTAGAAAACAATTGCAATGATATTTTCTGTAATTTTATATCTTATGATTTCTCTTAATATTAGGAGAACTATACTTCATATTATGAAACTGTCAGAAAATATTTTAATGCCTTTGTATACGTGAGTGGTTTGACATCAGTTTAGTTGATTGTTATCTAGTAACCAGACACCTTGTTTGACCCAAATTCTTTGCTTTCATAAATAATTTGCAGGTTCGTGCCTAATACTATTTCCCCATTTAGGATGAATATCTTACAGTATATTGTCAGAAAGCAAATTGCCCATGAAGAGGGCCCATTTTAAAGTCCTTTCCAGAGAGGGTGTGCCAGTCATCACTGTGGGGTGAGGGTTTTAGCCCAGCCCACCTGACTCAGGCCCAGTACTCTGCTGCTTAGTGATGCTGTTTATTCTTCTTGTATGGTGGTCAATTCACATTTGTGTCTTCTTTACCCATTAGAGGTATAATTTTTCCTTATCCATTTATATAAACTCCTTTAAAAAAAGTTAGAAGAAATTACAACACAAATTTTTATTTATCAAAGAAGGATTTAAAAATCATGAAAAAGCAAAATAAAAACAATAAAAAAGAGCCCTGGCCAGTGTGGCTCAGCGATTAGAGCATTGGCCCGCGGACCAGAGAGACCGGGGTTCAGTTCCTGCTAAGCATGTACCTCGGTTGCAGTTTGTCCCCGGCTCCGGTTGGGGTCATGTGGGTGGCAACCAGTCGATGTGTCTCTCTCACGTTGATGTTTTTCTCTCTGTCTCTCTTCCTCACTCTCTCCAACCTGCTCTATCTGAAGATAAATGCAAAAATGTCCTTGGGTGAGGGTAAAAACAAACAAACAAACAAAACCAATAAAAAATAAAAGGAAAAAAGTGCCGGCAACCCCATGTCCAACATAGCCATTTGAATAATTTAACATATATTTTTCCAGGATTTGCTTATTCCTGTGTAAACATAGAAATAGAAATCAGACCATTAAAAAAAAAAGACAGTGATTGGTTATTTGTAACATCTTTGATGTGTATTTCATGAAATAAACAGCTAATCATCTAATTAAATCATCATCACAGCAAATGATTGACCTGATTTCTTTATTATTGAACATTTAGGCTATTTCCTTTTTTTTTTTTTAACATTATAAAGAGTGCTGCGGTCAGTATTCTGCTCCACACCAATAGTTCAAATTGGAGTTGCTGGCTTGATTCATTCAGCAAATGGTGATTGAGGGCCTACTATGTACAGTCACTACTGTCAGTAAAAGAGAGAAAAATCTCTAACCTGGCAGCTGACATCGGAAGGAAGCAGATTAAATACAGCATGTTAGAAGGTGCTAAGGATATGCTAATTTAAACATTTAATGGCTTTTGCCAGATAGGCTTCCCCAAATACGGTGGTTCCTGGGGTGTGTCTGCTGCCCTGGCCTGACCGCTGTCCTCTTGACCTTGTCCAGATCATGGCCGAGACCTTGAAAGACCCCGTGATTAAGAAGTGCTGCGAGGCCCCAAACCGCCTCAGCGATCTGCAGAACATCAGCGAGGGCTTTGAGAAGTGTCAGAAGAGCCTGAACGACTACTTGGACTCCAAGAGGAACGCCTTCCCCAGGTTCTTCTTCATCTCCGACGACGAGCTGCTCAGCATCCTGGGGAGCAGCGACCCCCTCTGCGTCCAGGAGCACATGATCAAGGTCGGCCCAGGGTCTCGGGGGGGGGTGTGTCCCTGTGTAGGCCCTGGGACTGCGGTTTCCTTCACCCAAGTTCTCTCCACACTGTAGTTCGACCCAGGGGTTTAAGACGGAAATGCTGCTGGGATTTTATTTGAAGCATAAATCTGATAAAACCCACTCTCATTGAAATGACACCATGGCCCTGGCTGGTTTGGCTCAGCGGTTAGAGCGGCGGCCTGCGGTCCAGAGAGACCCGGGTTCGGTTCCTGCTAGGGGCACGTGCCTCGGTTGCAGTTTGTCCCCGGACCTGGTTGGTCATGTGGGTGGCAGCCACTCAATGTGTCCCTTTCACGTCGATGTTTCTTTCTCTCCCTCCCTCCTTCCCTCTCTCCTTCCCTCCCATTCTATATGAAAAAAAAAGGAAAAATGTCCTCGGGTGAGGATAAAAAAAAAAAAGAAATGATACCATGATTCAGCTGCTTTATGCTGTTCTTTTTCCACAGTCCAATACCACAGTTTTTGAGAAACTAAAAAAAAAAAAAAAAATCCCCCAGAAACACACACAGACTAATGTAATAAGCAGAGAGGCAATATAGGATAGTTCTTTAGCCCATGGACTCTAGAGCCATAATGCCTGGGTTCAAATCCTGGTTCTACACGGGTTTACTGTGTGATTTTTGACAAGTAACCTCTTTGGGCATCAGTTTCTGTTTTAATCTGTAAATGGAGATAACCCCAATAGTTACCACTTTAGTGGGATTGTTACAAAGATTAAATTAGTTAAGTACTTAGATCAGTGCCTGCCTTACCCACCACCCAGAATTGACACGTGTTTACTATTTAATCAGTTACTTTGTCTCTTTAAAAAAAATTAAAGTCGCACAGTCAAAGTTGACAAACCCTCTTTTTCCCACCCCCATTCACAGTTCTTCCTTCACTTTCGAGACGCAGCCACTATCCTGAGTTTGCTGTGATTCCTTTTGGCCCATGTTTTCATACTGCCGTATAAACGTGTGTGTATTGTAAACAACATTGATGGCGGGAAGCACAACAGAAAACGATCTCTTGTGATAGGGAACCAGAGGATGGCCGGAAACAGTCTCTGGTCAGCTGATCAGAGCTCTGCATTTAATATCAGCCTAGGGCAGGGTTCTCAGCCTGGCCTCTGCTGACGTTCGGGCAGATGATTCTTTGCTGTGTGTGCGTGTGCTGTGCACCCGGGGCTGAGGGAGAATGTCCTGGGCACTGGAGGGTGTTCAGCAGCATCCCTCGCCTCTACCCACCAGACACCAGGAGCATCCCTCTTCAGTCATGACAACCAAGAATGGCTCCAGCCCTGGCCGGTTTTGCTCAGTGGTTAGGGGCTCTCGGGTTCAATTTCATTTAAGGGCATGTACCTGGGTTGCAGGTTCGATCCTTAGCCCCAGTCAGGGTCGTGCAGGAGGCATCGAGTTGATGTGTCTCTCTCACATCGATGTTTCTCTTCTCCCCCTCTTCCACTCACTCTAAAGATCAATGTAAAAATATCCTCAGGTGAGGAGTGACAACAGCACCCCCCCTCCACACACTGCCCACTGTCCCCTCGGGGCATCATCGGGGCTTGAACCGGTACTGAAGAGTAATTTCTTTATTCCAAATAAAGGGCCACGTCCTCTACTCCATGCTTCCTCCTTAATTAGTGTTGATTTTCTTCTTAAAGTAGGATGCCGAGTTTTGATTGCATGTTTTCCTCTCTCTCAGGGGAGGCTTATATTTTGCTTCCACTTTTATAAACAACGTTTTACTGCTCTGGAAAACTGTGTTGTTAGCGGTGCTTCATTTGCTGGTAGCCCCTTTTGCAGACCCGTGACTTTACTCTTCAATGCCTGTTGCCTTTTCTTCCTCCTCTCGGGTTTGCAGAATGCCTTGTGGTGTGTATTGGCCTAAGAGATTCATTTCCCGGAACATCATTCGGATTAATAACAATGATGATAGCCAACCAATGGCATGTTTGATGTGCCAGCATTTCGCGCGCTGTTGGATTTGGTCCTTCCAGCCTCTTCCATAAGGGCCTGTCTGCGGCTATTCCGGGCTGCGAGAGGAGCAGCCTGCCTGTGTTACCCAGCTGGACGGTGGGGAGGGCTCAGCACAGGTCTCTTTCTTCAGCCCTCGGTCCTGTGACCCCAGGCTCTCCCTCTCCTGTGTTCAGCTGGCCCCTGTGTCCAGACACACTCCAGAATCTCAAGTGTGGGGAGGGAGTCGGTCTTCTTTTCCTTTCTTTCTTTCTTTCTAAGCCACCACAGGCCTCTGCACTGTGCAGGACAAATGGAAGCACCCAGGGTATGTGTCTTTGTCTGCGAACAAACATTCGCTCCGTGTGCCTCCTGGTTGCTGTAGGGTGACGAGCGTGAAGGCTGCGCTTTGGTTCCAGAGCTAGTGACAATGCCACAGGGTGACCTCTCCCGCTGTGTTACAGATGTTTGACAACATAGCGTCGCTGAGGTTCCATGACGCGGACAGTGGAGAAAAGCTCGTGTCCGCCATGGTTTCAGCAGAAGGGGAGGTCATGGAGTTCCGGAAGACGGTGCGGGCTGAGGGGCGCGTGGAGGACTGGATGACGGCGGTTTTGAATGAAATGCGGAGAACCAACCGGCTGATCACCAAAGAGGCTATTTTTAGATACTGTGAAGACAGAACCAGGTAAGGTCGTACATGTGCGTGTGTGTTACTTCCTCCTGTTAATATTCATGATGGGTTAACTTCAAGGCTTTGGGGTAGATTGACGTTCCAAGTGAGATTCTCTTTTCTTGCAGTATCTGTCTTTAAAGGACAGCACTTCTCAACATGTGGTCTCTGGACTGGCAGCATCAGGCCCCCGGGAGCTTGTTAGAAATGCATATTCCTGGGCCCTGCCCCAAACCTGCCCCATTAGAAACTCTGCGGTTGGGGCCCAGGGATGTGCATTTTCTAAAATGGGATTCTGAGCACAGTCAAGTATGAGAACCGCTCACCTAGTGGTTCAACAGAAACCTGGTGTGAGTGGGGTTGGTTCTGTGAATAGCTTGATGGGTCACGTCACTGCTGAAATATGTGATGACTTTCCATCACTCCTTGACTCCTGTGCCTGCGAGGCTTGCGGGCGCTGAGCGTGCCTGACCCAGTGCTGAGCAGGCTGCTTGCAGGTGCAGGCGAGCGGGGGACATCAGAGCCTTCGGCAGCTCGTGCTGACCGACGGCGCGGGACGCGCAGGAACGCGGCCGTGCACTGGGCAGGGCCCTCGTGCAGACACAAGCTCCTCATTACTCTTACGAGAACACTCTTCTCTTGGTTTTTGAAAAGAATTTTTAAAAAATATGTTTTTGGCCCTGGCCAGTTTGGCCCAGCGGTTAGAGCATCGGCCTGCGGTCCGGAGAGACCCGGATTCGGTTCCCGCTAAGGGCACGTACCCCGGTTGCAGTTTGTCCCCGGCCTTGGTTGGTCGTGCGGGTGGCAGCCACTCGATGTGTCCCTTCACGTCGATGTTTCTCTCTCTCTCTCCCTCCCACTCTATCTGTACAAAAAATGGAAAAATATCCTCGGGTGAGGATAAAAAAAATGGCAGGCATTGCCTGGCCGGTGTGGCTCACTGGTTGAGCGTCGACCCTGCACCTAGAGGTGGCCGGTTCGATTCCCTGTCAGGGCACATGCCCAGGTTGTAGGCCCAATCCCCAGTGGGGGGTGTGCAGGAGATGGCCAGTCCATGTTCTCTCTCATCGATGTTTCTATCTCTTCCTTTCCCTTCCTCTCTCTCCAAAAGCAATAAAGAAAGAAAAAAAATTAAAAAAAAATGTTTTTAAAAATATGTTTTTATTGATTTTTTGTTTTAGAGAGAGAGGAAGGGAGAGATAAAAACATCGATGTGAGAGATACATTGATTTGCTGCCTCCTGCACACCCCCTGCTGGGGATCTAGCCCAAAACCCCAGGCATGTGCCCCGACCAGGAATTGAACAGGACCTCTCAGTCCGTGGGACGGCACTCAGTCCACGGAGCCATAGCGGCGGGGCGGTGTTTGTGTGGCAGAAGGACGGGAAGCAGCTTGCGGAGACATCAGCGAAGTGATGTGGGGGGACACGGTGGTCCTCCCGTGCTCTGAAATGTTCTGCAGCTTTGATGGAGACTGGGTTCGACCGATGCCCATGGGCCCAGAGGCCGGCCCATGGACATCACTAAATGAGAAAGGCAGGCGCAGAGTGACCCGCACTGTGCGATGCCATGTCTGGGGGAACGACGGGCCGGGCTCTGGGCCCACGTGTGTGTTACTGCCCAGGTTGGCCGAGGGTGGGAACAGGCAGCGAGTGCTGTCCAGGGAGCTGCGACCAGGGCGCCGGGCCGTGCAGCCGCAGGTCAGCGCACTCTCCGCTGGCGTCGAAGGCGTCGAAGGCGTCGAAGGCGCTGTGCGGTTCCGAGGCCCTACTGAGACGCACTGTGAGAGCGGGCTGCACCCGCGCACCTGCTCCTCTGCGCCGGGCTGGGATTCTGCTGTCTCGCCACAAGGCTCCACCATCACGCGCTTTCCCGAAGCTTCACTTTGCCTGCCCTATTCCAGATCAAGAAAAAGAAGTCTGCACGGGCCCTTTCCAGGGCCTGCAACAACCATAACGGTGTGTTTTCCTTGTAGAGTCGATTGGATGCTCCTGTACCAGGGGATGGTGGTGCTGGCTGCCTGCCAGGTGTGGTGGGCCTGGGAGGTGGAAGATGTCTTCCGAAAAGTGCAGGCGGGGGAGAAGCAGGCCATGAAGGGCTATGGCCGGAAGCTGCACCGGCAGATCGAGGAGCTGGTCACGCGGATCACCATGCCCTTGACCAAAAACGACCGGAAGAAGTACAACACTGTGCTCATCATCGACGTGCATGCCAGGGACATAGTGGACGCCTTCATAAGGAGCAAGTGAGGGCCTCCCGGGGCGCTGGGTCTCCAGACATGTCCTTTATCGTCCTCAGCCTCTCTCACCTTTCTCCTGCGCCCTTCATGCCCGCCTCCTCCCCTGCCACGTCTGTCTCCCTCTTCACTCGCCTGCTCGCCTTGCCTCCCAGCATCGTCGAGGCCCGGGAGTTCGAATGGGAGAGTCAGCTGCGCTTCTACTGGGACCGAGAACCCGATGAACTGAACATTCGTCAGTGCACGGGGGCCTTTGGCTACGGCTACGAGTACATGGGGTTGAATGGGCGGCTGGTCATCACTCCGCTCACCGACCGGATTTACCTGACGCTGACGCAGGTGCGTGCCCTCAGCCTCGGGGTTCTTTACCTGCGGCCCTGTGTTTCTCCTAAGCCTGACTGCAGTTATTGTGATAGTGGACTGTGCTGATAGTGTATCGTGATGCTGTACTATTCCCCCAAATGCATATCCATGGGAACCTCAGGATGTGGCCTTACTTAGAAATAGGGACTCTGTGGATTTACTTACTGAGGATTGGGACGAACGTCCTGGATTCAGGCCCTTGTGGGAAGAGGGGAGACCAGGCACAGGGAAGATGATGTGAAGGTGGAGGCAGGGACTGGACTGGTGGGGCCATGAGCAAGGAGTGCTCGGTGTCCCCAGGGGCAGAGGAAGATCCTTCCTGGCCCGGCCGGTGCGGCTCCGTGGCTGAGCGTCGACCCTGCACCGAGAGGTCGCCGGCTCCATTCCCGGTTGTGGGCCCGATCCCCAGTGGGGACAGGCAGGAGGCAGCCAATCCGTGTTCTCTCTCACTGATGTTTCTCTCTCTTTCTCTCTCACTCTTCCTTCCTCTCTCTCTTAAAAAAAAAAAAAAAAAATTTAAAAAGGAAAGATCCTTCCTAGAGCCTATGGAGGGAGTGTGGTCCTGCCGACGCCTGGCTGCAGACACCTGGCCTCCAGAACTGTGCCCAGACACATTCCTGTTGTTTAAACCACCCAGAGTGTGGAAACCTGTATGCCAGCCCCGGGAAGCTGATGCCAGTAGTAAAGGGTGTCCTTGTTTACAAATCTGCCAGGAGTTTCAGTTTGGAGCATGACCTGCTTGCTACCTTTTGAGATTGGGCTGTTGCAAGATCACGTTCAGTAATTTGCTACAAGGGCGCAGAGCACTCAGTCAAGCCATTGAGGTCACGGTTATGATTTATTCTAGCAACAGGACCCAGGTCAAAGGCGCAGGACAGGGCCGGAGAGCCGGGCTCCTGTGAGCCTCAGGCCCCTCCCTGTGCAGCTGTGCAGACAGCAGTTCCTTGCAGCAGCTGCGGCTGGCAGCACGTGGGAAGCAGTGCCACCCCGTGAGGCTCAGCTGAGCCCTGCGCCCAGGGTTTTAACTGGGACTGGTTGTGTACACACGACTGACCACGCGACAGCAGACCTTCGCCCCCAGCATCCCAGAAAGTCGGGCTGATGACGTGGCCCAAGGCCCCACCATCAGTCACATTTAGACGGTCCCATGTGGTCCAAGGTCCCAGATGAACAAGGACACTCTTCCTCAGCAGGACATTCCAAGGGCTTAGAGGTCAGGTCCTAGGATCTGGAGACAAAAGCCAAGCCTTTTTGGGGCAGAAATTACTACTTTACTGCACAGATGTACACGTGTCCCTGAGCCTCAGGGTAGGCATGGCCTCAGCATGTCACTTTGTCCCTGGTGCTCTGGTCCCCATATAATGGGCAGAGGGGTCAGCAGAGGTCAGTGGAAAAACAGAAATGTTAGGAATGGTGACTGTCAGAAAAGGTGAGTGAACTTGTCCATTGGCGTATATGTGGGTAATGATATCTGCTTCCTTACACGAGTCAGGCCACATGTGTTTTGCATTTGGCTTCTAACAGGCACTGTCCATGTATCTGGGTGGGGCCCCCGCGGGCCCAGCAGGCACCGGCAAAACCGAGACCACCAAGGACCTGGCCAAAGCCTTGGGCTTGCTCTGTGTTGTAACCAACTGCGGCGAAGGCATGGATTACAAAGTAAGGCCGTGGCGTCCCCCTGGTGCCACCTCCTTGGGCGGAGCGTGTGGGTGGCGCAGCGGCAGGCACTCGCCACGTGCTTCCATGCAGCAACGTGGGGACGAGGGAGAGGGGACCCTGTCACCTCCACTCTCGGGGCGCACTGTGCGCTGTGGCAGCAGATGTAGAGCAGGAGACCCGGACGTCACTGCCCACCAGGGTCGGGTAGTAGGAGTGAAGTGCTGCCGGCAGCGCGCTGAGGACGCGGCCCGCTGAGGGCGCTGCTTGGTCTGGGCCGCTGTTCCGCTTTGGTGGTTGTTGCCACTTGGAAAAGTAGACCAGTGTCGTTAGGTTTTCCAGTATTTCAAGAAAACCCCAGAAATCTGGAGTTTTCCATCAAAATTCTTAATTTACAAAATCCTACGAGTGGGCGCTGGCCCATGAGAGGTCTTTGGAAGTCTCGCCAGAAGGCTCCATTAGGCCCTGGCCGGTTTGGCTCAGCGGTTGGAGCGTCGGCCTGCGGTCCAGAGAGACCCGGGTTCAGTTCCTGTTAAGGGCACGTACCTCGGTTGCAGTTTGTCCCGGCCCTGGTTGGGTCGTGCGGGTGGCAGCCACTTGATGTGTCTCTCTCTCATCGATATTTCTCTCTCTCTCTCGCTCCTTCTCTCCCTCCCTCCCACTCTATTTGAACAAAAAATGGAAAAATGTCCTCAGGTGAGGATAAAAAAAAAAGAAAGATTCATTAGTGAGGCGGCTGGCTGGCTGCTTCCCTGCCCATCTGAGGATTGTTTGCTTTATTTTAGAAAATTTCTCCATCAGTGTGTCACTTGCAGTTTTAAAGATGAAAATTGCCCTCATCCTGACATTTCTTCTGTTCTAGGCCGTCGGGAAGATTTTCTCTGGCCTGGCGCAGTGTGGGGCCTGGGGCTGCTTTGATGAGTTTAATCGAATCGATGCCTCTGTGCTGTCGGTCATCTCGTCTCAGATTCAGACCATCCGCAACGCTCTGATCCATCAGCTCACCACGTTCCAGGTGAGGCGCCGCTGCTGCCCCGCCCGTCACTGCGGCCCCGCCCGTCACGTGCCAGGAGGGCCGCTTGCCCGGGGCCTCTGAAACATCAGACGGGGATCCTTCCAGCCCAGGCTGTGTGTTCAAGGGCAGGCCTGCCTATCATCTCCAGAGGGTGATCTGGGACTCACATGGGATATTGGGGGGTGGGGTGTCAGTGCAGACACCTCTGTTTTGGGGGTGCATCAGCTATCTATGTGCTGGACTGCCCTGTTGTCCCGGAGGCAGCCTGTGCCCATGAAGATAGCAGTTCTGTGTTCGGTGTGGCTGGTAGCCCCTGGACGAGCAGTAGTGGAGTCTCAGCAGAGAGCAAGGCTGAGACGGCCACACGCTAGAGACCGAAGGCAGGACATCTTGTCTGCGGTTTGTTGGGACTGGTCCCTGGAGGGGGAAGGCCGGTGTCTGAGGGGCTGCGGCGGGCTTCTGTGGGGAGAGTTGCCCACGTTGTGTCCAGGCACCCAGGTGGGTGGAGCTGGGGTGGGGAGAGTGACAGCTCCCGTGAGCGGGTGGCCCCACAGGGGCTCCGCAGCCTTGCCGAAAAGGGAGTGGCACTCAGAGAGGTTTGGTGACCTGTTGGGAATCACACAGCACCTCGAATTAGCCCCAGGCTGCTCTCTTTGCCCCCATCAGAGACTTCTCAAGTGGAGAGACCCTTGATTCGGATCAGGCTGAGGGCCAGCTGAGGCTTGTCCCCCAGAACTCCGGCCACAGCGCCAGGCCTGCTGTGTGCCCGTGGAAACAGCCTCGTGGCTCTGCAAGCCTCCCCCCCCCCCATCTGACCTCCCTCCCCCGTCACCCTTCAGTTTGAAGGGCAGGAGATCTCGCTGGACCCACGAATGGGCATCTTCATCACCATGAACCCCGGCTACGCGGGCCGCACGGAGCTGCCGGAGTCGGTGAAGGCGCTCTTCCGGCCCGTGGTGGTGATCGTGCCCGACATGCAGCAGATCTGCGAGATCATGCTCTTCTCCGAGGGCTTTCTCTGGGCCAAGGTGAGCCGCGCCTTGCCCGCCCTGCCCGGGAGGGTGCCCGGTCCCGCCCTGGGGTCCCCGCCCTGCCTCGATCCCACCCGGGGCTCGGGACGTTTCTGTTCCGTGCGGCTTTTACACGGTTTCTTCTTTGTCTCTCTCTCCTCCCTCTCGTTTTAAAATTTTAATTTCTACTTGGTAATAATTTGACTCATAAGAAGTGGCAACAATGGTATAGAGTTGGCACGTATCCCTTACCTAGAGTCCCCCAAAGACAACACGCTCACATCTCACACGGGCTGCAGCACATTGTCAGGGTCAGGAAACGACGCGGCACATGCCATTGCCTGGGTGCAGACTTGGGCTCCCCAGGTTTCAGTTCTCCCTGGGGGTGTGAGAAGTTCTGTGATGCTTTGTCCTGTGTGCAGAGTATCCAGTGCCACAGTCAGGGTGTGGAACTGTCCTGGTGACCCTGTGACAATCACATCCTCCCCACCCCGACTCCTGGCAGTCACCAGTCATCCTTTATCATTGTTAAAATATGTGTAAAAGCCCTGGCCGGTTTGGCTCAGCGGGTAGAGCATCCGCCTGTGGTCCGGAGAGACCTGGGTTCGGTTCCCGCTAAGGGCATGTACCTCGGTTGCAGTTTGTCCCCGGCCCTGGTTGGTCGTGCGGGTGGCAGCCACTCGATGTGTCCCTTTCACATCGATGTTTCCATCTCTCTCTTCCTCTCTCTCCCTCCCACTCTATCTGTGCAAAAAATGGAAAAATGTCCTCGGGTGAGGATTAAAAAAAAAAAAAATGTGTAAAAATTTGCACATACATTTTCCCAGAAAATTCTGGAAAAGTTACAAAGTAGCAAATACTTTTTTTTTTTTTTAAATCTTCACTGGAGGATATTTTTCTGTTTATCTTCAGATAGAGTGTGAGAGAGAGAGGGAGGGAGAGAGGAACACATTGACAGGTTGTCTCCCGCATAACCTGACCAGGGCTGGGGATGAACCGCAACCGAGGTTCGGGCCCTTGTTTGGAATTGAACCCACAACTCATTGGTCTGTGGACGGATGCTGTAACCGCTGAGCCAAACCAGCCAGGGCTCATATACTTTTCAAAAATTGATTTTCAGAGAGAGAGGAAGGAAGAGAGAGAAACATCGATGTGAGAGAGAAGCACTGATTGGCTGCCTCTCATACATGCCCCAACTGGGGATTGAACCTGCAACCTAGGTATGTGCCCTGACTGGGAATTGAACCTGCAGCCTTTTGTTGCTCAGTCCGATGCACGAACCAAGTGAGCCACCCGGCTTTTCACATAAAGGATTACTAGATTGCTCTTCTGTATTTAAATAAAAGGCTTTTACCGCCTGTTATGTCGTCCAGATTTCGAGCTAGAGTGATGAGTCTTTGGTTCTTGGTTTTCGTGAGCCGAATCCCTGTGGCATCTTGGGGACCAGGCTCTGAGCCCTTGGTGCAGACTAGGCGGCTAGTGGTCCTCAAGCCCGGTGCCAGGAGCAGCTTTCATGATACGTTTAGGTCAAGATAAACAGGGAGCGTGTCTTTGGAGCGTGACAGCCACGGTTCAAATGTCGGGTGGGCTCTAGCCTGTCGATTTAGGTGGTTTGGGTCTTCCTCAGCCTCTCAGGACAGTCGTCACAGTTGAGCAGGCTGGTGTCCTATAGAGGAGCTCCTAACTGTCCTAGTCGGAAGCAAAGGCCCCGTCCTGGCATTTCTGTTCGAGGCAAGACCTGCTTGTCTGTGGATGGCTCGGTCATTCTCTTTCTTTACTTTCCTGTCTTCCTCCCAAAGACTCTGGCCAAAAAGATGACTGTTCTGTACAAGCTGGCACGGGGGCAGCTGTCCAAGCAGCACCACTATGACTTCGGACTCAGAGCCCTGAAGTCGGTGTTGGTGATGGCTGGGGAGCTGAAGAGAGGCTCTCCCGAACTCAAAGAGGTAGGGGCCCCGCATGTGCGATCGGGCGGGACGGGGTGGACGGGCGGCACAGCCCAGTTCGCAACAGGAAGTTTCCATCCTAGCTGCCATTCCAGTTGGTTGTCTGGCCTGAATTTGGTCTGTTTCCTTCTCATTTGACTTATCACTGCAAGGCCAAGTTCAGTGTCTCCACAGAACAAAAATGTATAAGGCTTCAGTGGTAATAGCCCATCTTTGCAGCAGGGAGGGGGCAGGCGTGGGAACAGCAGTTCCCAAAAAAGCATGAACGTGAGTTCTTGTTCCTCTTTGCAACAAAAGCGAGGGGTGCGGCTGTGTGTCTTTTCCATGGACCGGACCTGGACGCACAGTTCAGTTGTGCCGCTCCTGCCTTTCTCTAGAGACCGTATCGAAATGTCTTATTTTCTATACGAAGTTTCGCTGTATATTTTGAAAGAGGGTTTCTAGACTAGCCCCGGATCTTTTGGAAAAATCCTTAACGAGGCCTGTTTTGTGCCATGCAGGACGTGGTGCTGATGAGGGCACTTCGAGACATGAATCTGCCCAAGTTCATCTTTGAGGACGTCCCTCTTTTCCTCGGTTTGATCTCCGACCTGTTTCCCGGGCTAGACTGCCCGCGCGTTCGCTACCCTGATTTCAACGACGCGGTCGAACAGGTGCTGGAGGAGGGTGGCTTCGTCGTCCTGCCCGTGCAGGTAAAAGGCGCTGAAGTGGGGGTGCACTGACTTAGGGGTCCTTTCCTTTATTTTCCTTTAGTTGTGGCGGAGTACAGATAATGTACAGTTTACCGTCTTACCCATTTCTCAGCGTACAGCTCAGTGGCATTAAGTGCACGCACATTGCTGTGCGACCGTCACCACCGTCCATCTCCAGAGCTGCTTCCACTTCCCAAACGGAAGCTCGGTACCCACGGAACGCTCGCTCCCCGTCCGCTCCTCCACCAGCCCTGGGGCCACCTTCTACTTTCTGTCTGTGAATCTGACTGCTCTCAGGACCTCGTAGAAGTGGAATCACACAATCTAGGTCCTTCTGTGTCTGTTGTATTTCACTTAACATAATGTCCCTGAGGTTCATGCGTGTTATAGCACGTGAGAGAATGTCCTTCCTGAGGCTGAACAGTATTCCACTGTATGGATGGACTGCTTTCCAGGTTTTACAGGAGGTCGGTGGTGGCGGTGCCTGCCCCTCATTGCTGGTTTCTTTTTTGCATAATGTGATCAGATAACTTAAGTATTTTGTTTTGGGGCCCAACCATCTAATGCTTTCTCCCCAGACCACCCTCCACCCTGCCACCCCAGAATCACACTGACCAAAAAATTAAATTAGACATTGCTAGTAGTATTTTGATCATCTGAAGCCTGTACAATTGGAAATATTGTCATGAAGCCAAAAATTATTGCCAAAGTGTTTTACTGAGAGTATAAATGCCCAAAGCTGAAGGCCCGGGGTGGCTGCCTCTGGTTGGGGCACCTCGGGGCCTCAGGCTACTCAGAGGCTTCAGGCCTGCGCAGGGGCACTGGACACAGATGAGAGAGATCTCCACGTCATTCCCATCCTTGACGTTCTCCTCTGGAGGTGGCGGTTTGAAAAGACGTGTGTTCTGGTGAGAATGTACAGTGGTACAGCCGGTGTGGAAAGTAGGCTGGTGGTTCCTCAAAAAGTGAAACATGGAATTATCATATGACCCAGCAATCCCACTCCCAAGAGAAATGAGAACTTACGTCCACATACAAACTTGTGCATGGATGTTTATGACAACATTATTCATAAGAGCCAGAAAGTAGAAACAATGCAAATGTCCATCAAGGGGTGACGAGGATAAACAGAACATGGTTCATCTGTAGAATGGAATATTACTCAGCCATGAACAGGAGCGGAGCACGGGCACCTGCTCCAGTGTGCATGAACCTCGAGAACATGGTGCTGAGAGAGGCCAGACACAGGAGACCACGTATTCATTGTATAATTCCATTGATGCCATTCCTTTTATATGTTGAGAACAGGCAAATCATAGAGACAGAAAGTGGATTGGTGGATTCCAGGGGCTGGAGGAAGTGGGCTTGGGGGAGATGACTAATGAGTACAAGGTTTTTGTGGGGAGAACGGTGATGAACAGGTTGTAAAATTGAATGTGGTAATGGTTTTGCAAACTTTGGACATACTAAAAAATCATCAAATTGTACACTTATAATGGATAAATTATGTAGTATGTGAATTATAGCTCAATGAAGCTTTTTTTTTTTTTTTAAGAAAAGATGTTTTAACCCAGCTGCAAATCTTTGTCCCGCAGGTGGATAAAGTTGTTCAGATGTTTGAGACCATGTTAACCCGCCACACGACAATGGTGGTGGGGCCCACGGGAGGGGGCAAGTCCGTGGTCATTCAGACTCTGTGTCAGGCCCAGACCAAGTGAGTATGGCCTCGGGGGGCGCTGGTGGCGGGAGTGGCTTCATGGGAGGTGGGGCGGTGTTGCCTGGCCCTCATTGTTCTGATTTCCTGGGAGGTTACATCTGTCCTAAACACCCCTTTAAACTCATCATATCTTTACTTGTTTTATTGCTGATTATTCAACATATTTTAGAAGGCACAACAGTGACTCTTGCGCACCAGACTGTGAATGGGTTTGGTTGTGAAATGAGGATCTCCCAGACTCTATGAGGATATTTCAGAAGTTAACTTAAGTCACATTTCCTTGATGTTCAGATTGCTCTTTTAAAGTAAGTCAGGGCTCCCCCTATACAACCCCTAAGACATCGGAGTGGCCAGAGAGAGTCACCTCCCGGATGCTGTATCATCACAGCCCTGCAGGAGCAATGCTGCTTGAAGGAGAAGTGACCTCACACTCCTGGTGCAGCCGTCACAGAGACCTGTGGTGACTGCATGTCCTCATAGTGAAACTGGGTCTTCTGACTCCTCACTGTCATCCTCAGCAAGAGCTAGATTCTGGAAAGACCTCAGTGCACACGAATAGTCCAGAAGAGCCCCAGGGAAGCCTTGTCGTCTTTGTGGCTTTAACATTTCTAGACACTCTATAGAACCTAATGAGTGACGTCATTTCTTATTTCTTCTTGTGTTTCTTATGTGAGAACCGGGGGACAGTGGCTTCCTGGTTTTAGGTGGGTTATGACATAGCCATCCTGTCTTTTATTCTTTAATTAATTGTTAGACATTTTATAGGACTATCACATGTGTGTGTACATGTGCCACAGTTATTTTTTTTTATGCGTTTTGTTAATGATGAACTGTGGTTTGTGTGAACTTTGATTTTCTGTAGATGAGTTGATCCCATAGCATTGTGGGAATTCACAGGCACCTTAGCGGGAAGCACCCTGTCCACCCAATTCATAAAGTCAACGCAGAACAGATGTCATCCTGTATGCACCAGGGATCCACTGTTAGGAGTTCAAAGGCTTGTTACATTGTCCTAACGACTGACTCATCTCCTGTGCCCTAGTTATGCAATATTTACATAAGTAGGTCCTGTGTGTGAATATGTAGCATATGCAAATTGAAATATACATGAAAGTGAGCTTCTCATTGTCCTCCAAAAGCAAGGCTGTGCTTTCGGTTCAGACCTCACTTGTGTTGGGGCCACGGTTCCAGGGAAAGGTGGTTCCCTTGCATTGAGTGGGGAGCCCAGTGGAGAGTTTGTGTGGATTGTGTTTTAAATTTCGGATTAGGCAAAAACATCCGATCCCTCACACAGCGGCCGAGATCGGTTTCCTGACGAGTTCAGCCCTCCCGATGCCTCTCCTTTGATCTAGGCTGGGACTGGCGACAAAGCTGCTCGTCCTGAACCCCAAGGCTGTGAGCGTCATCGAGCTCTACGGCGTCCTGGACCCCACCACGCGAGACTGGACGGACGGGGTGCTGTCCAGCATCTTCAGGGAGATCAACAAGCCGACGGATAAGAAGGAACGGAAGTGAGCATCCTTGTGGTCAGGGCAGAGAACCGGCGTCATTTCATGTTGATCAGCTGAGCGTTATGAATGGCAGGTGATGGGACCTGGCCCTCTGCTCACTCAGTGCCAGGTGCTATGACAGGGCTCTCTGTGTGTCGTCTCAATCAGTCTCCTCAGCTGCTATTGTCCCCAGCTCACCAGGGAGGACACCGAGGCCTGGGGAGGTAAGCAACTTGCCCCAAGGGCAGGGATTTGCACTTGGGCTGCCCGAGCCCCAGTCCTCACACACAGCTACCAGGCCAGGCACCTGTATGCCAGGTAGGTCAAGCAAAGGCAGCAAAGCGTCATGGAAAGTGCTGGAACACCCTTCCGAGCTGCGTTTTCTCACCTGTAGACATGGTTGACAGTGCCCGCTTTGCTCATGTTGCCCACTGTGGCGGTGAGGGTGGCAGGAGCCGAGAGCAGGGATGCTTTGCTAGTGCACCAGGTGAAACCTTTTCTCTGACACCTCTCGGGGGCTCAGGGCCTCCCTGACTGTTCCCAGTGTCAGCTGTTCCCGTGACATCTCTCGGGGGTTCAGGGCTGCCCCGACTCTGTTCCCAGTGTCAGCTGTTCCCGTGACATCTCTCGGGGGTTCAGGGCTGCCCCGACTCTGTTCCCAGTGTCAGCTGTTCCCGTGACACCTCTCGGGGGCTCAGGGCTGCCCCGACTCTGTTCCCAGTGTCAGCTGTTCCCGTGACACCTCTCGGGGGCTCAGGGCTGCCCCGACTCTGTTCCCAGTGTCAGCTGTTCCCGTGACACCTCTCGGGGGCTCAGGGCCTCCCTGACTCTGTTCCCAGTGTCAGCTGTTCCCGTGACACCTCTCAGGGGCTCAGGGCTGCCCCGACTCTGTTCCCAGTGTCAGCTGTTCCCGTGACACCTCTCGGGGGCTCAGGGCTGCCCGGACTCTGTTCCCAGTGTCAGCTGTTCCCGTGACACCTCTCGGGGGCTCAGGGCTGCCCCGACTCTGTTCCCAGTGTCAGCTGTTCCCGTGACACCTCTCGGGGGCTCAGGGTTGCCCTGACTCTGTTCCCAGTGTCAGCTGTTCCCGTGACACCTCTCGGGGGTTCAGGGCTGCCCCAACTCTGTTCCATTTCAATCCCATTGATAAAAATGCCCTTTCATAGCAAAAGCCCACTCTCAGCCCGTGACTTATGGAGCAGCCTCTTGAGCATTTCTCCCTGATACTGCTGAAGCCCGGATTTCACGTGTGCTCAGTTGTCCTTCTCTCCGGTGTCTCATATTCTCTAATTTCCAGACATTCCGCAGGTTTTCTGGAACTTTTTTTATAGCCTTGATGTGGGGAGGTCTTTGTACTATTCTGTTCTTGTAACTCTATGTTGGAGATTATTTAAAATAAAAAAGTTTTAAAAGTCCTGGAAGAAATAAGCCAGAAGGTTAATGCTGCAAGAAAAATTGAGTAAGTCATGTCAGTGAGTCAAATGGAAGCAGTATCCAGTCACCATTCAACACTGAAGAACAGAGCCCATCCTCCGGAGATGGGCTTCGCCACAGTGACCTGTCACGGCCGCAGAATGGAAGCGTTGCGAGGCCGGAACAGCCGAGGAGCTGAGCGCACCTGCCCCCAGGGCGGGTGTGTGACGCAGCGCTCGCGGACGCACCTGCTCCCGGGCCAGCGTCAGTGAGGGCCGTGGGCCGTGTTGAATCGCCACCAACTGGGAGGCTGAAACCCAGACATCTGTTCTTTACAGCTCTGGGGGCCTAAAGAAGGGGCTCCACTCCCTTTCAGGGTTTTAGGGATGTCCTTCCTGCCTGGTCAGCTTCTGGTGGCTCCAGGCGTCCTTGGCTTGTGGCTGCCTCACTTCAGTCTCTGCCTCCGTCTTCACATGGCCGTCCCCTCTGTAGGATACCGGTCAGTGGGTTAGCGCCCTCGGGCTAATCTCACCTCGAGACCCTTAATTGCATCTGCAAAGACCTTTTTACCAACAAGGCCGCATTCACAGGTTCTGGATGGATATACCTTTGGGGGGCCACCACTCAACCCAGTACACAGGGGTATGTGAAATACTTTCCTTTTTATTAGGCATCAAAACCAGTGATAAATGACAATTGATGTTCAGTCTCAGATTTGAGAAAAGAATGAGGTGTTACAAAATAGTTATAGGGATGTAAAGTAACATTGTAATAACTGTGGTGCCAGTGGGTATTAGACTTATGGGCGTGGGGATCACTTTGTAAATTATATGTGTGTAACTACTCTGCTATATACTTGAAATGAATATAAAATAATACTGAATGAAAAAAAGAAAGAAAAGAATGAAGTGGACTGTGACACTTTCTGTCCCCAAGGAGCACTGGCATATTGTCCCCATGCAGGGATGCAGGTCTGGGTTGTCAGACCTTCCTGTTGGCCAGAGATTCCTGATTCTTAAGTGATGGTGATTAATTCAGTTTTTTTCTTTATTGATTTTAGAGAGAGGAAGGGAGAGGAAGAGATAGAAACATCGATGAGAGAGAACACTGATTGGCTGCCTCCTGCATGCCCCACACTGGGGATTTGGCCCACAACCTGGGCATGTGCCCTGACTGGGACTCGGACCGGCGACCTCTTGGTGCATGGGCTGATGCTCAACCACTGAGCCACACCGGCTGGGATCAAACAGTTTTTATGTTTTATTTTTCCATTTTCTCTTACGGGTGAAACCTCTGGACCAAGTAGGGTGCTGTGCCTCAGGGTGGACAACTCTGGGAACAGACATTCGGCAGGAATGGGGGAAGCTCCACCGAGCTCCCAGCTGGAGGCGTTCTGGGCACAGGGCTCGCTTTTCTTTGGTGGCTGCAGGTACATCTTGTTTGATGGCGATGTGGACGCCCTGTGGGTGGAAAACATGAACTCCGTGATGGACGACAACAAGCTGTTGACGCTGGCCAACGGCGAGCGCATCCGGCTGCAGGCACACTGCGCCCTGCTCTTTGAGGCAAGTCTGCGAACCGTCAAACAGTGCAGAAGAGTGTGTGATGAGCACAGCGCCGTCTCCACCTGCTCCTCCCTCCTCCCTCCCCACTGAGCCCAGGGAACTGCTTTCGCTCGTCTCCTGAGGCTCACCTGGCGCTGACACACTGAGCAAGCTCTTCCTCTGCCACGTTGACATCACGCACCCCCCCTCGGAATACTGCATGGTTCAGGCAGTTAGCCCAGTGAACACACTTACATTATTGTGAACATGAAATCTTTGAGGTAGAACCAACTGGTATACTGCTATTACATTTCCTTTCTTTTCCAATCTTTTTTTTTTTGTCCTGGAATTTGTAATTGCCTTGTTTTTTCTCTTGCTCTATTTGCTTTCATCTTTATTTTATTTTTAAAAAATTTCTATCAGCGCCTCTGGGCTTGTTTCGCGGCCGTGGGCCTGAGGTCTGCCCTCACGTCGGCTCAGTGCGCAGGCCGTTCTGACCTGGCCCCAGCCGTGTCTCCGCGTGAGTGTCTGCACGTCTGCGAGTTCCGCCTGCCCAGTCCCCGCTGTGCTCAGCCGGTCACAGACGGCAAGGCGAACACTCTGTCACCGTGTTTGTTTTTTGGGATTGGATTTGGGGTTAAGCTTATTTTCGTTGTTATACTTTCTTATTTTTGTCAGATATTCTACAGCCTATTACTTTTCACATTAATTCTATAGTGATAGAAAACGTCACAAGGTGCTTACGTTTCTTATGCGCAGTCCTCCCGTGACACATCCAAGTGTTCAGTGCGGAGCCTCCTGAGAACTGTTAATCTGGGTACGACTGGGGTTTCGCGAATTGTGAAGACCGTGCGCAAGCAAAGGCTTTTGGGTGGCTTGCAGCTGCAGACAGGACTGGCTTTCTCCTTTTCTCCAGGTCGGAGATTTGCAGTATGCCTCCCCTGCCACTGTGTCTCGCTGTGGAATGGTTTATGTGGATCCTAAAAACCTGAAGTATGAACCATACTGGAATAAGTGGGTCAATCGAAGACAAAACAAGGTGAACGTCATTTCTAACATAAACTTAACAGTTACTAGCTTTGGTGGCTTGTTGGATCAACATAACCCAGGCGGATGTTTGTAATTGAAGGCCATGACCTTGACTTGACCTAGTCATGATCTTGAGCACTTAATGTTATCAATAAATTAGATGAAAATATGGAAGACACTAGATTTCCTGGTAATTCACAGCCAAGAAGATGGGTAATGATTGTGATAGTCTAGGCCGGGGGTCGACACAATTTTTTTTTTTTTGTCTGTGAAGGAGTACAGAGTAAACATTTTAGACTCAGTGCATCGTATGGTTTCTTCTATAACTACTCAACTCTGCCACTGTGGCATGAAAACAGCCATAGTACATGACTTGGGCATGGCCAGGGCCAACGAGACTATCTTCAAACACCGCTGCTGTCCATAGTAGGCAGTCCCTGGGTCCGCCAGTCCCAGCCTCTGAGAGACTTGTCTCCAGGGGGTGCCAGCTCCTCCTCTTCTGCTCAGCTGGATGACATCAGTGTGTGAAGGACCTCGCTTGTTATGTATCGAGATCCGATGATTTCAGGTGGCCTCGGTTGCTCAGAGATGTGTTTGTCTTAGCAATAGGCAGCACTGAAAGGTACAGAGATAGATGGGGCAGTTGTGTGGACAGTTGTGCAAGGGTTCAAAGGGACACACGGTGGGTCTTCAGAAGGACCACTGGAAACCAGGACATGATTACCCCCGAGAAGACAGTGGAAGCATGATAGGACCACTGGGGACTGACATGTGGGGGAGAGAGCTGTCAGGGGACCCCAGCTATCCCTGATGATCACCATGCCTTGACGGGGAGGGGCCTCCCCTACTTTACGCTCTTTGCTGGGTGACTGGCCACCTCACTTGGATTCTAAGTTAATGAGCCCCTTTCTGCCAGGTGGGCCCTGTTGGCCACCTCCCTCCCAGGCGGTGGGAGAGACTCTCTGGCAGTGAAATGAGATGCTTCTTGATGACGTGGAAGTGTCTGTGAAGCATAGATCTCTCTGTAAGGCTCTGCTGTTGGAGTGGACTCACTGCGAAGTTTATCATCCATCAGAAGCTGTTCCTCACCCCTCTGTAGACAAGAATTGCTGTACACTGTCTTCCTCTTAAGCAAAGGGATTCTTGGGAACGCCTCGGAGTTCTGCCCTTCTGCAGGTGGAGCAAGGCGACTTACAGGACCTCTTTGAGAAGTACGTGCCCTACCTCATCGACGCGATAGTGGAAGGAGTGGTGGACGGAAGGCAAGGAGAGAAGCTGAAGACGATAGTTCCTCAGACAGACCTCAACATGGTGAGATCCCTGTAGCACAGAGACGTTCTCCCCGAAGTGCCCGCAGCGGGCTTTCCGGGGTGCCGGGTGGGTGACCGGCGGCACTGCAGGCGTGGCAGGAGCAGACCTGGGTGCGTGGGGGGAGGGGGAATGTAGGTGCTGACCCTGGCATTCCGGTGAACCAGGTCACCCAGCTGACCAAGATGCTGGACGCCTTCCTCGAAGGAGAGGTGGAGGACGCCGACCTGCTGGAGTGCTTCTTCCTGGAGGCTCTGTACTGCTCCCTGGGCGCCTCCCTGCTGGGCCCCGGGCGGCTGCAGTTCGACGAGTGCGTCAAGCGCCTTGCTTCTTTGCCTTCTGCCGACACGGAAGGGGTTTGGGCCAGGCCTGGGGAACTGCCAGGTAGGGACCGAATGGCACCTGCTTCCTGCCCAGGACACCTCAGGTTAGGTTTTCAGAGGAAGTGACTCTGCTCATAGGGGTGCGGATGGGTTTCCCAGCCTGTTTGCCTCTAGAGCACCTGGTGGCATCCCCGGGGGCTTAAATGTGTGAGCTGCGGTAGCAGAAGCCACCCCCTTGGGATGGCCTTTCTTGAGGAGTCTCACCCCCCCCCCCCCAGCCTAGGCATGTGTGATGTGGCAGTCTGTTTAGGGAAAAGGTGTGTGAGGGAACTGGCACCCCTGTGGTTGAAGATCAAGGTGCATAATGTGTGGGTGCAGGGAAGGGCGGAGGCTCCCCACGTTCCCTGTCCTACCTGATGCGTCTCAGTCTCTTCCCTGCTCCACCTTGGCTGCCTTCCCGGAGCACCCGGTGCACCTGTACTCTCCCCATCGAGAATCAGCACTCAGCATCGAAACTGCCCGTGTACTTATCTCTCCCCCGACCCAGCCCACCAACAGCTAAGCGTAGGGACTGGGGCCGTCTGCCACTGTTGTGTTCCCAGGGAAGGCGCTCAGTAAGTCTCTGGCCAGCGGACCAGAAGCATTAGTTCACAGTCCTCAGTACGCACCTGGCAGAGTGTGTGGTCGTCGAGCAGCGTGCCCAGCGAGTGTCTGGAGCATGAGAGGTGTGAGTTCACAGCCCTCAGTACGCATCTGGCAGAGTGTGTGGTCGTCGTGCAGCGTGCCCAGCGAGTGTCTGGAGCATGAGCGGTGTGAGTTCACAGTCCTCAGTACGCACCTGGCAGAGTGTGTGGTCGTCGAGCAGCGTGCCCAGCGAGTGTCCTGGAGCATGAGAGGTGTGAGTTCACAGCCCTCAGTACGCATCTGGCAGAGTGTGTGGTCGTCGTGCAGCGTGCCCAGCGAGTGTCTGGAGCATGAGCGGTGTGAGTTCACAGTTCTCAGTACGCATCTGGCAGAGTGTGTGGTCGTCGTGCAGCGTGCCCAGCGAGTGTCTGTCTGGAGCATGAGCGGTGTGAGTTCACAGCCCTCAGTACGCACCTGGCAGAGTGTGTGGTCGTCGAGCAGCGTGCCCAGCGAGTGTCTGTCTGGAGCATGAGCGGTGTGAGTTCACAGCCCTCAGTACGCACCTGGCAGAGTGTGTGGTCGTCGAGCAGCGTGCCCAGCGAGTGTCTGGAGCATGAGAGGTGTGAGTTCACAGCCCTCAGTACGCACCTGGCAGAGTGTGTGGTCGTCGTGCAGCGTGCCCAGCGAGTGTTCTGGAGCATGAGCGGTGTGAGTTCACAGCCCTCAGTACGCACCAGGCAGAGTGTGTGGTCGTCGAGCAGCGTGCCCAGCGAGTGTCTGTCTGGAGCATGAGCGGTGTGAGTTCACAGTCCTCAGTACGCACCTGGCAGAGTGTGTGGTCGTCGAGCAGCGTGCCCAGCGAGTGTCTGGAGCATGAGAGGTGTGAGTTCACAGTCCTCAGTACGCACCTGGCAGAGTGTGTGGTCGTCGAGCAGCGTGCCCAGCGAGTGTCTGGAGCATGAGCGGTGTGAGTTCACAGTTCTCAGTACGCACCTGGCAGAGTGTGTGGTCGTCGAGCAGCGTGCCCAGCGAGTGTCTGTCTGGAGCATGAGAGGTGTGAGTTCACAGTCCTCAGTACGCACCTGGCAGAGTGTGTGGTCGTCGAGCAGCGTGCCCAGCGAGTGTCTGTCTGGAGCATGAGAGGTGTGAGTTCACAGCCCTCAGTACGCACCTGGCAGAGTGTGTGGTCGTCGAGCAGCGTGCCCAGCGAGTGTCTGGAGCATGAGAGGTGTGAGTTCACAGTCCTCAGTACGCACCTGGCAGAGTGTGTGGTCATCGAGCAGCGTGCCCAGCGAGTTGTCTGGAGCATGAGAGGTGTGAGTTCACAGCCCTCAGTACGCACCTGGCAGAGTGTGTGGTCGTCGAGCAGCGTGCCCAGCGAGTGTCTGGAGCATGAGAGGTGTGAGTTCACAGCCCTCAGTACGCACCTGGCAGAGTGTGTGGTCGTCGAGCAGCGTGCCCAGCGAGTGTCTGGAGCATGAGAGGTGTGAGTTCACAGCCTCAGTACGCACCTGGCAGAGTGTGTGGTCGTCGAGCAGCGTGCCCAGCGAGTGTCTGGAGCATGAGAGGTGTGAGTTCACAGTCCTCAGTACGCACCTGGCAGAGTGTGTGGTCGTCGAGCAGCGTGCCCAGCGAGTGTCTGTCTGGAGCATGAGAGGTGTGAGTTCACAGTCCTCAGTACGCACCTGGCAGAGTGTGTGGTCGTCGAGCAGCGTGCCCAGCGAGTGTCTGGAGCATGAGAGGTGTGAGTTCACAGCCCTCAGTACGCACCTGGCAGAGTGTGTGGTCGTCGAGCAGCGTGCCCAGCGAGTGTCTGGAGCATGAGAGGTGTGAGTTCACAGTCCTCAGTACGCACCTGGCAGAGTGTGTGGTCGTCGAGCAGCGTGCCCAGCGAGTGTCTGTCTGGAGCATGAGAGGTGTGAGTTCACAGTTCTCAGTACGCACCTGGCAGAGTGTGTGGTCGTCGAGCAGCGTGCCCAGCGAGTGTCTGGAGCATGAGCGGTGTGAGTTCACAGTCCTCAGTACGCACCTGGCAGAGTGTGTGGTCGTCGAGCAGCGTGCCCAGCGAGTGTCCTGGAGCATGAGAGGTGTGAGTTCACAGCCCTCAGTACGCACCTGGCAGAGTGTGTGGTCGTCGTGCAGCGTGCCCAGCGAGTGTCTGGAGCATGAGCGGTGTGAGTTCACAGTCCCTCAGTACGCACCAGGCAGAGTGTGTGGTCGTCGAGCAGCGTGCCCAGCGAGAGTCTGGAGCATGAGCGGTGTGAGTTCACAGTCCTCAGTACGCACCTGGCAGAGTGTGTGGTCGTCGAGCAGCGTGCCCAGCGAGTGTCTGGAGCATGAGAGGTGTGAGTTCACAGCCCTCAGTACGCACCTGCAGAGTGTGTGGTCGTCGTGCAGCGTGCCCAGCGAGTGTCTGGAGCATGAGCGGTGTGAGTTCACAGTCCTCAGTACGCACCAGGCAGAGTGTGTGGTCGTCGAGCAGCGTGCCCAGCGAGTGTCTGGAGCATGAGCGGTGTGAGTTCACAGTCCTCAGTACGCACCAGGCAGAGTGTGTGGTCGTCGAGCAGCGTGCCCAGCGAGTGTCTGGAGCATGAGCGGTGTGAGTTCACAGTCCTCAGTACGCACCTGGCAGAGTGTGTGGTCGTCGAGCAGCGTGCCCAGCGAGTGTCTGGAGCATGAGAGGTGTGAGTTCACAGCCCTCAGTACGCACCTGGCAGAGTGTGTGGTCGTCGTGCAGCGTGCCCAGCGAGTGTCTGGAGCATGAGCGGTGTGAGTTCACAGTCCTCAGTACGCACCAGGCAGAGTGTGTGGTCGTCGAGCAGCGTGCCCAGCGAGTGTCTGGAGCATGAGCGGTGTGAGTTCACAGTCCCTCAGTACGCACCAGGCAGAGTGTGTGGTCGTCGAGCAGCGTGCCCAGCGAGTGTCTGGAGCATGAGAGGTGTGAGTTCACAGTCCTCAGTACGCACCTGGCAGAGTGTGTGGTCGTCGAGCAGCGTGCCCAGCGAGCGTCTGTCTGGAGCATGAGAGGTGTGAGTTCACAGTCCTCAGTACGCACCTGGCAGAGTGTGTGGTCGTCGAGCAGCGTGCCCAGCGAGTGTCTGGAGCATGAGCGGTGTGAGTTCGCAGTCCTCAGTACGCACCTGGCAGAGTGTGTGGTCGTCGAGCAGCGTGCCCAGCGAGTGTCTGGAGCATGAGAGGTGTGAGTTCACAGTCCTCAGTACGCACCTGGCAGAGTGTGTGGTCGTCGAGCAGCGTGCCCAGCGAGTGTCTGGAGCATGAGAGGTGTGAGTTCACAGCCCTCAGTACACACCTGGCAGAGTGTGTGGTCGTCGAGCAGCGTGCCCAGCGAGTGTCTGTCTGGAGCATGAGAGGTGTGAGTTCACAGTCCTCAGTACGCACCTGGCAGAGTGTGTGGTCGTCGAGCAGCGTGCCCAGCGAGTGTCTGGAGCATGAGAGGTGTGAGTTCACAGTCCTCAGTACGCACCTGGCAGAGTGTGTGGTCGTCGAGCAGCGTGCCCAGCGAGTGTCTGGAGCATGAGAGGTGTGAGTTCACAGTCCTCAGTACGCACCTGGCAGAGGGTGTGGTCGTCGAGCAGCGTGCCCAGCGAGTGTCTGTCTGGAGCATGAGCGGTGTGAGTTCACAGTCCTCAGTACGCACCTGGCAGAGTGTGTGGTCGTCGAGCAGCGTGCCCAGCGAGTGTCTGTCTGGAGCATGAGCGGTGTGAGTTCACAGTCCTCAGTACGCACCTGGCAGAGTGTGTGGTCGTCGAGCAGCGTGCCCAGCGAGTGTCTGGAGCATGAGAGGTGTGAGTTCACAGTCCTCAGTACGCACCTGGCAGAGTGTGTGGTCGTCGAGCAGCGTGCCCAGCGAGTGTCTGTCTGGAGCATGAGCGGTGTGAGTTCACAGTCCTCAGTACGCACCTGGCAGAGTGTGTGGTCGTCGAGCAGCGTGCCCAGCGAGTGTCTGGAGCATGAGAGGTGTGAGTTCACAGCCCTCAGTACGCACCTGGCAGAGTGTGTGGTCGTCGAGCAGCGTGCCCAGCGAGTGTCTGTCTGGAGCATGAGCGGTGTGAGTTCACAGTCCTCAGTACGCACCTGGCAGAGTGTGTGGTCGTCGTGCAGCGTGCCCAGCGAGTGTCTGGAGCATGAGAGGTGTGAGTTCACAGTCCTCAGTACGCATCTGGCAGAGTGTGTGGTCGTCGAGCAGCGTGCCCAGCGAGTGTCTGTCTGGAGCATGAGCGGTGTGAGTTCACAGTCCTCAGTACGCACCTGGCAGAGTGTGTGGTCGTCGAGCAGCGTGCCCAGCGAGTGTCTGGAGCATGAGAGGTGTGAGTTCACAGCCCTCAGTACGCACCTGGCAGAGTGTGTGGTCGTCGAGCAGCGTGCCCAGCGAGTGTCTGTCTGGAGCATGAGAGGTGTGAGTTCACAGTCCTCAGT